ATCCCAAACACACCGCCCGGGCAACGAAGGAGTGGCTTCGTAAGAAGCATTTCAAGGTCCTGGAGTGGCCTAGCCAGTCTCCAGATCTCAACCCCATAGAAAATCTTTGGAGGGAGTTGAAAGTCTGTGTTGCCCAGCGACAGCCCCAAAACATCACTGCTCTAGAGGAGATCTGCATGGAGGAATGGGCCAAAATACCAGCAACAGTGTGTGAAAACCTTGTGAAGACGTACAGAAAACGTTTGACCTGTGTCATTGCCAACAAAGGGTATATAACAAAGTATTGAGAAACGTTTGTTATTGACCAAATACTTATTTTCCACCATAATTTGCAAATAAATTCATTAAAAATCCTGAGTGGCGCAGTGGTCTAAGGCACTGCATCGCAGTGCTAACTGTGCCACTAGAGATCCTGGTTCGAATCCAGGCTCTGTCGCAGCCGGCCGCGACCGGGAGACTCATGGGCGGCGCACAATTGGCCCAGCGTCGTCCAGGGTAGGGGAGGGAATGGCCGGCAGGGATGTAGCTCAGTTGATAGAGCATGGCGTTTGCAACGCCAGGGTTGTGGGTTCGATTCCCACGGGGGGCCAGTATAAAAAAAATATATATATATGTATTCACTAACTGTAAGTCGCTCTGGATAAGAGCGTCTGCTAAATGACCAAAATGTAAAATGTAAAAAAATCCTACAATGTGATTTTCTGGATTTTTTTTTCTAATTTTGTCTGTCATAGTTGGCGTGTACCTATGATGAAAATTACAGGCCTCTCTCATCTTTTTAAGTGGGAGAACTTGCACAATTGGTGGCTGACTAAATACTTTTTTCCCCCACTGTAGGCCTCCTGCCTATGTGATAATATGAAGCACATATTCAGATTACACACTTGTTCTGTGCTGTGAAGGTAAAGGAAAAAAAAGTCCTACCTTAGTTTTCAAAACCTCCCACGACTCTCCCCATGTCAAGTCCATTTAACTCCTGAGAGTCAACTTCTTGCTCAAAGCCATGAGTGGGCATGTAGCTGTGATGTTTAGCCTCCTTCTATGGCTGTTCTGAAGACTCTGGTTGTAGTGTCTATTTTTGTTTTCATTTTGAGTGTTAACCTGGGTGTCTTCTTTAGCCTTGTCTGCAAGGCTTGCTGCCACCAAATGCGCCTTGGTTCAGGCATGTTCAAAAACCTTTTTTCTGAGGGCTCTTTGTTTTTGTGTTTTTTTTCTTCATCTGATGCATAGGATGTTAACTTCCTGTACATTCCACCCACTCTTTTGCTAGTTTAATCCCTCCAGTCGTTTTTCTAGACCGAAGCTCCCTACCTTTTTGCATGTTGTACAGGCCAACTTTGAATTCTGCATGACAAGCCAGGGGTTATACGTTTGCTTGTTCTTGAACTGCAAATTGGACCTGCTCCGAGCACTTCGTCGGTGGATGCACTGCCCCCCTCCCCCAGCTCCCGGTCTCCCACTCCTGCTGTGTCTGACTCGCTAGTAGGCATTCTAGATAGTGGAGGAGCCGGTGGTGATGCTGAACTGGCGGGATTAGCATCGCCATGCCCCTCACTCCTCTCCTCTGGCACTGACCGTTCTCTGGCTTGTTCTGGGTTCGATTCACCATCTTTCTCTGGATTTGTGGACTTGAAAAATGTCAAACTCGATTGCCTTTTCTTATCCAATCTTATTTGGCTTTCCCACGATTCAAATTCAGTAGGGAGAAGACTAGACTAGGCTATGTGACGTGTTTACGTAGGGACCTCTTCACTAGCTGACAACCACTACCAAGACCTGTGTCAAGATCAGTTACTTACCCCACTGGCCCTCCCCATAACCTCGATGTACAAATAAGAGAGCAGGTCTGGAATCAGTGTGGCAGGATAGGATGATTACATAGAAGGATCACCGCGCTTTTACATGATGGTCTTTCTGGGGGCGGGAGAAATAATGAGGAGGCAACTTGATTTAATGCTGATCGCTTTTATTAGAATGCCGCGAGAGGTACCGGATATGGCCAAATAGGTGCCGGAACAAATAAAAGTCAAATCTAAGCACTGCTGAGCTATTGATTGCATCTCTCATCCTAAAGGACATGACTTGCTACTGTGCAGTGTCGATACTCGCAGTGTTCCCAATTCCCAATGTCAATCACCTCATTGGATTATGCCTCACTTGGCTCCAGTTTTTAACAACACCGTTTTTAACAGCAGTTTAACAACACCGCTCCTGGAGGCCTTTTAGGCACTCTGAGAGGCACAGACAGTTCTAGAGAAGTGTTCCTGGATCCTGGTCTTGGGGACACAACTCAGCACTAATACACCAGATTCAACTAAGGAACTTATCAAGACTTGAGTAAGTTGAACCAGGGCTGGTCTGGAACCAAAGCCTGCACACCCTGTTGGTCCCCATGACCAGAATAAATTAAATTGTTGTAGATGGTAAAAAACTTGGTTGGGCTATATCATTGGCTCACCATGAGGGACCTTTTATTGTGAGAAACTCACCTTAAGTGAACCTTTCCTTATGATGTCATCATTACTCTGTGTATTGATATTACATTCTGAAACCTTTCCTTATGATGTCATCATTACTCTCATTTAACCTTTGCACCTTTTGTGTTGATCCAGAAAAATTAAACCCAGACGTGTATATTTTGCGAGTGTGTGTGTGTGTGTGTGTGCACGATTGTGTGCACGATTGTGTGCACGTGTTGTGTGTGTGTTGATGCTCACAATTCCTCAGTGCAGTTTTCTACTTTGGCGTGTGATGATTAAAACCCACCAATGCCACCACTATTATGGAGCATCGGGAGGGACGTTGTTATGTCTTTCTCTTGGCTCGCTCCCCTCTTTTGCTTTTCTCTACTTGAGATAGCGTATCTGAAGAATCCCGGGAATTCTAGACGCAGGGACCGTGCCAGAACATGCCTGCGTAGGAATCAGGAATAGCACTGGGGAGGGGGAGAGATGGGACAGGTGGAGGTGCACAGGTATGGCTGGACCAATCACAAAGCCTTATTGTATTGTGTGTTAACATTGGGATGGAACAAAAGCCTGCACACCTCCCTTGGTGACCACCACTGGTCTACTGAGTCTAAGAGACATGAGGTGTCCTCGTTGCTGTATTGACCAGACCTCAATGCCAATTCTTAGTTTTCTGCCTATTGATACTTCCCCTTAACCCAATGCTTTCAAAGGCTAAACAAGTTCAACATATCGATGGGAAGAATAGCAGGTGCTGTCGCTGAGTATTGATGGCCTCAGCAGGGATCAATGGTATTGACAGGGAGGGCCTTTTAAAGGGAGTTTCAGGAGTAAAGATGACTGGTGGGTCAGGGAGTTTCAGGAGTAGAGATGACTGGTGGGTCAGGGAGTTTCAGGAGTAGAGATGACTGGTGGGCCAGGGAGTTTCAGAGTAGAGATGACTGGTGGGCCAGGGAGTTTCAGGAGTAGAGATGACTGGTGGGCCAGGGAGTTTCAGGAGTAGAGATGACTGGTGGGCCAGGGAGTTTCAGGAGTAGAGATGACTGTGGGCCAGGGAGTTTCAGGAGTAGAGATGACTGGTGGGTCCAGGGAGTTTCAGGAGTAGAGATGACTGGTGGGCCAGGGAGTTTCAGGAGTAGAGATGACTGGTGGGCCAGGGAGTTTCAGGAGTAGAGATGACTGGTGGGCCAGGGAGTTTCAGGAGTAGAGATGACTGGTGGGTCAGGGAGTTTCAGGAGTAGAGATGACTGGTGGGCCAGGGAGTTTCAGGAGTAGAGATGACTGGTGGGCCAGGGAGTTTCAGGAGTAGAGATGACTGGTGGGCCAGGGAGTTTCAGGAGTAGAAATGGGCCACCCCATTCCACTGTTGTCGCCTTAATGCCACTGTAGTTAGACATATCCTCTACACAGGGGTTACATTGGAAATTTGAAGATGAGGGAGCCCTATTTGGGGGGATTAGGGGTAGGATTAGGGTTGAGCCAGGGTGCGGACATGAAGCTAGGGTAAGGGTAAGGGTTGGGCTATGGCTGACCCGTATGTTCAACACCTAGCTCAACCCTAACCCTAACATTGTCCTTAATCCTAACCCCTAACCTTTTACCCTTCCATAGCCTTATAATCAACCCTAACCCTAATCTTGGTTTATCATACTGCTATCATACTTTTCTCTTTGGACGTATAAGGTCCTGGAGCTCGGCTCCACCTGGCTCTTCCTTTGACCCAAGGTGCAGGATCCCGGCTCCAGGTAGCTCCGGTTTAACCACTGCCAAGTGGGAAGCCGCTCTGCGCTAGCGGAGTGATTGGTCAGATGTGTGTATATATACTTTTGTGGGTATATATCTAAATATGTGGACATTGTGTATGATTGAATGTATGGCACAGCGTGCCTGTGTCACTTATTTTGCCCTGCAGCCTCTTGCCTACCAATAGAGGACCACAGTGTAAACAAGTCTGACTTCTTGTATGTATAATCCTTTTTATGTATTTTAAATTATCAAATCAAACTCTAGTCCACACCACAGTTTAATCTCTCTGTCAGATGTGGGGAGGAGGAGGAGGAAGGGCATGCTGTTTCAAGGCCCAGTTGGCTCCCATAACTTAGGCTGTGGTTCTCATCTAAACAGGTAGGAGGCTGGGACCGTGACAGAAGAGTCATGGGTTTAGACTAAAATGAGGAATCTGCTTTTTTGAAGACTGGTATTCAAGATAAGCCATTTCTTAGTGAATGTTTTTGATGATTTTGATATTTAATATATTTTAAATGTATTTCAAAGAGACTGATTATAGACTGTATTTGAAAATATCTAATTCTAAGCTTGTGTTAATGCCTCTAGTTCCTGTTGGGCTTCATTATGTGAAGACTACTGAAAACAGGCCTACAGCCTCTGTGACTTATTAAACCCCTCTTATACAGCCCCATCTCTTCTCAGTGACTCATTAAACCCCTTTGATAAAGGACATCTCACACTACTTTTCAGGAAGCTTCTGTTTGTAGCTAGTCTGCTAGTCACCATGGCAACCGGACATGGAACATGGCGCTGGATGTTCCACAATCAAACATGTTCAGCCCCAGCCTGCCAAAGTTCCTGACTGTGACAATTCTGCTCCTGTGACACTGCTGGCCTGAAAACAAGGAATGTAGTCTACAGAGCACAACTCCAGCTGCCACCTCTTGAACCCAACTGAGGGGCCTGGGGGGGAAACACCACTCCTGGTCCGAACCAAGGAGTCTAAGATGGGAGGGAAACACCACTCCTGGACTGAACCAAGGAAGTCTACGATGGGGGGGAAAACACCACTCCTGGACCGAACCAAGGGGTCTAAGATGGGGGAAACACTACTCTTGGGCCGAACCAAGGGGTCTAAGATGGGGGAAACAAAACATCCTCAAGTGTCCGCTGCTTAGGAACACAAACACTAGAGAATAGTAAAGTGGTGGGTCATCAACTTCTTGGACGAGAGTGGGAGAAAAAAAAGGGGAAAAGAAAGATGGAGTTACCAGGGATGAGGAAGTATGCCTTAAACAATCAAGACTGACTAATAAATTGGACCCCTTTACTGACCCTCATATAAGCATTTTCCCATCACTAGTTTATTGTAGACCTAATTTAAGAGTCAGCCGTTTGTATCAGAAGTTAGAGTCTGAGTTAGTATGGAAAACCCAAGCCTGAGGGATGCTGCCTCTGCTGCTGCCAGCCCCAGATTTCCCCCACTTGGCCCTCTTAACATTTCTTAGCCATAATAGAAACTAAGGCTGCGGCCTCCCAAGTGGCGCAGAGGTGTCACTACAGACCCGGGTTCATTCCCGGCTGTGCAACAACCGGTTGTGCCCGGGAGTCCCATAGGACAGCGCACAATTGGCCCAGCGTCGTGAGGGTTTGGCCAGGGGGGCTTTACTTGGCTCATCGCGCCCTAGCGACTCCTTGTGGGGGGGCCAGGTGCCTGCAGGCTGACCCCGGTCGCCAGTTTAATGGTGTTTCCTCCGACACATTGGTGCGGCTGGCTTCCGGGTTAAGCTGGTGGGTGTTAAGGAGCGTGGTTAGCCGGGTCATGTTTCGGAGGACGCATAACTCCAACTCCACCTTCGCCTCTCCCGAGCCAGTTGGGGAGTTGCAGCGATGAGACAAGATTGAAAAAGTGGGTAAAAAATATAAATACATATTTTTGGGGGGGCATCCCAAATGGCAGCCTATTCATGACATAGTGCACTACTTTTGACCAGGGCCCATAGGGTCAAAAGTAGTGCACTACATAGGGAATGAGTGACATTTGAGACATAGCCGAAACCCATCCCCCTGGGTCATACAGCACTAGTCCAAAGCAGAGCTTTATATGGGTAAAAGGTGCAAACCCGCCATAGCAATGTTTACGCAGTGTCTTTTCTTTACAATATTCATCCCGTGCCCACACACTTCTAATTCTGAAAGTATACTTGTGAGGGGGGTCGCCCTGGTAGTAGTTGTAGGTTTTTATACAGTACCCAAGACCAATCCATTAGTTAATTTGACCATTGGAAAAGAGCTACTGCGTAATTACTGAAATGTGGGTTTGACTGAATTGAGCCCTAAGTTATTATTCAGTCTTTTCTGAGATGTAATGAGAAGTCCTCAGTCAGCAGCCTCAGGCATCATATTAGAAACACTTTATTACACTTTGATGATGATGAAAGTGAAAATCTGGCCTCCTGAGTGGCGCACCGTTGAGGCGTCACTACAGTCTGGGTTAGATCCCATAAGGCAGCGTACAATTGGCCCAGCGTCGTCCGGGTTAGGGGAGGGTTTGGCCGGGGGGCTTTCCTTGGCTCATCGCACTCTAGCGACTACGCCTGCAAGCTGACTTCAGTTGTCAGTTGAACGGTGTTTCCTCCGACACATTGGTGCGGCTGGCTTCCGGGTTAAGCGAGCAGGTGTTAAGAAGCAGCGCGGCTTGGCGGGTCATGTTTCGGAGGATGCATGACTCGACCTTCGCCTCTCCCGAGCCCATTGGGGAGTTGCAGCGATGTGACAAGATCATAACTACCAATTGGATATCACAAAATTGGGGAGAAAAAGGGGGTAAAATTACAACAACTAAAAAAAAAAGTAAAAAGCTTGACTTGAGTTTTTCTGATGTTTACTCACAATATTTAAGTTACTCAGCCTGAGAGTTTGAGACATTTTACATACATTACACAGTTTGCAAAGGAAGTAACAGCCGGCTAGTTATTCAGCCTTTGTGGCAACATATCTGAGAAAGATTGAGACATGGGGATGCTCTCAGGAGTCTAGTGGAGTGGCTGCGGTATGTTTTGGGCTCCAGTGAGGGGAGGGAGGATGAGTAGATAACAGGTATTGAGCGATGATGTGACAGACCACCAAGGCTGGGTCAGTCCCTATTGGGATGGAGGAGTGGAGTAGTGGATGGAGGGAGGGAGGAGAGGGGTGGTGTGAGCCACCTGAGACCCCGTCTCTCAACACTCACCCAAAGATGAAAGGATGACATCCTTAGGGGACAGAGTGGGTGAAGAAGAGGGGGAAAGAGGAGGGGGAAAGAGGAGGGGGGAGGAGACTGGCCTCTTCCTTCACTGTAGACACACTGAATCACAAGAACATATGTGTATCTGGCCTCTCCTCTTCTGTCATCATAGGAGTTTCCTTTTTGCCCCTCTTAAAGTTAAAACATCCCTTCTCTCCCCAAAGGGGACCCACCATCTGTCTTCAAGACTCAGTGTGGTGTATTTAATTACATTGGATTTATGAAGCGCTTTTCCCACATTCAAAGTACTATACATTACATTGGTCTACACAGAAGTCATAGACAGAGTAGTTTGTATTAACTTTGGTTATTGTGGCTGAGCATTATGTTGTTGTGTAATTGAAACATAGCCAAACCCCAAGGCAGTAAGTGCTCTCACACAGTATCAACAAACCATTACCACACACCACACACACACACACACACACACACACACACACACACACACACACACACACACACAGCATCAACAAAGCTCATTACAATAAAATGAAGGAGCTGCCTGCCATAGAGGCTAAGTATAATCAGAGACTTGAAGCCTGAGTGCTGTGATCAAATGTAAAGGGAATATCAACCGAGCAGCAGGTCTCTACACGCCAGACAATATATTTTCTGGTACTATGAGTCTGTATTGTAATGCTCTCACAAAATATAGGAGTGGAAAATAACTGATGGTTGACCAATCTTCCAGTCACACTGGTTGAAACATTTGAACATGTCAGAATGTAGATTCTGCTGTTTTTACAGATTCTTGTTTTGTACATAAGCGCTATGTTGAGTGTTGCATGAGTTACTCTATGCAGACACAAACCATGCTTGAATGGGTCTGATTGGTATGGGAGGGAGAGGTTGGTGTAGCAGGGCAGGTGGTGATCGTGTGTGCGTGTGCGTAATTTTTACTTGTGTGTGCGCATGTGTGCGGGCTTGTGTGTTTTGTGTGTGTGAAGTCCTCCCATTCCCTGTTCTGAGTGATCGGAGAGAGGAGAACGTCAGTCTGCTTGTACTGAGCATTGAGATGAACAATAGAGTCCGACAGACCCAAACATACCTTGAGGGAGTGTGTGTACAGGGCCTGTCTGCCATTACAGTGTTGGGACAATATCACTGTCATCTTTGTTGTTATTCAATAATTACTATCTCATTCACAAGTCATTTTTTAAAAGTCCCTTTAAACATTTGCCAGGACAGTGTCACATTGAATCCTATAGATAGATACAGCTGATATAGGGACATTTTCTCTTTAGCAAAGCAGAAGCTGATTCACACTCACCACTTTGCTACCTCCTCTGTCAGCAAGAAACCAATAGTCTCAATCAGTGGAAATAATGTGCCACACATGTGAGACATGTGAGAGAGAGGCAAAGGTGACAGAGGATTGTTCTGAGAGAGTTCGCTGAATGTTCTAGGATCTTGTCAGGGTTAGTAGGCTAAGTAAAAAAATCAGTTAAAGTACTGGTTTTAAACAATCAAGTTGTTCCTCCATCTTCTGACATACAGTGGGGAAAAAAAGTATTTAGTCAGCCACCAATTGTGCAAGTCCTCCCACTTAAAAAGATGAGAGAGGCCTGTAATTTTCATCATAGGTACATGTCAACTATGACAGACAAATTGAGAAAAAAATTCCAGAAAATCACATTGTAGGATTTTTAATGAATTTATTTGCAAATTATGGTGGAAAATAAGTATTTGGTCACCTACAAATAAGCAAGATTTCTGGCTCTCACAGACCTGTAACTTCTTCTTTAAGAGGCTCCTCTGTCCTCCACTCGTTACCTGTATTAATGGCACCTGTTTGAACTTGTTATCAGTATAAAAGACACCTGTCCACAACCTCAAACAGTCACACTCCAAACTCCACTATGGCTAAGACCAAAGAGCTGTCAAAGGACACCAGAAACAAAATTGTAGACCTGCACCAGGCTGGGAAGACTGAATCTGCAATAGGTAAGCAGCTTGGTTTGAAGAAATCAACTGTGGGAGCAATTATTAGGAAATGGAAGACATACAAGACCACTGATAATCTCCCTCGATCTGGGGCTCCACGCAAGATCTCACCCCGTGGGGTCAAAATGATCACAAGAAGGGTGAGCAAAAATCCCAGAACCACACGGGGGGACCTAGTGAATGACCTGCAGAGAGCTGGGACCAAAGTAACAAAGCCTACCATCAGTAACACACTACGCCGCCAGGGACTCAAATCCTGCAGTGCAAGACGTGTCCCCCTGCTTAAGCCAGTAAATGTCCAGGCCCGTCTGAAGTTTGCTAGAGTGCATTTGGATGATCCAGAAGAGGATTGGGAGAATGTCATATGGTCAGATGAAACCAAAATAGAACTTTTTGGTAAAAACTAAACTCGTCGTGTTTGGAGGACAAAGAATGCTGAGTTGCATCCAAAGAACACCATACCTACTGTGAAGCATGGGGGTGGAAACATCATGCTTTGGGGCTGTTTTTCTGCAAAGGGACCAGGACGACTGATCCGTGTAAAGGAAAGAATGAATGGGGCCATGTATCGTGAGATTTTGAGTGAAAACCTCCTTCCATCAGTAAGGGCATTGAAGATGAAACGTGGCTGGGTCTTTCAGCATGACAATGATCCCAAACACACCGCCCGGGCAACGAAGGAGTGGCTTCGTAAGAAGCATTTCAAGGTCCTGGAGTGGCCTAGCCAGTCTCCAGATCTCAACCCCATAGAAAATCTTTGGAGGGAGTTGAAAGTCTGTGTTGCCCAGCGACAGCCCCAAAACATCACTGCTCTAGAGGAGATCTGCATGGAGGAATGGGCCAAAATACCAGCAACAGTGTGTGAAAACCTTGTGAAGACTTACAGAAAACGTTTGACCTGTGTCATTGCCAACAAAGGGTATATAACAAAGTATTGAGAAACTTTTGTTATTGACCAAATACTTATTTTCCACCATAATTTGCAAATAAATTCATTACAAATCCTACAATGTGATTTTCTGGATTTTGTTTTCTCATTTTGTCTGTCATAGTTGACGTGTACCTATGATGAAAATTACAGGCCTCTCTCATCTTTTCACGTGGGAGAACTTGCACAATTGGTGGCTGACTAAATACTTTTTTCCCCCACTGTATAAGATGAAAGAGAGGAGAGCAGTGAAGTAAATATCTAACCCATGTCTTGTACAGCACATCAAATACCCTCACTATCTCTAACACCCTTCACCATCTCTGACACCTTCACTATTTATGATACCCCTACTATCTGACACCCTCACTATATCTGACACCCCTACCATCTCTGACACCCTCACCCTCTCTGACACCCCTACCATCTCTGACACCCTCACTCTCTCTGACACCCTCACTATGTCTGACATTCCTACTATCTCTGACACCCTCACTATCTCTGACACCTCACTATCTGACACTCCTACTATCTCTGACACCCCAACCCCCTCTGACACCCTCACTATGTCTGACACCCTCACTATCTGTGCTTCATATGGAGACAGAGTGATAGAGGTGTTTTGTCTATGGCTCTACAACATCAGCCTGCTCTGAAAGCAAGGTGTGGTTCAATGGAGAAGAAGGAGCGAGACTGAGAGAGAAAGCAAGAGAGAGAGATAAAGAGAGAGAGTTCATGTTTTTGGCATTAGATATTATACACCAGAGGAATGGAGTGCACTATATAGAAAACAGGGTGCCATTTGGGACACATTCACTCCTCTGTGGGATGGGAGAAGAACATACTTCCAGACTGACACAGCAGTGTCTCCAGCTGGGATTCCTGATCTTGGTGCGTCGAGGCCTGGGAGGTTTCCCGTTGTTGGGAGCCACTCCCGTCCTAGGGGGAGAAATACAAGGATTGTTTTTGTTCGGTAGGAGTGTGTGTTGTGTTGTGTTCAGACTCAGAGTGACTACGGCCCACGCCGGCTCCCGTCAACTCGGATCTTCCAGCCAGATCCATATGCTGCCAGTAGATAAACAATGGAGCTTACTATCTGTGTGTGCGTGTGTGTGTGTGTGTGTGTCCGTGCAGTGTGTACAGTATGTATAGACCCTCTATTGTTGTCATGGCGCTAGCAGCCCGTGGCCCCCACAGTTAGGCCTATTTTCAGGAACTGACCTCATGAGCAGAGACCATGGGTTATCTGCTTCCACTTTACTTCAGTGGCTGAGGAGAATGGATAGTGTAAAGTTGAGCATATGGAGGGGCTGGCTCAGCCGTGAGTCGTTATAGGCCAGGCCCAGCCTCTCTCACACACACACACACACACACCAACGAAAGTATTGTGAAACAAATAGCTCCCTCTTTCACAACTCGTCTTGATTGTCCATTCAGTGATTCTTCCTCGGTTCCTCTGCTGATGCGTATTTCGTGAATCACACCAGTCGTGTGACTTCCTCCCCCTCTGATTCAGGGGCCTAATTTGGGGGTGGTTATTGAAGGCCCCCTTGGGACACACCCGGGCCCTCACACACACACGTGGCTACAATCACTCTCCTTTACTCTCCTGTAGGAGTGTCACTACTGTATTGTACTACGCTGATGACTCACTGCACCCCCATATTATAGAGGAATAAGATATGACTGAGTATGAATCAGTGTTCACTGGAAACAAAACAACTCATGATATATGGATAATTTACTAGACCCCTGATGACTGACACATTGAACAGATTGTAAATGTGACATTTGACATAGATGACTGGGGGGTGGACTTCCAAGGACCCTGATCGATCATTTATGTGTAGTATGTATAGTATGAGTATGTGTAGTATGTATAGTATTAGTATGTGTAGTATGTGTAGTATTAGTATGTGTAGTATGTATAGTATTATTATGTGTAGTATATGTATTATTAGTATGTGTAGTATTTATAGTATTAGTATGTGTAGTATGTATAGTATTAGTATGTGTAGTATATGTATTATCGTCCTGTGTCGTCTTCGTCTCTGTCGTCTGTTTCGTCTTCGCTGTGTCGTCCTGTCTCGTCGTTCGTCTGTTGTCTGTCTTGCCTTAGTCTTGGTCCTCTCTCTCCCTTCGTCTGTGTTTCGTATGTGTCGTCTGTCTCGTCTTCGTCTGTGTCGTATGTCTCGTGTTCGTCTGTGTCGTCTGTGTGTTATTCGTCTGTGTCGTGTGTCTCGTCTTCGTCGTGTCGTCTGCCTAGCCTTCGTATGTCTCGTCTTCGTCTTGTCGGCTGTCTCTTCCTAGTCTGTGTCGTCTGTCTCGTCTTCGCATGTGTAGTATGTGTATTATTAGTATGTGTAGTATGTGCAGTATGTATAATATTAGTATGTGTAGTATGTATAATATTAGTATGTGTATTATTAGTATGTGCAGTATGTATAATATTAGAATGTGTAGTATGTGTATTATTAGTATGTGTATAAATGATATCTAGTAGTGTACTGTTTATTTAGAGACGTCGGTTGGGAGATTCCATGTGTGTTGAAATTGCAGTTTCAACATAAAACGTTTTTTCTCTTATCGGTTTACCGATCTATAAATGCAGTTTTCACTGCACTGCCTCTCACTTGTGTTAGCGTGTGTGAATGCACTCTAAGACTGAGTGATTTCGGGGATAGCCCTCGCTCCTCTCCTCCTCTCCCCCTCTCCCCCTCCCCTCTCCACTGTCCCCCTGCTGTGTGTGGTATTGATTGTGTCTTTAACAGCATTGATTGGTCACACTAGGCGGCAACTAGGGAAACATCTGTGTGTCTGGAGAAGACCACCCTCTCTCCACCTCCCTCTCTCTCTCTCTGGCTGATCCTTTGTCACCTCCAATAAACTGTCTTCACTGACAGACCTCTCCTCCATCCATCTCAAGCTGGGGACAGATTTTGGAGCAGTGATGTTTTGGGGTGACAAAGCTACCTAGGAACTACTATAGAGAATATATGAAAAGTAAGTAATTTAGATAGTGGACACATTGTAGCAAAGGTGTGTTCATTTTGCCTGGCTACCAAGACTCCTTGCTCTGACCAAACGCTACACCATGCCAACGGAGTTAGTTTAGCAAACGACAGAGCAGCGGAATAATTGAGTGTGAGTTGTCAGGCTAGTGTTAATTGTCCTTCCTTTGTATTTTCTGCCATAATGCTACTGTTTTTACTGCAGCTGTTCTAACCTAAGTACAAGTGAGTATTTTCAAACCACCCGTTGTCAAGTTTTCTAGTGACCACTAGGGGGTAGCGAGGTGGTCACTGCCAAAGGGAAACAAGTGGATGACCCTGTGGTGATGTCACAAGCAAAGAAAGCTAAATCACAGGCACAAAATAGAAAGGAAGACCAGAGAGAGAGAGAGAGAGAGAGAGAGAGAGAGAGAGAGATCTGATATATCTATATCTATACACGCGAAGATATGAGGAGAGTCTGTATTATATCGATCTCTCTTCCTCTCTCGCCGCTCCTCTCTCCTCTCTCTCTCGCTCTTCTTCTTTCTCTCTCGCTCTCTATCTCTATCAATTCGTCTCTCTCTCTCTCTCTCTCTGCTCTCTCGCTCTCTCTCCTCGTTCTCCTCTCTCTCTCTCTCTTCTCTCTCCTCTTCTCTCTCTCTCTCTATCTAGCCTCTCTCTCTTTCATCTTTTTCTTATCTATTTTTTTTTCGTGGCTTGTCTTACAGTGGTCTGTCATTATTATCTCATCACGAGGGCTTACCTGGTGACAGTGCAGTGAATGAGAAGAGAGAGTGAGGGAGACTGTGTGTATGAATTACTGAGAAAGCAGCAGAAAATAATATAATCTTTCACAGGACTGGGTTTTTCTATTGGATTACAAACAAGAAGAGGGAGAGATTTTCACAGAACACACATACAAGGTAAGATGCCTTTTATTGTACGTCACATACTTCTTTCCCAACACCCATGATTCTCTCTCTCTTAGAGCCAGGTCAGACAGGTGCAGGATTCATGTCATAATCTATTGTTTTTTATTAGCAAACAGATTGGAAGTAGTTTTGATGGTAAACAACTAAATAAATGTATGTTTACAAGCTAGTTGTATTTCCTTGGCTATGCTAGTTTTGTTATAATGTGATTGTAACAAGCATTTACTGTAACTAGTTTCAGTTATGTACAGGTTTCCTAATCAGATTCTTAGGAAAGTTTGAATTGGTCAGACAGACATAACAACAGTGATTTAACCCACATATAAAACTACGAAATTAGACTTGCTATGTGCCATAAGTGACATAAAAATGTCTGAAAGTGTGGTGTACAGCTTATGTATTCTAGATACTAAGATTATTGTTCATTTTGTCTTTGGACTGTGTCTCCTGTTTTATACAAAGGGAGGTTTGTGTGACACCTGTAAAATAAATGGTTGCTTTCTTTAGTGTATCCTTGAGTTGAGAATAAAAGTAAACAGAACTCAAGGACTCCATGACACACTCTTAGAACTCTCTAGAAATACCTCACTCAATTGAAATGCTTTTAGACTGGTACTGACTTTGAGTGCTTGAGTTATCTACTGGGTTGTGAAGTAATGTTTCAAAGTTCAGCTGACTCTATTTGTCTGTATGTGAAGAGAGGTGAGAGAGAAAAGAGAGAGAGGTGGTGTGTGTGTGTGCTTGCGTGCTTGTGTGTGTTTGTTTGTCTGGCTGTCTCAGTACAGGTGAATGATACTGCCCAGGTGAGATGAAACTAGGGTGTGTTGTGCTTGTTCAGTGTTCTGCCCTCATGACTCCATACAGTATAAGGCAGCTGGCAATGGACTCTGGAAGTTGAACAGCTGGCGGACTTTGGTTCTAGGCCACTGCATCCCTCTGAATTGTAGTCGTTATGGGTTATAATAACGGTGTAATGTCTATAAGTTGGTAGTGTCCGTGTGCAATGAGGCTATGGTGGCTTGCATATGGAGGGGCATTTGTCTGTTTTACTGTGCTGGATGGATCAACAGCAAGGCTACAGCTGACTAAAGTACTGCAGCACTGTGCCATTCTGTATGTCTGAGGCACTACCGTGGAACCAGACTGGAACCAGACTGGACCCAGCAGACCATATCATATTCACAGGGATTAGATACACAAGACATAGCTGCTGTCTACAAAGGAACGTTTGATTAGCAAGTAAGATCTCAGAGGACATACATTTACTTGGCTTGATCAATGAGGGGTAGTATTTGTGATATTTGCACCATAGAGGAAGTTTTCTTTTAAACTATTTGTGGTTTTCATTTTTTGCCTCTCATTAACTCACAGAGTTGGCAGTAGTGTACTTAAGTACTTAAGGAAAAATACTTTAAAGTACTACTTAAGTCCTTTTTTGGGGTGTCTGTAATTTACTATTTATATTTTTGACAACTTTTACTTTACTACATTCCTAAAGAAAATAATGTACTTTTTACTCCATACATTTTCCCTGACGACCAAAAGTCGTTACATTTAGAATGCTTAGCAGGACAGGAAAATGGTCAAATTCACACACTTATCAAGAGAACATCCCTGGTCATCCCTACTGCCTCTGATCTGGCAGACTCACTAAACACAAATTATTTGTTTGTAAATTATGTCTGAGTGTTGGAGTGTACCCCTGGCTATCCGTAAATACAAAAAACAAGACAATTGTGCTGTCTGGTTTGCTTAATATAAGGAATTTGAAATGATTTATACTTTTACTTTTGATACGTCAGTATATTTCAGCAATTATATTTACTTTTGATACTTAAGTATATTTAAAACCAAATACTTTTACTTGCTGACTTTTACTTGAGTCTTTTTCTATTAAGGTATCTTCACTTTTACTCAAGTATGACAATTGGGTACTTTTTCCACCACTGAGAGTAGGTCATTGTCTTTCCGAAGCATATTGTATGTACAGTATATTGTAGTCCTGCATGTGAATGTTTCTAACAGGTCATGTAAGGAAAATGTGACACAATTTGCCCTTTAATAAGGTCATTCTGGTCACATGTCTATTTACAGTACATAGAATTGACCTGTGATTTGGTGATGGTGGTTGGTGATGTTGATGATGGTGGTTGGTGATGTTGATGATGGTGTTGATGGTGGTTGGTGATGGTGTTGATGGTAGTTGGTGATGGTGTTGATGGAGAGTTGATGGTGGTTGGTGATGTTGGTGATGGTGTTGTCATTTAAGGTGGTTCCTCAATAATTATGCATAATACTTGTTGGATGCTAATTTGGTGACTGTCGAGCTGTGTAATTATGCTTTGTATTTTCACACATCATCATCTGATCCAGGAAGGAATTTTCCGAATGACAGCCAAGTGACGATCAGCTGATGTGATAGCTCATGCAATGCAACAACAGCCCAAGTGCTGGAAAAAAGGTGTTCGCCAGGAATGTCCACAATATTTTGGTGACTCTTGAGTTACACCGGTGAAGACAGTTGTGCCTGGATCCATGTTGGATCTAATATCCCTAGAGAATTGAGGTTGATCATCAGTTGTTGTCTGCTTGATTTACAGCAGGGTCTCGTTAGATTTAACAGAGAAAGCATCAAGGTAATGAGTTCATGTTTTCATATGTAATTGTGCCTCAGATTGGACACCGAGTCTGTTATCTGTAATTGGGTTGGATAGACTATTGCGCAACACCCAACACTCTTCCTATTAATTTTCTGGATATAATAACAACAAATGACATAGCCTAGTGGGCTTATTCGCAATATGATCTGGTAATGAAACAACGTGACAAATACATTTTGTTTTCCATGTTACACCTGCAATTTTAAGGTGCTTGAAGTAGACTACTTGAACTTGAAGCTCAGAAATTCAAGTACTGAAATAGGCCTAGCTTGAAAATCAGACATTTCCTCAATTTGGTGCTTGAAAAGTTATTGTAATTATTGTAGCCAATTAAACAGAATAAAAATATAAACGCAACATGTAAAGTGTTGGTTTCATGAACTGAAATAAAAGCTAATTTCTTTCAAATTTTGTGAGCAAATTTGTTTTTATCCCTGTTATTGAGCATTTCTCCTTTGCCAAGATGATCCATCCACTTGACATGTGTGGAATATCAAGAAGCTGATTAAACAGCATGATCATTACACAGGTGCACCTTGTGCTGGGGACAACAAAAGGCCACTCTAAAATGTGCAGTTTTGTCACACAACAGATGTCTCAAGTTTTGAGGGTGTGCAATTGGCATGCTGACTTCAGGAATTTCCACCAGAGCTGTTGCAAGAGAATTTAATGTTCATTTCTCTACCATAAGCCGCCTCCAACGTCGTTTTAGAGAATTTGGCAGTACGTCCAACCGGACTAAAAACCACAGACCACGTGTCACCATGCCAGACCAGGACCTCCACATTTGGCATCTTAACATGCGGGATCGCAGGTCCTGAGCGTTCTGGAACAGGTTTTCATCAAGGATCTCTCTGTACTTTGCTCCGTTCATCTTTCCCTCGATCCTGACTAGTCTCCCAGTCCCTGCCACTGAAAAACATCCCCACAGCATGATGCTGCCACCACCATGCTTCACTGTAGGGATGGTGCCAGGTTTCCTCCAGACATGACGCTTGGCATTCAGGCCAAAGAGTTCAATCTTGGTTTCATCAGACCAGAGAATCTTGTTTCCCATGGTCTGAGAGTCTTTAGGTGCCTTTCGGCAAGCTCCAAGCGGGCTGTCATGTGCCTTGTACTGAGGAGTGGCTTCTGTCTGGCCACTCTACCATAAAGGCCTGATTGATGGAGTGCTGCAGAGATGGTTGTCCTTCTGGAAGGTTCTCCCATCTCCACAGGGGAACTCCTGAGCTCTGTCAGAGTGACCATCGGGTTCTTGGTCACCTCCCCGATTGCTCAGTTTGGCCGGGCGGCCAGCTCTAGGAAGAGTCTTGGTGGTTCCAAACTTCTTCCATTTAAGAATGATGGAGGCCACGGTGTTCTTGGGGACCTTCAATGCTGCAGACATTTTTTGGTACCCTTCCCCAGATCTGTGCCTTGACACAATCCTGTCTCGGAGCTCTACAGACAATTCCTTCGACCTCATGGCTTGGTTTTTGCTCTGACATGCACTGTCAACTGTGGGACCTTATATAGACAGGTGTGTGCCTTTCCAAATCATGTCCAATCAATTGAATTGACCACAGGTGCTCAAATGGAAATACCTTATTTACATAAGTATGATTTATTTTATTTTATACATTTGCTAAAATTTCTACAAACCTGTTTTCACTTTGTCATGATGGGGTATTGTGTGTAGATTGATGAGGATTTTTATTTATTTAATCTATTTCACCTGCTCCTCCTCCAGCTCCTCCTCCAGCTCCTCCTCCTCCTCCTCCTCCTCCTCCTCCTCCTCCTCCTCCTCCTCCTCCTCCTCCTCCTCCTCCTCCCCCCCCCATCTAACTAAGAACTCTCTCCAGCTGTTAAATGACTGAGTGTGACTTTTGGGGTTACTGTTCAATTTAGACTATATTCTCCTACTGTGTTAGGCTTACATATCCCACTTGTTGATCTCTAAGCAGGACTAGGCCTGTCATCTTATTCCAAAATAATCCATTAGGATTCTGAAAATTGTCTGACCTGAGACACTATCAGTGTCTACAGAACAATTTCTGACCTCTTCACAGCATCCTAACAGATGTCCTCCTTTGTCCCTTCTGTCAGGGTAGTAATGAAGCTTCTAGCGGCCATAGCAGTGGTGCTCCTCCTGGTGGCGGTGGAGAGTATGGCGGCCAGAGGCATGTCCAGGAGGACCAAGAGGGATCTGATGAGCCCGCTGCACATTGGGGGAATCAGGGACCCGTTTGGGTTGTACTGCGAGCGGAGGGGGGGCTGCTGCCCGGGCCGGGACGACCAGTGTACGGTGCCCTACCTGGACACCATCTGTTACTGTGACCTGTTCTGTAACCGAACCATCTCCGACTGCTGCCCCGACTTCTGGGGCCACTGTCTGGGCATCTCACCCCCTTTCATTGGTAAGTTAGAGGGTGTGTGTGGGGAGGAGGGTGTGGGTGTGTGGGCCTGCCATTTAGGATTAAGACAGAAAGGCCCAGTACAGTGACACACCTGTACAGTTGCTAGAGTATACAGGTCCCACACTGAGTGGCTACTATAGGACTACTGAATTGAATGGCAACTAACAACTGCTAATCCTACGCACAGGTAAAGTTATGTGTTCAGTTGTCACAGTCACATTAGGTAAGAGGTCCCATTGGCCTGTGAAACCTTAATAAGCACACTGTGGTAAAATATAAAATACATGCTTCGTAAACAACAGGTGTAGACTAACAGAGAAATGCTTATGGACCCTTCCCAAAAATGCAGCAAGAAAAAAAGAGAAATAATACAAAAATAATAACTCAAAGAATAAATACACAATGACTAACGATAACTTGGCTATATACATGTACATGGGGTACCAGTACCGAGTCGATGTGCAGGGATACGAGGTAATTTAGGTAGATATGTACATATAGGTAGGGATAAACTGACTAGGCAACAGGATAGATAAAAGACAGTAGCAGCAGCATATGTGATGAGTCAAAAATAATTAGTGCAACATGGGTTCACTGGTTAACTTTCTCTGCTTTCACTGTATAAACATGCTCCACATACACATATCTCTGCTAGTCGTTGTGGAGGTGTAAAATGTTCCAGTGGCAGCACGGCCCTACCTGAGAATAGACCATGAACAGTGGTCTTCTTATTAGTCTGAGACAGAGGGAGGGGGGAGGACGGGGAGGGAGGGATGGATGAATGGAGGTCAGGAGAAAAAATGCACACTATGCAGAGAGAGGGAGAGATATGTGACGGGAACGGGACAGGGAGTAGGACGAGGTCGAGATAGGTATGTGCTTGCTAGATGACAGGGAGGTTGCGTTTCACAAAAGAGGGACACACACACGCAAGCATATATACACACACACCTTAGCCTGTGGGAGGCGGAGGGAAGAGGAAAGGAGTGACACCTTCATTTCTCACTCTCTCTACCTGACTTGCTCTCTCCTATCTCTCAGCTCACCTTATCAGAGAGCAGCTCAGACAAACTGTGGGATGAATTCCAAAACCATTTCATTCAAATCAAGACAAATCATTCTTGGAAACAGTAAATGCATCCCTTCCTCCAAACAGTTTCCGGCATGTCAGCTCAAGTTAAGGGTTAGGGTTAGGTTTGGGTTAGGTTCACCCCTACTAGGTCCCACTCCACAGAACCATTATGGAGTAGTGATGGAGTTAAGAAGAGTCTATTGATGCACCCGTGCGTTAATATACTGTAAGTAACATAACAAAAAAATCCCCATCAAAATCCATCAGTTTAAGCTAGAGATATCTATTTTTAGCATGGGCTGCTTCTCAATCTACCGCATCCGCTTACGGCTGGCTTCCGCAACTGCGGTGGAAGTTGGCCATGCTACAGCTGTGTTTGTCAGACCATGATACACCCCAAAAATCGGTCTTCTCACAAAAATGTCTGTAGCATCCGAACGGTTGGTGTTGCTCTACGACCCCCACAAGCCCCACGGGACTCATCTGAAGTTGGTAACGCTGATGTACCAGCTTCTGTCTGTAGCGTCCGAAACCGTTTATGCTACAAACCAATATTTTAGTGTTCTCCATTTTGCTCTTTGACCCCTACAAGCCCCATGGGACTCGTCTGAAGGTAACCCATACAAATCAATGGAAGTATGGAGGTAGTTTTGTGCCAACAAAAATAAGGGGTTAAATACATGTCCAAAAAAACTACAATATTTCCTGAGCTTTCTTACATCTCCTAAATATAGGACAGACACTTCAAAACCTTATTCCTGATGACTTTTTTTTTGCCATTTATGAATGTGTTATTCAATATTATTCAATGTTATTCATATTGTTTTATATACCTACAGGGGTCCTAAAATTGAAAATCAAATAGCTAAATTATCCATGGTTTCACCATCTTAAAACAATTCCCTATGTTAGCCCCCCCAACGGCTTAGACTTTTAGAGGTAATGAGAGGAGTAGCTGCAAACCACACAACAGTCTCGTGCAGGGCACAGCCCAGAACAGCACGGCGTCCGTTTCGGATCCTCCTCCTACTAACACCAGAGGAGTGGTAGAGGGAAGAGGTCACCAGAGATGGTGTAAATGTCTGTCCCAGTCAGTCCAGGACTTGAACTGGACATTGAAATGACCCTGTAAACCTTTGAAAATGACAATAAAAGACATTGGAAAGTAAATAATATTGAGAAAACCTAGAATAAAGGACAATAAGGATAATATATGGATTATGCGTTTTCGATTCAAACTCCATGGCATGTCCAATCCTATACTGATGAGGTCTAGATGGAATTTAAATTGACCCCACCTCTGGAGGCCACATGGGTGTGTATGGTTTTGTCTCTGCCCACTGAGGGGTGGGAGGTGTGAGGTAGAGTGGCGCCCCTGTCCCCTGGAGCCCAGTGGAGGTGGCAGGGTTTTCATTAAGTGTGTGTGTGTGTGTGTGTAATTAAGCTTGTTAAGGCATGATGAGGACCTGTTAGCCCTGGGAAACAGAGGACAGAAGCCAACAGCACATGCCAACAGCACATTCCAACAGCAGATTACTGCAGCTCAGGGTTCCCCAGACCCCACACACTAATACACACCTCACAGCCAGGGTGTTACTGTTAACTCTCTCACTACACACTCTACACTCTACACTCTACACTCTACACTCCACACTCCACACAGGCACACACACTTGCTTGGGTGCTTTCCCTCTCCCGCTGGCCTGTGTGCGCGCCCGTGTGTGCCCCTCATGTGGGTGTGCCTGTGTAGAGTGAAGAGTGTAGAGCAGGGTTCTTCAATTCCGGTCCTGGAGGGCCGAAACACCTCTGTTTTTCATCCTCTCCTTCTAATCAGGGGCTAATTCAGACCTGGGACACCAGGTGAGTGCAATTAACTACCAGGTAGAAATAAAAAAACAGAAGTGTTTCGGCCCTCCAGGACCAGAATTGAAGAACCCTGGTGTAGAGTGTAGAGTGTAGAGTGTAGAGTGTAGAGTGTAGAGTGTAGAGTGTAGAGTGTAGAGTGTAGAGTGTAGAGTGTAGAGTGTAGAGTGTGTAATCGGTATGAGTCAGCCTCTCAGATCTTCCACCACAACAGGATCAACGTAATCATTCATGTGATCCTATCTTCTGGCAACATCTTATTGAATTTCCTCCTTTTGTTTAATTCCAGGCACCTGTGAAAGAAACGGACACAAATTCCTCTCAGGACAAACATTCAAAGACAACTGCAATTTATGGTACGTGTCTCTGACCTCTTCCTTGCTTTTCTCACTGTATACATGATTTGGAAAGGCACACACCTGTCTATATAAGGTCCCACAGTTGACAGTGCATGTCAGAGCAAAAACACAGCCATGAGGTCGAAGGAATTGTCCGTAGAGCTCAGAGACAGGATTGTGTCGAGGCACAGATCTGGGGAAGGGTGCCAAAACAATTCTGCAGCATTAAGGTCCCCAAGAACACCGTGGCCTCCATCATTCTTAAATGGAAGAAGTTTGGAACCACCAAGACTCTTCCTAGAGCTGGCTGCCCGGTCAAACTGTGCAATCGAGGGAGAAGGGCCTTGGTCAGGGAGGTGACCAAGAACCCAATGGTCACTCTGACAGAGCTCTAGAGTTATTCTGTGGAGATGGGAGAACCTTCCAGAAGGACAACCATCTCTGCAGCACTCCACCAATCAGGCCTTTATGGTAGAGTGGCCAGATGGAAGCCACTCCTCAGTAAAATGCACATGACACCCCGCTTGGAGTTTGCCAAAAGGCACCTAAAGACTCTCAGACAATGAGAAACAAGATTATCTGGTCAGATGAAGCTAAGATTGAACTCTTTGACCTGAATGCCAAGTGTCACGTCTGGAGGAAACCTGGCACCATCCCTACGGTGAAGCATGGTGGTGGCAGCATCATGCTGTGGGGATGTTTTTCAGCGGCAGGGACTGGGAGACTAGTCAGGATTGAGGCAAAGATGAACGGAGCAAAGTACAGAGAGATCCTTGATGAAAACCTGCTCCAGAGCGCTCAGGACCTCAGACTGAGACGAAGGTTCACCTTCCAACAGGGCAACAACCCTAAGCATACAACCAATCCAACCTGACAGATCTTGAGAGGATCTGCAGAGAGGAATGAGAGAAACTCCCCAAATACAGGTGTGCCATGCTTGTAGCATTATACCCAAGAAGACTCGAGGCTGTTATCGCTGCCAAAGGTGCTTCAACAAAGTACTGAGTAAAGGGTCTGAATACTTATGTAAATGTGATATTTCAGTTTTTTATTTTTTATTGATTTTTTAAAAATTCTAAAAACCTGTTTTTGGTTTCGCATTATGGGGTATTGCGTGTAGATTGATAAGGAAAAAAAACGATTTAATCAATTTTAGAATAAGGTTATAACGAATGTGGAAAAAGTCAAGGGGTCTGAATACTTTCCGAATGCACTGTATCTCTGTCTCTACCCTCTTCCCTCTCACTCCCTTTCTTTACATCTCTCTGTCCAAACAGTGATCACTCCTTCAAACACTTTGATGACGTGACCTTTCTGGTTGTACCACAGACAGACCCACATTTTCCATGGAGAGTTTTGTGACCCCCGTCAATTCATTTGGTTTAATGTAGCTATCTCCTTCATGAAATGAAAGAGTCTTGCATCTTATCAAACAAGCAGCATAAGAAAAGCAACAGCAAGATATGGTAGCACATCACACTACAATACAATACTGAGCATTTGGCAACATTTGGCAACATTGTGCAACATTGCGCAACATTCGGCAACATTGGGAAACAGTGGGTCTTGTGGGGCTAGAGACAGGGGTAGGATGGGCTACCCCTACAGGGGCTAGAGGGGAACAACACATTCTTCAAATCCCCAGTGTCTCGCACCTCTCCTCCTCCATCTGTTCCTCCTCTCCCAGTTTTGGGGAGTAGTGAACTACATGTAGTTCAACTAGCAATTTAACTACATTTTGCTGAAGCTTGGTGGTAGTTCAACTCAATTCAAATCTAGGTAGTGTTTTCAGTAGTTAATTACTTTGTTTTGCCATGTAGTGGTGTAGCTAACTACTGGAACTACACACTACTTTTTTTTGCAAAAGATAAGTAGGCAAGAATTTATTTTCTTTTTCGGCGTCAGACCTGCCTAACTCTCACTTGAAACATAGTTTTTGTGTTTGATAGGCTAAATTACACATTCTCTTAACATATGACCCCAAAGTGATCTGTCTTGCAATTTGTAGTCTATGACATTTCAGATTTACATATGATAATTTTTCACGAAGTAGGTTGGATGTAGTGAACTACTTTTTCAAAGTAACTTTAGTTAAGTAAACTACTTTTTTTTTTTTCACCCAAAAACTATATTCTGGTATTTGTTTCATTAGTCCATTGTTGACATAGTCCCAAACCGTTTTGCTAGTCAGCAATCAAGTTTTCAAGATATGTAACTTTCAAAATACAGAAATCCTCCCCGTATCATGCATTTTGTATCATATGATGCTGCGTTTTGATCATATTATGCAAAATGCATCATACAGGGATGATTTCTGTATTTTGAAAGCTTAACTCCTTCCAGTGTGAAGTAATTGGTAGCTTGGTAAACTATCTTTTCAGAGTAGCTTCCCTAACACTGTCCTCTCCTCCTCTCCTCCCTTCCTCCATATTTCCCTCCTCTCTTTACAGCTGTGTTACAGTAATGAGGGGGACAGCAGAGCAAACCCAGAACCCACAGGGGCTAGGTTAATACATACTACAGACCGTGCACGTTCAGACACAGATTATCTGCTAGTCTGTATGTTTATGTGACGAGGCTAAACTACAGTAACATCCCAGTTGGGATTTAGTTAACTAATACAGGCTAAACTACAGTAACATCCCTGCTGGGATTTAGTTAACTAATACAGGCTAAACTACAGTAACATCCCAGCTAGGGTTTAGTTAACTAATACAGGCTAAACTACAGTAACATCCCAGCTAGGGTTTAGTTAACTAATACATTTACATTTACATTTTAGTCATTTAGCAGACGCTCTTATCCAGAGCGACTTACAGTTAGTGAGTGCATACATTTTCATACTGGCCCCCCGTGGGAAACGAACCCACAACCCTGGCGTTGCAAGCGCCATGCTCTACCAACTGAGCTACAGGGGACTACAATACAGGCTAAACTACAGTAACAACCCAGCTAGGATTTAGTTAACTAATATAGGCTAAACTACAGTAACATCCCAGCTAGGATTTAGTTAACGAATACAGGCTAAACTACAGTAACATCCCAGCTAGAATTTAGATAACGAATACAGGCTAAACTACAGTAACATCCCAGCTAGGATTTAGTTAACTAATACAGGCTAAACTACAGTAACATCCCAGCTAGGATTTAGTTAACGAATACAGGCTAAACTACAGTAACATCCCAGCTAGGATTTAGTTAACTAATACAGGCTAAACTACAGTAACATCCCAGCTAGGATTTAGTTAACTAATACAGGCTAAACTACAGTAACATCCCAGCTAGGATTTAGTTAACTAATACAGGCTAAACTACAGTAACATCCCAGCTAGGATTTAGTTAACTAATACAGGCTAAACTACAGTAACATCCCAGCTAGGATTTAGTTAACTAATACAGGCTAAACTACAGTAACAACCCAGCTAAGATTTAGTTAACTGATATACTGCACAGGCCAAGCCGAGTATGTTCAATCAGACTAGTGCTAATGTATTTGATAGGCATTAGAGACCCAATGCTGTATAAACCTTATATAAGATTATCACCGTTCAGCTGTGTATTACTCTAACCTAATGATATAGCAGCACTGGTTATGATTACTTATGCAGGGTTTTGTGTTGCCAGAGCAGAAATATAGTTTAGCTTTTTGATAAACCACTCTACATAGATCTAAAAAAGACCAGAATGAGATATTCCACTAGGTCGTATCTAGAGTGTAGATATGACCTAGTGGAATATCTCATTCTAGTATTTGTTTATCTATTTTAGTACCACTATACTACTACTATACTGCTACTATACTACTACTCTACTACTACTATACTACTATCATACTACTACCATACTACTATACTACTAAACTACTATACTACTACTATACTACTACTATACTACTACTATACTACTACTATACTACCACTATACTACTAATACTAATACTATACTACTACTATACTCTGTTCTATTGATAACATAATACCTGTAGGTTTAGTCTGTGATACAGATTAAGACTGAAGTCAATTTGGCTCTTGAATAGCAGCATGACATACAGTTGAAAGTGAATTTGGCCCAGGCCCCATCTTTCATATAGTCTGTCTGTGTCTGTGTCTCGATCTGTGTGCGTGTGTGTGTGTTTGCCTGTGTGTGTGTGTTGGTGTTGGTGTCTGTGCCAACCTTTCCAGCAGTGTCTCCACACCACCCACTGAGTAAGACGCTGAAATTAAAGATAATTGGGACAGAAATTCCTCGAACTGCCCAAGTGTGCAGGAACTTTGATCTACAAAATCATGTCTAGTAAACGAATACACCTGGAAACCTCTTTCTAACACAATAATATGTAGATAGACAATGCCAGGCTATCTCATAGACATCGAACTCTTTGATTTGACTTATGCACTGAGTTCTTCTCACCTGTAGCTTTTCAATTGGACTAAATTATTCCATTGAGAGACCCTCACTAATAGCTTTAGGCTTTTTGTGTTATGAGATGGACTATTCAAGTCCTAATCACTTGTGTATGTGTGGTATGGATGGTTTTCCTGTCTGGGGGATGTACAGTAGCTGAAGAGAACAGAGGGGGTAGCGGTTAGGGGGTGAGGGCGTGAGGACAGTTTCCAGGATGAGGGAAGGTTGATATCACCTATCTGCTAGAACGGTTTCTCACATCCCCGCCATGGGCTGTTTCTCAGAGAGGGTGTGTGCTTCTGTGGTTTAGTCTGTCTGTGTGTGTGTGTATGTATGTATGTATGTATGTATGTGTGTGTGTGTGTGTGTGTGTGTGTGTGTGCATGCGCATGCATGCACGCGCGTTTGTGTACTGGCGATGCGAAGGCGAGTGTCTGTGTGGCGTCTGCCCCCATTCATGTATCCATATCATATTTATTTTCACTTATGCAAAGTATCCTGTAGCTGTTTCTCTGGTCCAGTCTAACTCCAGCCATATTCCTACTGACACCACTCTCCTGTAGGCTGCATAGCACACCTGGGTTCAAATACTATTCAAAATCTTTCAAATACTTTGAGCGTTTGCTTTAGCCTGCCTGGAGTGGTGGATGGGTGTGGTGGAGACCTATGGGTCAGATAGGAGCAGAGATAGTAAAGGGGAGTATATAGACGTCCAGTCTAACCTAACGTCTCCTTCCATTGTCCAACTCTCCTTTAAGAGAGACGTTTGGAGGTTAAATAAACACTGCCATGGTAAAAATAGACCCTGCTTTCAGTACAGCATGGACCAGCATTTAAAGGAGAAGTTTTATTTTTTACAAACAAATCTATTTTTTTAAATGCAAATGGCATGTTATAGAAGGGTCCAGATGCCTTTTTTGTGATTTCACTTGTTTTTGAGAAACTTATCCCAAACAGCAAATCACTTCCTCATCCTCGTTGTGTATAATGAGGGCCCTGAAAAAACATGAACTAAGGCTCCAAAAACACCCAAATACGTCATTTTAAACGGCAAAGCTCTCAGTATAGTGATGCAGGGCTTTAAATTGTGTCATTCCGAACTTTATCTGTAAAATTATATTCCATTTTGCGCGACTCAAGTCGTTTCCCTTATCCTGCGGTTCCATTCTCCGTGTAGCTTGCTGCTACAGGTAACTGCCAAAATAAAGGAAACACCAACATAAAGTGTCTTAACAGGGCATTGGGCCACCACAAGCCACCAGAACAGCTTCAATGCGACTTGGCGTATCCTTTAAGTATAAACTGCCCTTTCACTGTTAAATTCAAACAAATGGTCCCACGCAATAAACACTCACAACCATTCATGTACTCACACGCAAGTATGAAAGCACACACGCATGTATGCACATACAGTCGTGGTCAAGCATTTTGAGAATGACACAAGTATTGGTCTTCACAAAGTTCGCTGCTTCAGTGTTATGAGATATATTTGTCAGATGTTACTATGGTATACTGAAGTATAATTACAAGCGTTCCATAAGTGTCAAAGGCTTTTATTGACAATTACATTAAGTTTATGCAGAGAGTCAATATTTGCAGTGTTGACCCTTCTTTTTCAAGACCTCTGCAATCCGCCCTGGCATGCTGTCAATTAACTTCTGGGCCACATCCTGACTGATGGCAGCCCATTCTTGCATAAACAATGCTTGGAGTTTGTCAGAATTTGTGGGTTTTTGTTTGTCCACCCGCCTCTTGAGGCTTGAACACAAGTTCTCAATGGGATTAAGGTCTGGGGAGTTTCCTGGCCATGGACCCAAAATGTCGATGTTTTGTTCCCCGAGCCACTTAGTTATCACTTTTGCCTTATGGCAAGGTGCTCCATCATGCTGGAAAAGGCATTGTTCGTCACCAAACTGTTCTTGGATGATTGGGAGAAGTTTCCCGCAGAGGATGTGTTGGTACCATTCTTTATTCATGGCTGTGTTCTTAAGCAAAATTGTGAGTGAGCCCACTCCCTTGGCTGAGAAGCAACCCCACAAATGAATGGTCTCAGGATGCTTTACTGTTGGCATGACACAGGACTGATGGTAGCGCTCACCTTGTCTTCTCCGGACAAGCTTTTTTCCGGATGCCCCAAACAATCGGAAAGGGGATTCATCAGAGAAAATGACTTTACCCCAGTCCTCAGCAGTCCAATCCCTGTATCTTTTGCAGAATATCAGTCTGTCCCTGATGTGTTTCCTGGAGAGAAGTGATTTCCTCGCTGCCCTTCTTGACACCAGGCCATCCTCCAAAAGTCTTCGTCTCACTGTGCGTGCAGATGCACTCACACCTGCCTGCTGCAATTCCTGAGCAAGCCTTGCACTGGTGGTGCCCCGATCCCTCAGCTGAATCAACTTTAGGAGACGGTCCTGGCGCTTGCTGGACTTTCTTGGGCGCCCTGATGCCTTCTTCACAGAAATTGAACCTCTGTCCTTGAAGTTCTTGATGATCCGATAAATGGTTGATTTAGGTGCAATCTTACTAGCAGCAATATCCTTGCCTGTGAAGCCCTTTTTGTGCAAAGCAATGATGACTGCACGTGTTTCCTTGCAGGTAACCATGGTTAACAGAGGAAGAACAATGATTTCAAGCACCACCCTCCTTTTAAAGCTTCCAGTCTGTTATTCTAATTCAATCAGCATGACAGAGTGATCTCCAGCCTTGTCCTCGTCAACACTCTCACCTATGTTAATGAGAGAATCACTGACATGATGTCAGCTGGTCCTTTTGTGGCAGGGCTGAAATGCAGTGGAAATGTTTTTTTTGGGATTAAGTTCATTTTCATGGCAAAGAGGGACTTTGCAATGAATTGCAATTCATCTGATCACTCTTCATAACATTCTGGAGTATATGCAAATTGCCATCATAAAAATTGAGGCAGCAGACTTTGTGAAGATTCATATTTGTGTCATTCTCAAAACTTTTCACCACGACTGTACACAAAACACACACACGCACACACACACTCCCCTACTCTCCCCTCATTTCCCATACTTGCATATTGACCTTAACACTCCTACCAGTGGTGGTCGGTGCCATTTAAGATGAGGGAGGACAAATATTTTTCTTATGAGCATGGCTTTATTTCAATACAGCAAATTGGATGTCTGTCATTCATATTCAATTCACCCAGCTCAATGTAACATCGATAGGTTTAGGCTACTACATGATAATCAAATTTTCCCTATCATGAGGTTGCTACAACCTAGCCTGTGAATGAAGGTTTACAACGTAGGTGCACAGGTCGAGAGAAATTTGAGTAATCAAGGTGACAGACATTGACACATTCAATACCTCCTTGCACACTCTTGTCTGCATCTAGCTAATCTAGCATATAATCATTAGCCAAACAGTTGCAAACAAGAGTTTATATTGGACAAATTCAGATATGTTTATCCCTGTTTTGTTCCGTTTGCTTCCGTTTAAGAAACGGCATGATCCCTTTGATTGTTGTATAATTCCTTCTCACATTCCTGGCTCTCCTCCTCTCACCATTTCCCTTCGCTTGTGGACTTCAGTGGACAACACATCAGCTGTCTCTGACCAGGCGAAAAAGCCTTTCCAAACCAAACCTTCATATCATGACCACTAACCGTTACACACAGCCTACATCATTTTCACCATATTAGCTAACGTCAAGTCAACATAGCTACTAGAACTAACGCATTAGTAAACCCGCTACAATCATACAGTAGCAGTTACACCGGCGGGCCTCGTGGCAATAAATTAATAAAACCAAAAGCTTACCTTGACTTGGAAGAGTTCCAGTGTTGGACAGCCATAGCCAGCTAGCTAACACAAACACCCGGCTCAGAGAGGGATGCTGAGTAGGCTAAACTAGCTAGCTGTATTCACTAGCTAAGTAAGTGAAAGTGAAAAAAATACCAAATATAGCTAGTCAATCAATCAATCAATTTTATTTTATATAGCCCTTCTTACATCAGCTAATATCTCGAAGTGCTGTACAGAAACCCAGCCTAAAACCCCAAACAGCTAGTAATGCAGGTGTAGAAGCACGGTGGCTAGGAAAAACTCCCTAGAAAGGCGAAAACCTAGGAAGAAACCTAGAGAGGAACCAGGCTATGAGGGGTGGCCAGTCCTCTTCTGGCTGTGCCGGGTGGAGATTATAACAGAACCATGCCAAGATGTTCAAAAATGTTCATAAGTGACAAGCATGGTCAAATAATAATCAGGAATAAATCTCAGTTGGCTTTTCATAGCCGATCATTAAGAGTTTAAAACAGCAGGTCTGGGACAGGTAGGGGTTCCATAACCGCAGGCAGAACAGTTGAAACTGGAATAGCAGCAAGGCCAGGCGGACTGGGGACAGCAAGGAGTCACCACGGCCGGTAGTCCCGACGTATGGTCCTAGGGCTCAGGTCTCTCAGTTGGCTTTTCATAGCCGATCATTAAGAGTTGAAAACAGCAGGTCTGGGACAGGTAGGGGTTTCGTAGCCGCAGGCAGAACAGTTGAAACTGGAATAGCAGCAAGGCCAGGCGGACTGGGGACAGCAAGGTGTCATCATGCCCGGTAGTCCTGACGTATGGTCCTAGGGCTCAGGTTCTCAGAGAGAAAGAGAGAACGAGAGAATTAGAGAGAGCATACTTAAATTCACACAGGACACTGGATAAGACAGGAGAAGTACTCCAGGTATAACCAACTAACCCCAGCCCCCCGACACATAAACTACTGCAGCATAAATACTGGAGGCTGAGACAGGAGCGGTCCGGAGACACTGTGGCCCCATCCGAAGAAACCCCCGGACAGGGCCAAACAGGAAGGATATAACCCCACCCACTCCGCCAAAGCACAGCCCCCGCACCACTAGAGGGATATCCCCAACCACCAACTTACAATCCTGAGACAAGGCCGAGTATAGCCCACAGAGGTCTCCACCACAGCACAAACCAAGGGGGGGGCGCCAAGCTAGTGTTCTCTCTTTCTCGCTTCTCCTTCATTTTTGAAGAAATTAATTTGTTCAAAACTGTTCAACTATTGTCTTTCTCTCTCTTTGAGTCAACTACTCACCACATTTTATGCACTACAGTGTTAGCACGCATTCATTTGCATCAAGCCCATCTTGAGCATTTGGCCATAAATTCTCATCCACATCACAGTGAATGTCCTCATTGTTCATGCACCGCGGGAAAAACCTTTTGGCATGGTGAATCCAAGCTTGACATTGGTCTGCATTGATGTCGTCACATGCCTCATCCATGGCCAGAAGGAGGGTGGCACGCTCATGGCGATAGTACACCTTCCACCTCCATGCTGAAAGAAAATCCTCAGTAGGGTTGAGGAAAGGACAGTATGGGGGCAGGTATAGGGTCACAAATTAGGGATAGGCCCGAAACCATGCCTGAACCACTTCTGCATGGTGGAACCTGACATTGTCCTACACAATGACATAGGTGACCCCTTCACCTTGACATGCCTGCTCAATTTCACTGAGAAACACAATGAGGTGTGCAGCGTTGTAGGATCCAAGTAATGGCCTACGTCCTACTATACCATCTTCATAGATAACTGTGCACATGGAGTTGTTTCCCCCCATTGTCCAGGCACCTGGACGGTCGCCCATTGGCCAATGAGGTTCAACCCACAGTGCCGAGTTTTGGCCAGGTTGAAGCCCGCTTCATCAACAAAGATATACTTGTGATGGTTCACAGCATTATCAAGTACCATTACCCTCTAAAAATATATTTTGGTTAGTTATTTTTACAGTATAGTTCCAATATGATACTGTGAAGTAGCATGTGCATCAAATAGTACCAGTAATACAGTATATAGTGCTGTACCTGAACATACTCCACCCTCAGTTGTTTCACCCTGTCGTTGTTTCTCTCAAAAGGCACCAGGTCAATGAGTTTCATAGATACCTGGTGCCTCTTCAAAAGGCAGGCGATTGTAGGTAGGCTGATGGATGCCACTTTGGCAAAGGTGTCATCGTTCTCCTCAATGTCCTGCTTTATTTCGGACAGCCGTATATCATTCCTGGCCCTCACCATTTCCACCACTGCCCACTCCTGCTGGTTGGTCAGCACACGGCCACCACCATGGGGTCTTCTGTCAATTCTGAGGGTAGAACAGGGTATACTGTCAATAGATCATACTGTAAGAATAGTGTAAGGAATTTACATGCATTACAATATGTCATTTACTGTAAATGTAATGGTGAAGCATAGTGCATATCCTGCAGACTTGCTGGTTTTCTTGGCGAAATGTTCTCATGATCGATTTGACAGTTGATTTTTTCTGATTGGGTTGAACTAATCTCGCAGCCTCTGCCATGGTAAGGGCTCTGTTTACCACATGGTCACCGATGATGGCCCGGAGTTCATTAGACACAACAGTTCCCTGCCGTCTGCCTCCCTCTCTCTGATGTCCACCTCTTTGACGGGGCCCCTGCCCACCTCTTTGACCTCTTTGACCGGGCCCCTGCCCACCTCTTTGACCTCTTTGACGGGGCCCATGCCCACCTCTTTGACCTCTTTGACGGAGCCCATGCCCACCTCTTTGATGGGGCCCATGCCCACCTCTTTGACCTCTTTGACGGGGCCCATGCCCACCTCTTTGACCTCTTTCATGGGGCCCATGCCCACCTCTCTGACGGGCCCCTTGTCCACGAGCTCTTTGATTTCTTCCTCTCCCTTGTTGTCTATTCTGCTCCATGTTGAAAGAAATTGCAAGTGTTCACACCGCCCCTTTTATATGGTGACCAATTGTGGTTACCCCTATGTGAAATCAATTAGCAATAATGAGTAGTCATAATGTATGGTTATCATGTATCATACATGTAATTTAGATGTTTATACTTTACAAACACCCTGATGAAGACAGCTTGTCTGTCGAAACGTTGGTTAATAGGTTATTAAATTATTGCATCTGAGCTCCGAGAATGTGCAGCTCTCCTTTTCTTTTTCAAGTATACTTTACAAACACACTTTTTATTTCTGTAGTTCTGAAAATCCATATATAGTAGATAAACCAGTTTAAAATCTATAGGTTTACCAAATGGTTAAGTGATTAACCATTAAGCGCAGTTGGATTAAGTGATAGTCAAATGTATTTAAACAAATGAGAAGAGAATCATATTAAAAGTATTGTGAGCATTGCATTGTGGAAGGCAATTACTTTATATGAAAGGTATTTATAGATGAAACACTGATTAGGTTTGGTGAAAAAGTTACTGTGTGATTTTGTTTGTTGTACTTAGTCAATAAATAAAATAAAAAAGCCTTTTTCATGATCTGTTTTGAGTTTTGTACTAAGAGTTGTGAAATCGTACCACATACTTGTGAAAATAGTACCAAAGCGATAAAAAAAAACCAGTAACACACAGGGTTTTGAATGGAGGACAGCACTTCTGTTCCTAAATAACCAAACACTCTCCTTGTCCCTCTCCCTCAGTGTGCCCCCCTCTCCCCTCTGGTCAGCCCCCACTGTCCTTATCTCTTCCTCCTACTCACCTTGGCAGACCATTCTGATATCCTTAAAACAGTAGGCTCCTATATTACAGCAGATACCTCATGGCCAACACCACACTACTAAAATGCAGTTCAACGTCTGCTTGAGTATCTGCGAAAGCTTTGTCCGTGCATCCATTTGTTTTTCAATGTGTAAGTGTGTGTGTGTGTGTGTGAAGTGTCTGTGGCACAGGTGGCTGGTGGCAACTTAATTGGGTAGGACAGGCTCATAGTAATGGCTGGACCGGAATGAGTGGAATGGTAAAACCATGTGTTTGATCCCACTCCATTTCAGCCATTATTATGAGCCGTCCTCCCCTCACCAGCCTCCTGTGGTCTATGAATATCTGTGTGTGTGTTTGTTCATGTTTGTTCATGTTTATTGTGTCTATCACCATGTGTGTGAGAAGTGTTCCTGTCTGATAAGCCCAGGCTTTTGTGGTCGTGATAGGATCTGCTGTGGAGGCTTTGAGTCATTAAGCAGTTGGCCGTGATAACTCATGATAACTCTTTGCCTAGTTGAGGCCATGTCTGTGGCAACACCTCACGCTTTCGGTAGCACCTCACGCTTTTGGCTCTGGGGTTGTCTTCCTATTGATCTGGCTGGGGTCGTCTTCCTATTGATCTGATTGGGGTCGTCTTCCTATTGATCTGGCTGGGGTCGTCTTCCTATTGATCTGATTGGGGTCGTCTTCCTATTCATCTGGCTGGGGTCGTCTTCCGATTGATCTGACTGGGGTCGTCTTCCTATTTATCTGGCTGGGGTCGTCTTCCTATTGATCTGGCTGGGGTCGTCATCCTATTGATCTGGCCTGGGTCGTCTTCCTATTGATCTGGCTGGGGTCATCTTCCTATTGATCTGACTGGGGTCGTCTTCCTATTGATCTGGCTGGGGTCGTCTTCCTATTGATCTGGCTGGGGTCATCTTCCTATTGATCTGACTGGGGTCGTCTTCCTATTGATCTGGCTGGGGTCGTCTTCCAGTTGATCTGGCTGGGGTCGTCTTCCAATTGATCTGGCTGGGGTCATCTTCCTATTGATCTGGCTGGGGTCGTCTTCCTATTGATCTGATTGGGGTCGTCTTCCTATTGATCTGGCTGGGGTCGTCTTCCTATTGATCTGGCTGGGGTCATCTTCCAATTGATCTGGCTGGGGTCATCTTCCTATTGATCTGGCTGGGGTCGTCTTCCTATTGATCTGACTGGGGTCGTCTTCCTATTGATCTGACTGGGGTCGTCTTCCTATTGATCTGACTGGGGTCGTCTTCCTATTGATCTGGCTGGGGTCATCTTCCTATTGATCTGACTGGGGTCGTCTTCCTATTGATCTGACTGGGGTCGTCTTCCTATTGATCTGACTGGGGTCGTCTTCCTATTGATCTGGCTGGGGTCATCTTCCTATTGATCTGGCTGGGGTCGTCTTCCTATTGATCTGGCTGGGGTCGTCTTCCTATTGATCTGGCTGGGGTCGTCTTCCTATTGATCTGGCTGGGGTCGTCTTCCTAATGATCTGGCTGGGGTTGTCTTCCTAATGATCTGGCTGGGTTTCTGTTGGATCTGGTCTGCATCCCAAAATGGAACCCTTTCCCCTTTTTTAGTGCACTACTTTTGACCTGGGCTCTGGTCAAAGATAGTGTACTATATATGGAGTAGGGTGCCATTTAGGACTCAACTCTGTTGTAGTCTACTGTGTTGGCCAGTGTCCTTTAGTAGAACAAGCTAAGTGTCCCATAGGGTCAGACTGTAGTATAGCACATGGCCATAGCCACAGTGTTTACCCATGTGACCAGGGAGGTCATTTAACCCCACGATCACTGTGAGGGGCAGCTAGAGCACGTAAAAACATAGCAGTGTTTTCACACAGAGAGTGTGAGAGGCTTTGTGCCGCCATATGTGCTCAGGTCACCCCCCACAGAGCACAATGCCCTTTTCACTGTGTGTCAGTGTGTGTGTGTTTGTGTGCGTGCATGTCTTTTGAATGTCTTTTCGTGTTTCTATCCGTCTGCCTGTCTGTGAATTTGCGCGCTTCATCACTGCGTGTTTTGGTGTTTATTATCTGTCTGACTGGGGCATTGACAGGAACTCCAGTCCCTAAAATAGGACCACAGATACAGCAGACGTTATAGTCTGAGGTTTATAGGTAGAGCTGTGTGTGAGAGAGACCAGTGATAGGGTTCATATTATCTAAGGATAAGAAGTTAAGTCATCATTTCCCTTTAGATAGCACTGTATATGAACCACCTGTGCGAGTGTTTCACTCATTATGAATGCATAGATTGCTATTAGGAGTCATTAGCTATAATGAATGTTTACAGCAAGTCTTCTATTGCACTATGGCTGTCAGGCCCTAAACATATTATACACAGTTGGCTTAAAGAGGCGTTACCATGGCAATGTATAGCTACATCACACACTCTTCCATACAGTATGTTGTACAGTAGGCTCATCAGATTCTATGGCGGTGTCCCAAATGGCACCCTATTCCCTACATAGTGCACTACTTTTGACCAGAACTCTGTGGACCCTGACCAAAAGTAGTGCACTATATAGGGAATAGCAGGCCATTTGGGGCACACACAGCCTATTACTGTACTGTACTCTATGTGTGTGTCCGGCTACTAGTTGTTTCCGGGGGTCCTTGGCACACACACATCCCCACAGCACAACACAGACAGAAGGAATGCTCTACTTCAGTGGATCGCAAACATTTTAATGTCGTCATGTTTTAACGAGTCCATCAGACTGGTTAGTATTCACTCCCCCCTGGTTCCTCCTGACTAAAAATGGATATTTTGCAGTGCTCTGTAGCCTTAAAAGGTCCCTTGTTCCTCCTCTTCTTTCTCTCTCTCTCTCTCTCTCTCTTTGCCAAATCCCTTGTTCCACTTGTTCAGTCTCTCCCGGGGAATTAGAGTATACAGTATAGCTTCTTATTTATTTGTTACCCTTCAAACATTCTCTGTTGACTGTTGGCTTCCTTGTTCCTTCTGTTAATTTAGAGTAATTACTTCACAACAGTGGACAATAATCAGTAAGTTACAACAATCAACTTCAGTGTGTGCAGTACAGTAATACACTTCCATTTCTTATAATTAAGCCCTAAAATGTGGCACCATTAGCCATGAATCTAAAGCAGTGTTCTGAGTTCTGACCCCTGTCCATTCTAACTTTGTATCTCTTGTATCCTCCCTCTGCTCCCTTCTTCTTTTCTCTTCCTGCTCTTTATCTGCCCCTCTCTCTGCCTCTCTCTGCCTCTCTCTGCCTCTCTCTGCCTCTCTATGTCTCTCTCTGTCTCTCTCTGCCTCTCTCTGTGTCTCCATGTCTCTCTCTGTGTCTCTCTCTCTCTCTCTCTCTGTGTCTCTCTCTGTGTCTCTCTCTGCCCTTTTTACCTCTCTGTGTCTCTCTCTCTGTCTCTCTCGTTGTCCCTGTCTCTGTCTCTCTCTTTGTCCCTGTCTCTGTCTCTCTCTGTGTCTCTCGCTCTCTGTCTCTCTCTGTGTCTCTCGCTCTCTGTCTCTCTCTGTGTCTCTCGCTCTCTGTCTCTCTCTGTGTCTCTCGCTCTCTGTCTCTCTCTGTGTCTCTCGCTCTCTGTCTCTCTCTGTGTCTCTCGCTCTCTGTCTCTCTCTGTCTCTGTCTCCCTCTCTGTCTCTCGCTGTCTCTCTCTCTGTCTCTCTCGGTGTCTCTCTCTGTCTCACTCTCTCTCTGTCTCTCTGTCTCTCTGTCTCTCTGTCTTTCTCTCTCTGTCTCTCTCTCTGTCTCCCTCTGTGTCTCTGTGTCTCTCTCTCTATGTGTCTCTCTCTGTGTCTCTCTGTCTGTGTCTCTCTGTCTGTCTCTCAATTTCAATTCAATTCAATAGACTTTATTGACATGGCAAGTAAAATTAGTTACATTGTCAAAGTATACATATAACAAAAATTGTGGGACCAACAGCAATAATAATAGTAGTAGTGGAAATGGGATTACCATTAACAGCAACTACAACAACAATATTAATGAGAATAACAATACATTAAAGCAATAGTAGTCAACCAATCTCAACATGACTGAGAAGACACATGACATGCTATGAAAGCCAAAACAAAACAGGAAATATTATTGACATTACATTACACTTTTCACTGGCTGTCCCTCAGGTTGTGGCAGGAGGACACATATTTGGCTGCCAAAATTGCACATTTTGGCTTTTCACCCAATAAATATTTGATTTTTTCTTCCTCTTTTATAGTTTCAAATTCTTTGTACTGAATGATAATTTTGGGAAAGAAAGATTCTCTTAGGTCTGAGTATTTGTCACAGTGTAATAGGAAATGCAGCTCTGTCTCTACCTCTCCCCGGGGGCAGAGTGAGCACAGCCTGTCCTCTCTGGGCAGCCAGGTTTGCCTGTGACGACCGGTCTCTATAGCCAGACTGTGCTCACTGAGTCTGTACCTAGTCAGTGTTTTTCTCAGTTTTCTATCAGTCACAGTGGTCAGATAGTCTGCCACCATGTACTGTCTGTTTAGAGCCAAATAGCATTGAAGTTTACTTTGATTTTTTGTGGTGTCTTTCCAATAGGTGATATATTTTTCTTTTTGCTTTGTGATGATTTGGTTGGGTGAGATTTTCTGAGTGCTGTCCTGAGGCTCTATGAGGTTGGTTTTGGTTAGTGAACTGAGCCTCAGAACCAGCTGGCTGAGGGGACTCTTCTCTTGTTTCATCTCTTGACATAGTAGAGCTGTGTGATGGAATGTTTTGGGGTCACTTGTTTTTAGATGGTTGTCAAATTTGATGGCTCTTTTTTCTATTCGAATAAGGAGGGGGTATTGGCCCAATTCTGCTCTACATGCGTTATTTTGAGTTTTTCTTTGCACTTGCAATACAGTCTTGCAAAACTCTGCATGCAGTATTTCGATTGGATGTTTGTCCCATTTGGTAAATTCAGTATTAGAGAGCGGACCCCATACTTCGCTGACATATAGAGCAATTGGTTCTAAAACTGATTGGAACATTTTGAGCCAGATTCTAATTGGAATTTCGATTTTAATATTCCTTTTAATGGCATAGAATGCTCTTCTTGCTTTGTCTCTCAGCTCATTCACAGCCATGTGAAAGCTATAGTGGGGGAAAAAAAAGTATTTAGTCAGCCACCAATTGTGCAAGTTCTCCCACTTAAAAAGATGAGAGAGGCCTGTAACACATTGTAGGATTTTTTATGAATTTATTTGCAAATTATGGTGGAAAATAAGTATTTGGTCAATAACAAAAGTTTCTCAATACTTTGTTATATACCCTTTGTTGGCAATGACACAGGTCAAACGTTTTCTGTAAGTCTTCACAAGGTTTTCACACACTGTTGCTGGTATTTTGGCCCATTCCTCCATGCAGATCTCCTCTAGAGCAGTGATGTTTTGGGGCTGTCGCTGGGCAACACAGACTTTCAACTCCCTCCAAAGATTTTCTATGGGGTTGAGATCTGGAGACTGGCTAGGCCACTCCAGGACCTTGAAATGCTTCTTACGAAGCCACTCCTTCGTTGCCCGGGCGGTGTGTTTGGGATCATTGTCATGCTGAAAGACCCAGCCACGTTTCATCTTCAATGCCCTTGCTGATGGAAGGAGGTTTTCACTCAAAATCTCACGATACATGGCCCCATTCATTCTTTCCTTTACACGGATCAGTCGTCCTGGTCCCTTTGCAGAAAAACAGCCCCAAAGCATGATGTTTCCACCCCCATGCTTCACAGTAGGTATGGTGTTCTTTGGTTGCAACTCAGCATTCTTTGTCCTCCAAACACGACGAGTTGAGTTTTTACCAAAAAGTTCTATTTTGGTTTCATCTGACCATATGACATTCTCCCAATCCTCTTCTGGATCATCCAAATGCAAACTTCAGACGGGCCTGGACATGTACTGGCTTAAGCAGGGGGACACGTCTGGCACTGCAGGATTTGAGTCCCTGGCGGCGTAGTGTGTTACTGATGGTAGGCTTTGTTACTTTGGTCCCAGCTCTCTGCAGGTCATTCACTAGGTCCCCCCGTGTGGTTCTGGGATTTTTGCTCACCGTTCTTGTGATCATTTTGACCCCACGGGGTGAGATCTTGCGTGGAGCCCTAGATCGAGGGCGATTATCAGTGGTCTTGTATGTCTTCCATTTCCTAATAATTGCTCCCACAGTTGATTTCTTCAAACCAAGCTGCTTACCTATTGCAGATTCAGTCTTCCCAGCCTGGTGCAGGTCTACAAATTTGTTTCTGGTGTCCTTTGACAGCTCTTTGGTCTTGGCCATAGTGGAGTTTGGGGTGTGACTGTTTGAGGTTGTGGACAGGTGTCTTTTATACTGATAACAAGTTCAAACAGGTGCCATTAATATAGGTAACGAGTGGAGGACAGAGGAGCCTCTTAAAGAAGAAGTTACAGGTCTGTGAGAGCCAGAAATCTTGCTTGTTTGTAGGTGACCAAATACTAATTTTCCACCATAATTTGCAAATAAATTCATTAAAAATCCTACAATATGATTTTCTGGATTTTTTTCTTCTCAATTTGTCTGTCATAGTTGACGTGTACCTATGATGAAAATTACAGGCCTCTCTCATCTTTTTAAGTGGGAGAACTTGCACAATTGGTGGCTGACTAAATACTTTTTTCCCCCACTGTACCTGTGTTGCTGATATTTAGTCCTAGATATGTGTAATTTTTGGTGTGTTCTAATAGAACTGTGTCCAAATAGAATTTATATTTGTCATCCTGATTTCCGGACCTTTTTTGGAATATCATTATATTCGTTTTTTTTTAGATTAACGGACAGGGCCCAGGTCTGACAGAATTTGTGCAGATGACCTAGATGCTGCTGTAACCCCTCCTTAGTGGGAGACAGTAGCACCAGGTCATCTGCGTACATTCTCTCTCTGTCTCCCTCTCTGTCTGTGTCTCTCTCTGTCTGTGTCTCTCTCTGTCCCTCTCTCTGTCTCTCTCTCTCTCTCTCTCTCTGTCTCTGTCTCTGTCTCTGTCTCTGTCTCTGTCTCTGTCTCTGTCTCTCTCTCTCTCTCGGTCTCTCTCTGTTTCTAGTAGGGTGAGGCCGGGTGCTGCAGACTGTTCTAGTGCCCTCGCCAATTCGTTGATATATATGTTGAAGAGGGTGGGGCTTAAACTGCATCCCTGTCTCACCCCACGGCCCTGTGGAAAGAAATGTGTGTGTTTTTTGCCAATTTTAACCGCACACTTGTTGTTTGTGTACATGGATTTTATAATGTTGTATGTTTTTCCCCCAACCCCACTTTCCATCAATTTGTATAGCAGACCCTCATGCCAAATTGAGTCAAAAGCTTTTTTGAAATCAACAAAGCATGAGAAGACTTTGCCTTTGTTTTGGTTTGTTTGTTTGTCAATTAGGGTGTGCAGGGTGAATACGTGGTCTGTCGTACGGTAATTTGGTAAAAAGCCAATTTGACATTTGCTCAGTACATTGTTTTCACTGAGGAAATGAACTAGTCTGCTGTTAATGATAATGCAGAGGATTTTCCCAAGGTTGCTGTTGACGCATATCCCACGGTAGTTATTGGGGTCAAATTGTCTCCACTTTTGTGGATTGGAGTGATCAGTCCTTGTTTCCAAATATTGGGGAAGATGCCAGAGCTAAGGATGATGTTAAAGAGTTTAAGTATAGCTAATTGAAATCTCTCTCTCTATCTCTCTCTCCCTCTCTGTCTCTCTCTCTCTCTCTCTCTCTCTCTGTCTCGCTCTGTCTCTCTCTCTCTCTGTCTCTCTCTGTTCCTCTCTCTGTCTTCCTCTCTGTATCTCTGTCTCTCTCTCTGTATCTTTCTGTCTCTCTCTCTTTCTCTTTCTCTCTCTCTGTCTCTTTCTCTGTCTCTCTCTGTCTCTCTCGGTGTCTCTCTCTCTGTCGGTCTCTCTCTCTGTCTCTCTCTCTGTATCTCTCTCTGTATCTCTCTCTGTCTCTCTCTCTGTCTCTCTCTCTCTGTCTCTGTGTCTCTCTCTCTCTGTCTCTGTGTCTCTCTGTCCCTCTCTCTGTCCCTCTCTCTGTCTCTCTCTCTGTCTCTCTCTCTGTCTCTCTCTCTCACTCTCTCTCTCTGTCTCTCTGTCTTTCTCTCTATGTCTCTCTGTGTGTGTCTCTCTCTCTCTCGCTCTCTCTCTCTCTCTCTCTCTCTCTCTCTCTCTCTCTCTCTCTGTCTGCCTGTCTCTCTCTCTGTGTCTCTGTCTCTCTCTCTCTCTGTCTCTCTTTGTCACACTCTTTCTTATTCCTATCTATTCCATTCCCATCTTTCCCCTCTCTCTCCCTCCCCTCTTCTACCTCTCTGCTCTTCTCCTCCTCCCCTCCTCTACCTCCTACAGTACGTGTGGAACGACTGGGCGTTGGGAGTGTGAGCAGCATGCCTGTCTCATAGAGAATGATATGATCCAGGCAGTCAACAGAGGAAACTATGGGTAAGGGCCCTTAAACACACACGCATGCACACACACACACACAAACACACACATACACATGCACGCTAGTGATGCACGGGTTGACTCATAACCTGCGTGTGGGTTTACGGTCATTAAATATTGTGTGGATCAAGGGCGGGTGGGTGGCGGGCATGTTGAATAAAGAGAAAAGTCTTGTGCAATTTATATCTATAGTCTACATCAATGTTTTTCTTTCATTATTTTAGGCTATCTGGCATTAATGCGTAAGCTTTAGGGCCTAACAAATAGCCTACACACCAATCGCCAAATGCTTTTGGGAACAGGCAGAAAAAGTTAACATCGATCCACGAAGGTACAAAGGACAATGTCAGAGTTTAATTCAATAATAATAATAATATAATAATATGCCATTTAGCAGACGCTTTTATCCAAAGTGACTTACAGTCATGTGTGCATATATGTTTACGTATGGGTGGTCCCGGGGATCGAACCCACTACCACTACCCTGGCGTTACTAGCGCCATGCTTTACCAATTGAGCTAAGGGAGAAGCTACTAATTAGAGTGTTGAAAATAAATAGAAGGGAAGGCCAGAAAAGTAAATGTTGTACATTTAGCAGACACTCTTATCCAGAGCGACTTACAAGAGCATTTAGGGTTAAGTGCCTTGCTCAAGGGCACATCGACAGATTTCTTTCACCTAGTCGGCTCGGGGATTCGAGTCAGCAACCTTTCACTTTTACTGGCCCAATGCTCTTAACCGCTAGGCTACCTGCCACCCATGAGCGGTAATTGAAGATGATAGCAGTGACGGTTATTTGTGACGATTGTGAGGCACCATACAAATTTGACAGTCACAAGACAGGGACTTCAAATAGGCCTATGGCACGTCAAGGGAACTGTAGCATACTGTTGAGATTGGTTAAGTGGAAACTGAAATCTGGACACTGACTGTAGGTTTGTAACCTCTCACATAGCCTTTTAACTCCTGCAGAATTAAGCATTTCTTGCATTAAAATGATACACCAAATCTAGGCAACATTTTTACTCGGGAACAGAAGTGGAGAAACATGATTTCTTTATTTCAGCATCGTGAGAGAATGCAAATGTGCACTTAGATACCGTCAGTAGAGGTGGTGACTTTATCAGCATTATAAAAGCTGATAGTATTTCAACCACATAAAATATGCATCCAAGCCGAACTGAAATCTTATCAGAAATATGTTGGGTCGTTATCACAGCTTTCTATTTCCTTACAACAGGTCAAACTGATGTTATTTGGACGACATTTTGCACAGGAAATCTTTCCATTATAAATACATTTGTTGCTACATTTTCTCCCCGGTCCCTAAACGTCTTAGCTCCCTGAAAGAAGCAGAAATGACAGAGAACTTTGCTAGATTGAAGCATTCATTCTATCGATTTATTACATTATTCTGGTGAGCAAGGGTTTATTTCGGTCTTACTGACAGAAGAGAAGCTGCATGTATCTAATTATAGACAAGTTGACTAACAAACAGCCTATCAAAAAATCATTCTGCCGTCTGACTGTAGCCTACAGCGCATTTTCTATATTAGCGTTTAGGGTTGGATGCGGGCCTCAGATTTCCACTTTATCACATATAGTCGGGCGGTTGGGGATGGGTTATTAGCAATTGCGGGCAGGTGCAGGTAAACAAACAGCTGACCTGTGTACCACTTCTTCAATACGGCCCCTCAAGTCTGAGGAAGGAACTATACGTTGCGTCCCAATTTCACGTACACACACACGCGCACACACACACACACACACACACAAACATGTTTTCTCACACTTACTGTTTGGACTTTCCTCTCCTTTGTCTCCCTAGCTGGCAGGCAGCAAACTACAGCCAGTTCTATGGCATGTCTCTGGACGAGGGCCTGAGGTATCGCCTGGGGACACAGAGGCCCTCCAGGACCATCATGAGCATGAACGAGATGCAGGTGAGAGGACCTGTCTGCTGGGTAGGGAAAGGGCGGGGTGTGGGGATGGGAGTTGGGCTGGGTGATTCATGGGATACATCTCGAATGGCACCCTATTCCCTATATAGTGCACTACTTTTACCAGGGCCCATACATGGGATGCAGATATGTTGTCACGGCCTTGAGAGTGAGGGACGGTCCAGTCTGCTTTTCAAATTGCTTGTGCATCAACAGGGACCCATGACATAATATTTTATATAAAGATTCTGCTGGCCTGGCCTGTATCATTACCAGCTATGGCTACCAGGCGGAGTCTGGTATTGGTCTGTTGATAATTCTTTGTCTGTCTGGATCTTGGAAGCCTCCTCTCTGCTATGTGCCATCTTTAGCTTATGTTTACATTCTAACCAGACAGATTATGTAAGAGCCAATCAGAGAGAGGTTTAGGAGAGAGGGAATGGGGGATAGGATAGGGGTGAAGGGGAGGATGGGGTAGAGGATAGAGGTGGAGGGGAGGATGGGGTAGAGGATAGAGGTGGAGGGGAAGATGGGGTAGAGCCATCTCTCCTTCAGACAACACAACTGACTGGCCCTCCTCTCTCCCCCCTACCCTACCCTTCCCAACCCCTATCCCCCATCTCTCCCACCCTACATCCTCCAGACCTAACTCCCCCACTCCTCCTCCCTTCAACTTCACTCTCTCCAATCCCCCACTCCCCCAGCCCAACATGCCCCTACCTGTACCAGGAGCCAGATCTAAGCAGGAAAGCTTATTCATAAATAATTTTTCTGTTGTCTGTCTCCCAGCTCAGTCCCCACACGTCTAACAGTCATACTGGGTAATGGATAGGCCCACTCCGAACTCCCTAACTCACTCCCACTCCACTCCTAATTCCTGGGGGGTTGGAGCCACACACACACACACACACACACAGATATTAGCGGGAAGGAATGGGAGGAGGACGTACCAGCAGCTGTGCTCTGTCTAAACAGAGATAGAGTTACACACGACCTTGATACGCTAATGCTACATAACGGCAGCATGCCTCCCACCTCCAGACCTGGCCTGTCTGTGTCCCAAATTCCCTGTCTGACACCATATTCCCTATATACAGTTGAAGTCGGAAGTTTACATACACTAAGTTGACTGTGCCTTTAAAAAGCTTGGAAAATTCCAGAAAATGATGTCATGGCTTTAGAAGCTTCTGATAGGCTAATTGACATCATTTGAGTCAATTGGAGGTGTACCTGTGGATGTATTTCAAGGCCTTCCTTAAACTCAGTGCCTCTTTGCTTGACATCATGGGAAAATCAAAAGAAATCAGCCAAGACCTCACAAAAAAATGGTAGACCTCCACAAGTGTGGTTCATCCTTGGGAGCAATTTCCAAATGCTTGAAGGTACCGCGATCATCTGTACAAACAATAGTATGCAAGTATAAACACCATGGGACCACACAGCCGTCATACCGCTCAGGAAGGAGACGCGTTCTGTCTGCTAGAGATTAACGTACTTTGGTGCGAAAAGTGCAAATCAATCCTAGAACAACAGCAAAGGAACTTCTGAAGATGCTGGAGTAAACAGGTACAAAAGTATCTATATCCACAGTAAAACAAGTCCTATATCGACATAACCTGAAAGGCCGCTCAGCAAGGAAGAAGCCACTGCTCCAAAACCGCCATAAAAAAGCCAGACTACAGTTTGCAACTGCACATGGGGACAAAGATCGTACTTTTGGAGAAATGTCCTCTGGTCTGATGAAACAAAAATAGAACTGTTTGGCCATAATGACCATCGTTATGTTTGGAGGAAAAAGGGGGTTGCTTGCAAGCCGAAGAACACCATCCCAACCGTGAAGCATGGGGGTGGCAGCATCATGCTGTGGGGGTGCTTTGCTGCAGGAGGGACTGGTGCACTTCACAAAATAGATAGCATCATGAGGAAGGAAAATGATGTGGATATATTGAAGCAACATCTCAAGACATCAGTCAGGAAGTTAAAGCTTGGTCGCAAATGGGTCTTCCAAATGGACAATGACCCCAAGCATACTTCCAAAGTTGTGGCAAAATGGCTTAAGGACAACAAAGTCAAGGTATTGGAGTGGCCATCACAAAGCCCTGACCTCAATCCTATAGAACATTTGTGGGCAGAACTGAAAAAGCTTGTGCGAGCAAGGTGGCCGACAAACCTGACTCAGTTACATCAGCTCTGTCAGGAGGAATGGGCCAAAATTCACCCAACTTATTGTGGGAAGCTTGTGTAAGGCTAACCAAAATGTTTGACCCAAGTTAAACAATTTAAAGACAATGCTACCAAATACTAATTGAGTCTATGAAAACTTCTGACCCCATTGGAAATGTGATGAAAGAAATAAAAGCTGAAATAAATCATTCTCTCTACTATTATTCTGACATTTCACATTCTTAAAATATAGTGGTGATCCTAACTGACCTAAGACAGGGAATATTTACTAGGATTAAATTAAATTAATTACTTAAAAATCATACAATGTGATTTTCTGGATTTTTGTTTTAGATTCCGTCTCTCACAGTTGAAGTGTACCTATGATAAAAATGACAGACCTCTACATGCTTTGTAAGTAGGAAAACCTGCAAAATCGGCAGTGTATCAAATACTTGTTCACCCCACTGTATGTGAGGCAGCATAGAAATGCCCATTTATGATTTAATGTGATAAGCATTATGATAAGCTTGCTATCCCAGGTATTTGTCTGAGGTGTTATCATAGTGATTTAATTCTGGAGTCCATATTAGGTGTTTAAAGCTGGATCAGGTTCCCCTTTCAATCTCTGCTGTTTCTAGATTCATCACATATTATTTCCAGTGAGAGTACAGTGAGGGGGGAAAGTATTTGATAACCTGCTGATTGTGTACGTCTGCCCACTGACAAAGAAATGATCAGTCTATAATTTTAATGGTAGGTTTATTTGAACAGTGAGAGACAGAATAACAACAACAAAATCCTGAAAAACGCATGTCAAAAATGTTATAAATTGATTTGCATTTTAATGAGGGAAGTAAGTATTTGACCCCTCTGCAAAACATGACTTAGTACTTGGTGGCAAAACCCTTGTTGGCAATCACAGAGGTCAGACGTTTCTTGTAGTTGGCCACCCGGTTTGCACACATCTCAGGAGGGATTTTGTTCCACTCCTCTTTACAGATCTTCTCCAAGTCATTAAGGTTTCAGGGCTGACATTAGGCAACTCGAACCTTCAGCTCCCTCCACAGATTTTCTATGGGATTAAGGTCTGGAGACTGGCTAGGCCACTCCAGGACCTTAATGTGCTTCTTCTTGAGCCACTTTTATGTTGCTTTGGCCGTGTGTTTTGGGTCATTGTCATGCTGGAATACCCATCCACGACCCATTTTCAATGCCCTGGCTGAGGGAAGGAGGTTCTCACCCAAGATTTGATGGTACATGGCCCCGTCCATCGTCAATTTGATGTGGTGAAGTTGTCCTGTCCCTTTAGCAGAGAAACACCCCCAAAGCATAATGTTTCCACCTCCATGTTTGACGGTGGGGATGGTGTTCTTGGGGTCATAGGCAGCATTCCTCCTCCTCCAAACACGGTGAGTTGAGTTGATGCCAAAGAGCTCGATTTTGGTCTCATCTGACCACAACACTTTCACCCAGTTCTCCTCTGAATCATTCAGATGTTCATTGGCAATCTTCAGACGACCCTGTATATGTGCTTTCTTGAGCAGGGGGACCTTGTGGGCACTGCAGGATTTCAGTCCTTCACGGCGTAGTGTGTTACCAATTGTTTTCTTGGTGACTATGGTCCCAGCTGCCTTGAGATCATTGACAAGATCCTCCCGTGTAGTTCTGGGCTGATTCCTCACCGTGCTCATGATCATTGCAACTCCACGAGGTGAGATCTTGCATGGAGCCCCAGGCCGAGGGAGATTGACAGTTTTTTGGGTTTCTTCCATTTACGAATAATCGCACCAACTGTTGTCACCTTCTCACCAAGCTGCTTGGTGATGGTCTTGTAGCCCATTCCAGCCTTGTGTAGGTCTACAATCTTGTCCCAGACATCCTTGGAGAGCTCTTTGGTCTTGGCCATGCTGGAGAGTTTGGAATCTGATTGATTGATTTCTTCTGTGGACAGGCGTCTTTTATACAGGTAACAAACTGAGATTAGGAGCACTCCCTTTAAGAGTGTGCTCCTAATCTCAGCTCGTTACCTGTATAAAAGACACCTGGGAGCCAGAAATCTTTCTGATTGAGAGGGGGTCAAATACTTATTTCCCTCATTAAAATGCAAATCAATTTATAACATTTTTGACATGCGTTTTTCTGGATTTGTTGTTGTTATTCTGTCTCTCAATGTTCAATTAAACCTACCATTAAAATGATAGACTGATCATTTCTTTGTCAGTGGGCAAACGTACAAAATCAGCAGGGGATCAAATACTTCTTTCCCTCACTGTAGATATTTGTACTTCTCAGGGCCTAACTGTCCGCGTGCCAAATGTCTGTTAGTGTAGCCTCCCTCAATCAGTTCAGTCAGTTCTATAGTCTGGAGACAAAGGTTATGTTTCTATTCTAACTCCTCTGAGACTGACACTAGGCCAAATGTTCCTAATCGTCTGGGAATAAGTCCTCTATAATGGAATAACTTAACAGACCTACATCATTTGTTATGTAACACACTCCGATTAGGCCATCTCACTGTAATTACATTCATGAATGTTCTATTGTGGATAAATAATCAATGGGCTGAGCACGTTCCGCACAAAAGCATCATTAGGAACTTGTTGTTGGTTTGTCAGTCTCTTTTTGTTGTTGGTTTGTCAGTCTCCTCTTGTTGTTGGTTTGTCAGTCTCCTCTTGTTGTTGGTTTGTCAGTCTCCTCTTGCTGTTGGTTTGTCAGTCTCCACTTGCTGTTGGTTTGTCAGTCTGCTCTTGCTGTTGATTTGTCAGCCTCCTCTTGCTGTTGATTTGTCAGTCTCCTCTTGCTGTTGATTTGTCAGTGTCCTCTTGCTATTGGTTTGTCAGACTCCTCTTGCTGTTTATTTGTCAGTTTCCTCTTGCTATTGGTTTGTCAGACTCCTCTTGCTGTTGATTTGTCAGTCTCCTTTGCTGTTGGTTTGTCAGGCTCCTCTTGCTGTTGGTCAACATCACTAGCACATTAGAGGCTGCTGCTGCCTATTGAAATCACTGGTCACTTTAAGAAATGGAACACTAGTTTTATAGTTATTTTTATTTATAGTTATTTTTTTATTTTTTATTTTTCTTCTGGGGGAATGGATCATCTTAATATTGCCGATAGATTGTATCTTCTATCAATGTAATTGTCTGCATCACTTCCAATCCCCCATGTTTTTATTTTAATTTTGTATATATATACTCCCCTTTATTACTTTTCAACCCCACCATCCTTTCCCTACTTGGAGTAAATTAGTGAACAACAATGCCCAGGCCTCTACTTCCGGTCTATAATTACTATCTACACCTTATGGACAGAGTTAATTTTACAATAATTCTACTCTCAACCTCTCCGATCATTTTCATGATGTCCATCCGGTTTGCTTCTATATGCCATATCTTTCTAACTGTGCTCTTTCCCAAAAGCTCCCAACATACAACCTATATACTTATTATGGACACAGTATGCTTACATTATCAGATATCTTTGTTATTATTTGTTGTTATTTGTTATTAGTCCCATCCTTCAACTCTATTCAATACCTCCCATCTATCTCTTAACACCATCCATATAGGATTTCTATTTGCCATATATATATCAACCGTACTGTGATGTTTTACAAAAGTTCTGAACCTTTCTATTCTCATTGCTTCTACAGATTGTGAATTAAAAATAAACATTTTTGCTAAAAGTATTATTATATTATTGATTGATTGACTATGACTTTTCAGATCACCCAGTAATGCTATCTGCAAGGTTAGTTCCAGGTAAATATTGCAATCCTTTAGCCATTCCTGGACCTGTGTCCAAAAACAAGCTACAAATGGACAGAACCAAAACAAATGATCTAATGATTCTGTCTCTTCACAGCAAAATCTGCAGAGCTGGGAAGATTGAATACCCCATATAAATAACATTCTATTGGTAGCAATAATTTTATATAGTAATTTAAATTGAAAGATTCTAATTTTTGAATCCGGTGTCGTTTTGCGTGTCAGTTCATAAACACTATGCCATGGGATCGGTACGTCAAAGATCTCTTCCCAACTATTTTGCAATCTATATGGGACGGCTGTCAATCCTTTGGTCCTTAAGTGAAACTGATATACTTTTTTATTTATCACAGTTTTCCTTAACCAATTATGTTATTTAATGCAAGGCCGACAGACAAGTTCCTTACTTTCTCCCCCTTCCACTTTCCTCTTCCACTTTTGCGGTAAGGCTGCAATTATTTGGTTGTAATTTTGGGTAGCGCAGACATTTCCATAAGTTTTTGTTAGCTGCATGTGCGACATAACTCCACCAGTCCTACCGTTGATATCATTTACGAAGATTATACCTTTTTTAAACATTCTGTCAAAAAATAAAGGTTTTTTGTCAATTAGTATATTTGAATTTAACCACAATATTTGTTGCATTATTTGTTCTGTCGTTTCTGGAGGATTAAATTGAAATTGCAACCAACTTTCTATGGCATGTTTTAGAAATAGTGACATTTGGGAGATTATTTCCTTTTCAAATAACTGAAAGTGAGAGGTTGTAATCTGAATAAAGGGAAAAAGGCCTTTCTTGAACATTGGGTGAGACAATCTTACTAATTTGCTTGAGAACCAGTTCAGATTTAAGTATAACTTTTGTATGACTGAAGCTTTTAGTGATAGATCTAATGCTTTAATATTTAATAATTTCTGTCCTCCGAATTCATATTCATTATATAAATATGCTCTTTTAATTTTGTCTGGCTTGCCGTTCCAAATAAAATTGAATATTTTTTTCTCATATAATTTTAAAAACTGTTCGCTAGGCGTCGGCAAGACCATAAGCAAATAGGTAAACTGGGATAATACTAAAGAGTTAATCAGGGTGATTTTTCCACAAATTGACAGGTATTTTCCTTTCCATGGTAGTAAGATCTTATCTATTTTTGCTAACTTTCTATTAAAATGTATTGAAGTAAGATCATTTATTTCCTTTGGGATATGTATTCCGAGTATATCCACATCACCATCAGACCATTTTATTGGTAAACTACATGGTAATGTAAAAATTGTATTTTTTAGTGATCCAATACGTAATATAGTACATTTGTCATAATTTGGTTGTAATCCAGAGAGGTTAGAAAATGTATCTAGATCCTCTATGAGGCTGTGGAGGGATTCTAGTTGTGGATTTAAAAGAAAACATGAATCATCAGTGTACAATGACACCTTTGTTTTTAAGCCCTGTATTTCTAATCCTCTGATATTATTATTGGATCTGATTTTAATAGCTAACATCTCGATGGCCACAATAAATAGATATGCCGATAGTGGACAACCTTGTTTCACTCCTCTTGACAGTTTAAAACTTTCTGAGAAATAGCCATTATTTACTATTTTATACCTAGGGTTACTATACATGATTTTGACCCATTTTATAAGAGATTCTCCAAAATTGAAATGCTCCAGGCATTTATATATAAACCCCAGTCGAACTTTATCAAATGCCTTTTTGAAGTCTGCTATGAATAGCATGCCTGGTTTCCCATATTTTCCATAGTGTTCTATTGTTTCCAATACTTGCCTTATATTATCTCCAATGTATCTTCCATGTAAAAAACCTGTCTGATTAGAATGAATAATATCCGACAATACCTTTTTAATTCTATGCGTTATACATTTTGCTAGGATTTTTGCATCACAACACTGAAGTGTAAGGGGCCTCCAATTTTGTAAATGGACTGGATCTTTATATTTTCCACTTGTATCCTGTTTCAGTAATAATGAGATCTTCTTCTTGAGTGTCAGATAATCTACCATTTAAATAGGAGTGGTTAAAACATGCTAATAACGGTCCTCTTAGTATATCAAAAAAGGTTTGGTATACCTCGACTGGTATGCCATCCAACCCTGGAGTTTTCCCGGACTTAAAGTCTTTAATTGCATCCAGAAGTTCCTCCTCTGTAATTTCACCTTCACATGAGTCTTTCTGTGTGGCTGTTAATTTGACATTATCAATAGAAAACAAATCTCTACAATTAGCTTCAGTTAGAGGAGATGGAGGCGACTGAAAAGAAAACATATGCTTAAAGTACTTTGTTTCTTCCTTCAAAATATAAGTTGGTGAATTATGGGTGACTCCGTCAATTGTAACCAGTTTCATTAAGTTCTTTTTGGTAGCATTCCTATGTTGAAGATTTAAAAAGAATTTTGTGCATTTTTCCCCATATTCCATCCAGTTTGCTTTATTTTTATAATATATTACACTTGATCTTTCTTGAATAAGTTTCTCCATTTCTTTTTGTTTTTCCTCTAATTTATTCTGAGCCTCTATGTTACAGTTTTTATTGCCATCTATCTGTTCTGTTAGACTTTCTATTTCCTTTCTTAGTATAAACTCTTTTGACCTAAATTGCTTTTGTTTTCGAGATGAGTACTGAATTGCATGGCTTCTAAAGGCACATTTAAAGGTGTCCCATACAATAAGGGGATTCGCTGTACCTATGTTATGTTGGAAAAAGTCAGTTATAAATTCCTTTGTTCTAATTATAAATAAATTATCATCCAATAGGCTTTGATTAAATTTCCAATATCCTCGCCCACGTGGAAATTCAGTAAGAGTAATGTATATGCCTATTATATGATGGTCCGACCGCATTCTGTCCCCCTATCAACACTTTTTTTTATACTTTTGGTGCCAACGAGAATGAGATAAGAAAGAAGTCAAGACGACTAGCTTGATTCAGTCTCCGCCATGTACAGTGGGGGAAAAAAGTATTTAGTCAGCCACCAATTGTGCAAGTTCTCCCACTTAAAAAGATGAGAGAGGCCTGTAATTTTCATCATAGGTACACGTCAACTATGACAGACAAATTGAGGAAAAAAAATCCAGAAAATCACATTGTAGTATTTTTTATGAATTTATTTGCAAATGATGGTGGAAAATAAGTATTTGGTCACCTACAAACAAGCAAGATTTCTGGCTCTCACAGACCTGTAACTTCTTCTTTAAGAGGCTCCTCTGTCCTCCACTCGTTACCTGTATTATTGGCACCTGTTTGAACTTGTTATCAGTATAAAAGACACCTGTCCACATCCTCAAACAGTCACACTCCAAACTCCACTATGGCCAAGACCAAAGAGCTGTCAAAGGACACCAGAAACAAAATTGTAGACCTGCACCAGGCTGGGAAGACTGAATCTGCAATAGGTAAGCAGCTTGGTTTGAAGAAATCAACTGTGGGAGCAATTATTAGGAAATGGAAGACATACAAGACCACTGATAATCTCCCTCGATCTGGGGCTTCATGCAAGATCTCACCCCGTGGGGTCAAAATGATCACAAGAACGGTGAGCAAAAATCCCAGAACCACACGGGGGGACCTAGTGAATGACCTGCAGAGAGCTGGGACCAAAGTAACAAAGCCTACCATCAGTAACACACTACGCCGCCAGCGACTCAAATCCTGCAGTGCTTGACGTGTCCCCCTGCTTAAGCCAGTACATGTCCAGGCCCGTCTGAAGTTTGCTAGAGTGCATTTGGATGATCCAGAAGAGGATTGGGAGAATGTCATATGGTCAGATGAAACCAAAATAGAACTCTTTGGTAAAAAACTCAACTCGTCGTGTTTGGAGGACAAAGAATGCTGAGTTGCATCCAAAGAACACCATACCTACTGTGAAGCATGGGGGTGGAAACATCATGCTTTGGGGCTGTTTTTCTGCAAAGGGACCAGGACGACTGATCCGTGTAAAGGAAAGAATGAATGGGGCCATGTATCGTGAGATTTTGAGTGAAAACCTCCTTCCATCAGCAAGGGCATTGAAGATGAAACGTGGCTGGGTCTTTCAGCATGACAATGATCCCAAACACACCGCCCGGGCAACGAAGGAGTGGCTTCATAAGAAGCATTTCAAGGTCCTGGAGTGGCCTAGCCAGTCTCCAGATCTCAACCCCATAGAAAATCTTTGGAGGGAGTTGAAAGTCCGTGTTGCCCAGCGACAGCCCCAAAACATCACTGCTCTAGAGGAGATCTGCATGGAGGAATGGGCCAAAATACCAGCAACAGTGTGTGAAAACCTTGTGAAGACTTACAGAAAACGTTTGACCTGTGTCATTGCCAACAAAGGGTATATAACAAAGTATTGAGAAACTTTTGTTATTGACCAAATACTTATTTTCCACCATAATTTGCAAATAAATTCATTAAAAATCCTACAATGTGATTTTCTGGATTTGTTTTTCTCATTTTGTCTGTCATAGTTGACGTGTACCTATGATGAAAATTACAGGCCTCTCTCATCTTTTTAAGTGGGAGAACTTGCACAATTGGTGGCTGACTAAATACTTGTTTTCCCCACTGTATATCTCACTAGATCAGTATATGTAAGCCTCCATATATCTACTAGTTCTAATGTATCCATGACATTCACAATTTCCTTAAGAGCATGTGGGTGATTGTTTGTGGTGTGATTTCCTTTACGGTCCATTGAGCTATTTAAAACAGTATTATAATCCCCCACCATAATAATATTGTCTTGAGTTCCTTGCAGGCTTGATAATTAATTATATATATTGTCAAAGAATAGTGGATCATCATTATTTGGTCCGTAAAGGTTAATGAGCCATATCTGTTTATGGTCCAATAACATATTTAAAATAATCCATCTACCTTGCGTATCTATTTGGACAATTTGCACATTCGGATCGAAATTACTATTAATTAATATCATCACCCCTTTTGAATTTCTTTGCCCATGGGAGAAGTATATTCACCCCCCCCCCCCCCCCCCCCCCCCATTCTTTTTTCCACGCTAGAGTTTCCTGTATACAATAGATATTATATTCCTTCTCTTTGAGCCATGTAAATATTGTTATTCTTTTGTTATTATCAGCTAAGCCATTACAATTATAACTGGCTATACTTATTTCACCATACACCATAATGAGATACACGTTTCAAGTCTATTTATCATTATATATGTTTGTAAATTTACCAATAAAAAATAGCGTAATGATTGAGTGTCCATATAGCTGTACCGTGATATTTGCATTGCTTCGGAGTAACCCTTCAATTGTTCTCCACTAATTCCCCCGCTAAAGCCCCTCCCCATCCCAAGTTGAGCCGTCATCCCAGTGATCAGCATCCCACCCACGTCCCTCCGTATCCCTAAGGCCCCGAGAGGCCAGGACCCATCCATCGAAAACAGCACACAGTGCCACCCACAAAACAGAAGCAGATTAACCGCCAAAAGCATTTCCAATGCTTTCACCTCTCTCTCTCTCTCTCTCTCTCTATACAGTGGGGAAAAAAAGTATTTAGTCAGCCACCAATTGTGCAAGTTCTCCCACTTAAAAAGATGAGAGAGGCCTGTAATTTTCATCATAGGTACACGTCAACTATGACAGACAAAATGAGAAAAAAAAATCCAGAAAATCACATTGTAGGATTTTTAATGAATTTATTTGCAAATTATGGTGGAAAATAAGTATTTGGTCAATAACAAAAGTTTCTCAATACTTTGTTATATACCCTTTGTTGGCAATGACACAGGTCAAACATTTTCTGTAAGTCTTCACAAGGTTTTCACACACTGTTGCTGGTATTTTGGCCCATTCCTCCATGCAGATCTCCTCTAGAGCAGTGATGTTTTGGGGCTGTCGCTGGGCAACACAGACTTTCAACTCCCTCCAAAGATTTTCTATGGGGTTGAGATCAGGAGACTGGCTAGGCCACTCCAGGACCTTGAAATGTTTCTTACGAAGCCACTCCTTCATTGCCCGGGCGGTGTGTTTGGGATCATTGTCATGCTGAAAGACCCAGCCACGTTTCATCTTCAATGCCCTTGCTGATGGAAGGAGGTTTTCACTCAAAATCTCACGATACATGGCCCCATTCATTCGTTCCTTTACACGGATCAGTCGTCCTGGTCCCTTTGCAGAAAAACAGCCCCAAAGCATGATGTTTCTACCCCCATGCTTCACAGTAGGTATGGTGTTCTTTGGATGCAACTCAGCATTCTTTGTCCTCCAAACACGACGAGTTGAGTTTTTACCAAAAAGTTCTATTTTGGTTTCATCTGACCATATGACATTCTCCCAATCCTCTTCTGGATCATCCAAATGCACTCTAGCAAACTTCAGACAGGCCTGGACATTTACTGGCTTAAGCAGGCGGACACGTCTTGCACTGCAGGATTTGAGTCCCTGGCGGCGTAGTGTGTTACTGATGGTAGTTCTGGGATTTTTGCTCACCGTTCTTGTGATCATTTTGACCCTACGGGGTGAGATCTTGCGTGGAGCCCCAGATCGAGGGAGATTATCAGTGGTCTTGTATGTCTTCCATTTCCTAATAATTGCTCCCACAGTTGATTTCTTCAAACCAAGCTGCTTACCTATTGCAGATTCAGTCTTCCCAGCCTGGTGCAGGTCTACAATTTTGTTTCTGGTGTCCTTTGTCAGCTCTTTGGTCTTGGCCATAGTGGAGTTTGGAGTGTGACTGTTTGAGGTTGTGGACAGGTGTCTTTTATACTGATAACAAGTTCAAACAGATGCCATTAATACAGGTAACGAGTGGAGGACAGAGGAGCCTCTTAAATAAGAAGTTACAGGTCTGTGAGAGCCAGAAATCTTGCTTGTTTGTAGGTGACCAAATACTTATTTTCCACCATAATTTGCAAATAAATTCATAAAAAATCCTACAATGTGATTTTCTGGATTTATTTTTCTCAATTTGTCTTTCATAGTTGACGTGTACCTATGATGAAAATTACAGGCCTCTCTCATCTTTTTAAGTGGGAGAACTTGCACAAATAGTGGCTGACTAAATACTTTTTTGCCCCACTGTATATATATATATATATATATCTATATAACTATTTTTTTATTTATTATGCATATCCTATTTTCCATCATTATCAATGAATATGCGTAATAATGTCGGCAGTTCACGCGTAGGATTCTAACATATAACCCGGATTGCCATTGTATTACATTTTAATTCATTGACAAGCAATTATTATCCTAGCAAATAATTCCCGTGGTCCATCCCATACCCTCCCCCCCAACATCCCCACCTCCCCACAACAGATGCCAGACAAGCACACACGCACATACTCACATACTCCAACACACTCAACCCTCCTCCTCCACAATCCACCATAAAATCAGATACTCAACGGCTGTTATATCCCAGAGCCCAACTCGAGAAATAACTTGATTTACGAGTGCACATACAGTTAAAGTGATTGAGAAAGCATGCAGATTGAGCAGAAATGGATAACAATGTGAGATTTGATTAATCTACTTAATCTATGTCAAGTCCTAGGTGATGGAGATCAGATCCACCTTCTTCACCTGAGACACAAACACTCTGATCCCCTGTTGTAACCATTTTCCCAAGCATCTCCATGCGGTCAGACCTTTGATTATTTTGTGCCACCTGGGCCACAATGATAAACCCCCTCTCTGATTGTCCGAGTGTGACCCCCTCCCCATGGGTTACTGCAGCCAGTGTTGCCAGCACTGCCACTACCTGGGTGGGCGTACCCCACCGGAATCCCCACCGGCTAGGTAAAAGGTTGTCAAGGTTCTCATTAGCAGCTTTGAGAATTTCCTTGTATATTATGCTCTCCCATCAGGGGGCTCTGGCTTTGTAGGACCAACCCTGCCAGGCAGGCTCAGAATCTTGAGGGGGCGGTGCTGCTCAAGTAGGTCTCTGACCGCATTTATTTCTCTGTTTAGGCTGCATATTCACAGCAGGTCCATAAAAGAGATGGGAACTTCTCTTTGGTGTATGGGTCGCTCAGGTGGGTGTCCAGGTTATAGGGTTAGGGATCTTTCCATCATGATAGGACAATGAAAAATTAGATTAGATGTATACTATATTTAAAAATGTATATCCCTCATCTACACAAAATTGAAAGCTCTCTCTCACTACCCCTGCTCATAGACCCCCGGTCGGCTCTGGGATATGCAACCATTTCCCCTCTCACTCACTTAACGCCGCACCTTTTCAAACACAAAAATGCACACCACATGGTTGACTGCGGAAGAAATGGGCCGAGCGTGCAAACGCACCCGCATCCACATCTGCCGCAAGGGGAAAGGACGCCAGAGAGAACACAGGACCAACCACAACAACCATCCGCCAAAACAACAACCTCCCGCCAAAAAAGCCATGTTCTAATTATTTGTATTTAAAGATGTATTATTCTGCTTGTTATATCGTTTTATCCTTTTATAAAATACTATACTTACTATAAATGTTATTTAATATTACAATCCCTATCATTGCTAGTATCAGGTTCTCCAATATTTGACTCCTCTATTACAACTTTTAGAATAGCCACGGAGTAGTCTTTGTGTCTCTGAACATTTGGTTGTCAATATATAATTTATCCAACACTAGTGCAACACGTTTCCCTTTTAATCCGTTTTCCTTGAAGATTGGATACAGAACTTTGCGCCTTTCTACAATCTCCCTCGGGAACTGATCATTCATGCCTATTTTCGTGCCAGCAAGTCTTTTTCCTAGGCTTTTCACCATAGCTTTATCCTTAAAAAAAGCAAATTTGGCAACGATTGGGCGCTCATATTTCTGTCCTCTTTTTCCGAAACGATGTACACGTTCGAGTTGGATTTTATCGACAGCCTCGAGTGGGATTTGTAGCGCTGTATGCAGGAAGTCCTTCATAATATTCTCTGTTATTTCTCCCTTCTTTTCCTGAATACCCGTAAGTACTAGATTTTCTAGTTTGGATGTCTAGTAAGGCTTCTCTCAGAAGATTGTTCTCCTTTTTTAGTTCCCTAACGTCCGTTTCCATTTTAGAGACTGTCACTTTTAATTATTTGGTTTCTTTCTCCATTACCAAAGCTTTTTCGTCACTCATTTGAAGACTCGCTTTCAACTCTTTTACATCTTTACTGACCAATTCTAGTATGCCCAATTTGTCATTTATCGACTTCAACAGGTCGCTTTCCACACTTACCATACCCAGTGGTGAAAAGCATATATCATCTGTATCAGTCGATGAGTCGCGTTTCCTTTTGGGGATCGGCTCTCCACGCTTGTCTTCAGTCATGTTTGGGTGTTGCTTGTTGTTGTAATATTTGTCGATATATTTCTCTAGCCTTATGATCTGTTTTGTGTTATTATCCAGATTGAATTATATTAACTGTGAATGTATGAAATGCTAATATTTAGTCTAACTTACTGATTTTGAATATTATGTTTTTATCTTGAGGTGTTTTGTACCGATTTCTATTCAATACGCCATCTTGTCTACGCGTGCCCCGCACCTGCCAAGAGTGTGCAAAGCTGTCATCAAGGCATATGTTTACATATCTTGCGCTACTCATCTCATATGTACATACTGTATTCATTCTATAATATTCTACTGTACCTTAGTCCATGCCGCTCTGTCATTGCTTGTCCATATACAGTTGAAGTCTGAAGTTTACATACACCTTAGCCAAATGCATTTAAACTCAGTTTTTTACAATTCCTGACATTTAATCCTAGTAAAAATTCCCAGTCTTAGGTCAGTTAGGATCACCACTTTATTTTAAGAATGTGAAATGTCAGAATAATATTAGAGATAATTATTTATTCCAGCTTTTATTTCTTTCATCACATTCCCAGTGGGTCAGAAGTTTACATATATTCAATTACTATTTGGTAGAGTTGCCTTTAAATTGCTTAACTTGGGTCGAACGTTTTGCATAATAAGTTGGGTGAATTTTGGCCCATTCCTCCTGACAGAGCTGGTGTAACTGAGTCAGGTTTGTAGGCCTCCTTGCTCGCACACGCCTTTTCAGTTCTGCCCACACATTTTCTATAGGATTGAGGTCAGGGCTTTGTGATGGCCACTCCAATACCTTGACTTTGTTGTCCTTAAGCCATTTTGCCACAACTTTGGAAGTATGCTTGGGGTCATTGTCCATTTGGAAGACCCATTTGCGACCAAGCTTTAACTTCCTGACTGATGTCTTGAGATGTTGCTTCAATATATCCACATAATTTTCCTTCCTCATGATGAAATCTATTTTGTGAAGTGCACCAGTCCCTCCTGCAGCAAAGCACCCCCACAGCAAGATGCTGCCACCCCCGTGCTTCACGGTTGGGATGGTGTTCTTCGGCTTGCAAGCATCCCCCTTTTTCCTCCAAACATAACCATGGTTACTATGGCCAAACAGTTCTATTTTTGTTTCATCAGACCAGAGGACATTTCTCCAAAAAGTAAGATCTTTGTCCCCATGTGCAGTTGCAAACCGTAGTCTGGCATTTTTATGGTGGTTTTGGAGCAGTGGCTTCTTTCATGCTGAGCGGCCTTTCAGGTTATGTCGATATAGGACTTGTTTTACTGTGGATATAGATACTTTTGTAACTGTTTCCTCCAGCATCTTCACAAGGTCCTTTGCTGTTGGTTTGGGATTGATTTGCACTTTTCGCACCAAAGTACGTTCATCTCTAGCAGACAGAACGCGTCTCCTTCCTGAGCGGTATGACGGCTGCGTGGTCCCATGGTGTTTATACTTGCGTACTATTGTTTGTACAGATGAACGTTTGGAAATTGATGAGCGTTTGGAAATTGCTCCCAAGGATGAACCAGACTTGTGGAGGTCTACAATTTTTTTTCTGAGGTCTTGGCTGATTTCTTTTTATTTTCCCATGATGTCAAGCAAAGAGGCACTGAGTTTGAAGGTAGGCCTTGAAATACATCCACAGGTACACCTCCAATTGACTCAAATGATGTCAATTAGCCTATCAGAAGCTTCTAAAGCCATGACATCATTTTCTGGAATTTTCCAAGCTGTTTAAAGGCACAGTCAACTAGTGTATGTAAAATTCTGACCCCTGGGAATTGTGATCACAATTTTAAAAGAAATAACTGTATCTAAAAATTTGGGGAAAAAAGACTTGTGTCTGCACAAAGTAGATGTCCTAACCAACTTGCCAAAACTATATTTGTTAACAAAATTTGTGGAGTTTAAAAAAGGTTTTTTTTTGACCCAACCTAAGTGTATGTAAAATTCCACTTCAAAATATATGTTATTTTCTAAAATTTCCTTTCCTTCAATTTTGTGTCTAGTAGTGATCCTGTACGTGGCTCAGTTCATAAGAGCATGGCACTAGCAACACCAGAGTTGTGGGTTCGATTCCCACTGGGGTCACATCCCAGAATGTCTGCTACGTAAATGCCATATATTATGGTATTACAGTACTGTGTTGGCCAATGCAATTTGAGTATACAGTATATCACATAGTTTAAAATCTATAGGTTTTCCAAACGTTTAAGTGATTATCAATTAAGAGCAGTCAGATTAAGTAATGGTAAAATGTATTTTTTTTTCAAAAGAGAAGAGAATCATATCTAAAGTAATGTGAGCTTTGCATTGTGAAAGGCAATTACTTTATATGAACGTATTGCAATGTGAAACATGTATTTCTAGATTAAACAAATATTACGTTTGGTGAAAAAGTGACTGTATGATTTTGTGTTGTATTTAGTCAATTGAAAATGTGCTTAGAGTTTTGAAACAACGGCCATTTTGATGATCTGTTTTGAGTTTTGTACTAATAGTTGTGAAAATGTACCTCATAATAGTGAAAATTGCAACAAAGCGATAAAAAAGTGGTAGGCTGGTAGGCTAGATTTCTTCTGGGCAACATCACTCACCTGTACTTTCCTATTTACATTTTTCCGACTTTAGATGATCTAAACAGGGTTTCCCAAACTTGGTCCTGGGGCCCCCCCTGGGTGCACGTTTTGGTTTTTGCCCCTGCACTACACAGCTGATTCAAATAATCAAAGCATGATGTACGGACGGGAGTAGCCAGCTAACTAGCTACTTGCTATTAGCCACCGTTAGTGGGATTTTTCACCATTGTCCATGGCCTGCACTACCTACCAGCCAGCTCTAGCCTGGACTATTATTAGCCAGTCTGCACAGCGCGTTATCGACCCAGAACATATCGGATTTTCTGCCGGAATCACTGAATCACTGGACCTTTAACACCGGATCATCGCAACTAGCTAGCTGCAGCCGAATGGATGTTGTGGTTGGCTAATCAGCCTTGAGCTAGCCTCGAGTCAGGCCCATCTCCCGGCTATCTACCTCTCTGTCAACCGGACGGGACCTCCTAATGTCGACACAGAGCCCCGCCGATCCATCACGACTGGTCTGCCGACGTAATCGTCTGTGGTTTCAACAGGCTTCCCGTTGCGACGACCACGAAGATCCATCTGCTAGCACCTGCCCGCTAGCACACGCAATTCAACAGCCGTGCTTCCTGATCGCCTGTGCTGTAGCACCAATTCGAACTGCTCTCGGACTCACATTGCTATTCACTGGACCTTATGATCACTCAGCTGCACAGCTGATGCCTGCTGGACTGTTCCTTTACACAGTACCCTGTCCTATTTTATCTGTTTAGCCTCAGACCAAACTTTCATCGCCATTACCAGTTGTTGTCTTAGCTCTCTCGAATAACACCTGTGATTGCTTTATGCCTCTCTCCCATGTCAATATCAAATCAAATCAAATCAAATTGTATTGGTCACATGCGCCGAATACAACAGGTGCAGACATTACAGTGAAATGCTTACTTACAGCCCTTAACCAACAGTGCATTTATTTTAAACAAAAAAAGTAAATAAAAAAAATAAAAAAAAGTGTTGAGAAAAAAAGGAGCAGAAGTAAAATAAAGTGACAGTAGGGAGGCTATATATACAGGGGGGTACCGTTGCAGAGTCAATGTGCGGGGGCACCGGCTAGTTGAGGTAGTTGAGGTAATATGTACATGTGGGTAGAGTTAAAGTGACTATGCATAAATACTTAACAGAGTAGCAGCAGCGTAAAAAGGATGGGGTGGGGGGGCAGTGCAAATAGTCCGGGTAGCCATGATTAGCTGTTCAGGAGTCTTATGGCTTGGGGGTAGAAGCTGTTGAGAAGTCTTTTGGACCTAGACTTGGCACTCCGGTACCGTTTGCCGTGCGGTAGCAGAGAGAACAGTCTATGACTAGGGTGGCTGGAGTCTTTGACAATTTTGAGGGCCTTCCTCTGACACCGCCTGGTATAGAGGTCCTGGATGGCAGGAAGCTTTGCCCCAGTGATGTACTGGGCAGAACGCACTACCCTCTGTAGTGCCTTGCGGTCGGAGGCCAAGCAGTTGCCATACCAGGCGGTGATGCAACCAGTCAGGATGCTCTCGATGGTGCAGCTGTAGAATTTTTTGAGGATCTGAGGACCCATGCCAAATCTTTTTAGTCTCCTGAGGGGGAATAGGCTTTGTCGTGCCCTCTTCACGACTGTCTTGGTGTGTTTGGACCATGATAGTTCGTTGGTGATGTGGACACCAAGGAACTTGAAGCTCTCAACCTGTTCCACTACAGCCCCGTCGATGAGAATGGGGGCGTGCTCAGTCCTCTTTTTTTTCCTGTAGTCCACAATCATCTCCTTTGTCTTGGTCACGTTGAGGGAGAGGTTGTTGTCCTGGCACCACACGGCCAGATCTCTGACCTCCTCCCTATAGGCTGTCTCATCGTTGTCGGTGATCAGGCCTACCTGATGTCGTCGGCAAACTTAATGATGGTGTTGGAGTAGTCGTGCCTGGAGTCGTGTGTTGGAGTCGTGCCTGGCCATGCAGTCATGGGTGAACAGAGAGTACAGGAGGGGACTGAGCACGCACCCCTGAGGGGCCCCCGTGTTGAGGATCAGTGTGGCAGATGTGTTTTTACCTACCCTTACCACCTGGGGGCGGCCCGTCAGGAAGTCCAGGATCCAGTTGCAGAGGGAGGTGTTTAGTCCCAGGATCCTTAGCTTAGTGATGAGCTTAGAGGGCACTATGGTGTTGAATGCTGAGCTGTAGTCAATGAATAGCATTCTCACGTAGGTGTTCCTCTTGTCCAGGTGGGAAAGGGCAGTGTGGAGTGCAATAGAGATTGCATCATCTGTGGATCTGTTGGGGCGGTATGCAAATTGGAGTGGGTCTAGGGTTTCTGGGATAATGCTGTTGATGTGAGCCATGACCAGCCTTTCAAAGCTCTTCATGGCTACAGACGTCAGTGCTACGGGTCGGTAGTCATTTAGGCAGGTTACGTAAGTGTTCTTGGGCACAGGGACTATGGTGGTCTGCTTGAAACATGTTGGTATTACAGACTCAGTCAGGGACATGTTGAAAATGTCAGTGAAGACACTTGCCAGTTGGTCAGCACATGCTCGGAGTACACGTCCTGGTAATCCGTCTGGCCCTGCGGCCTTGTGAATGTTGACCTGCTTAAAAGTCTTACTCACATCGGCTACGGAGAGCGTGATCACATAGTCATCCGGAACAGCTGGTGCTCTCATGCATGCTTCAGTGTTGCTTGCCTCGAAGCGAGCATAGAAGTGGTTTAGCTCGTCTGGTAGGCTTGTGTCACTGGGCAGCTCGCGGCTGTGCTTCCCTTTGTAGTCTGTAATAGTTTTCAAGCCCTGCCACATCTGACGAGCGTCAGAGCCAGTGTAGTACGATTCAATCTTAGACCTGTATTGACTCTTTGCCTGTTTGATGGTTCGTCGGAGGTCATAGCGGGATTTCTTATAAGCGTCCGGGTTAGAGTCCCGTTCCTTGAAAGCGGCAGCTCTACCCTTTAGCTCAGTGCGGATGTTTCCTGTAATCCATGGCTTCTGGTTGGGGTATGTACGTACGGTCACTGTGGGGACGACATTATCGATGCACTTATTGATGAAGCCAGTGACTGATGTGGTGTACTCCTCAATGCTGTCTGAAGAATCCCGGAACATGTTCCAGTCTGTGCTAGCAAAACAGTCCTGTAGCTTAGCATCTGCGTCATCTGACCACTTTTTTATTAACCGAGTCACTGGTGCTTCCTGCTTTAGTTTTTGCTTATAAGCAGGAATCAGGAGGATAGAGTTATGGTCAGATTTGCCAAATGGAGGGCGAGGGAGAGCTTTGTATGCGTCTCTGTGTGTGGAGTAAAGGTGGTCTAGAGTTTTTTTCCCTCTGGTTGCACATTTAACATGCTGGTAGAAATTAGGTAGAACGGATTTAAGTTTCCCTGCATTAAAGTCCCCGGCCACTAGGAGCGCTGCATCTGGATGAGTGTTTTCCTGTTGATTAATGGCCTTGTACAACTCATTCAGTGCAATCTTAATGCCAGCATTGGTTTGTGGTGGTAAATAGACAGCTATGAAAAATATAGATGAAAACTCTCTTGGTAAATAGTGTGGTCTACAGCTTATCATAAGATACTCTACCTCAGGCGAGCAAAACCTCAAGACTTCCTTAGTATTTGGTTTTGTGCACCAGCTGTTGTTTACAAATATACACAGACCGCCACCCCTTGTCTTACCGGAGTCAGCCGTTCTGTCCTGCCGATGTAGCGTATAGCCTGCTAGCTGAATGTTATCATTGTCGTCGTTCAGCCACGACTCGGTGAAACATAATATATTACAGTTTTTAATGTCCCGTTGGTAGGATAACCGTAATCTTAAATCGTCCACTTTATTTTCAAAAGATTGAACGTTGGCTAATAGGATTGATGGAAGAGGGAGTTTACTCGCTCGCCGTCGGATCCTTACAAGGCACCCCGATCTGCGTCCACGATATCTCCGTCTCTTCTTCACGCGAATGACGGGGATTTGGGCCTTGTCGGGTGTCTGTATGATATCCTTCGCGGCCGCCTCGTTGAAGAAAAAATCTTCGTCCAATACGAGGTGAGTAATCGCTGTCCTGATATCCAGAAGCTCTTTTTGGTTGTAAGAGACGATGGCAGAAACATTATGTACAAAATAAATTACAAATAACGCGGAAAAACACACATAATAGTACAATTGGTTAGAGGGCTGTAAAATGGCAGCCATCTTCTCCGGCGCTGTTCTGCAACAATGCCTTGCCTATTGCTGTTCCAGTTAGTTCTTATTATACAATTTCACTGTAGAGCCCCAAGTCCCTCTCAAACTGCCTCAAATAGCTCCTTTGTTCCACCCCCCCATACACGCGGAGACCGGCTCAATCGGTGCCTCCACTGATGCAATCTCTTTCATTGTTACCCAACGCTTAGGTTTACCTTCACTGTACTCATATCCTTCCATATCCTTGTCTGTACATAATGCCCTGAATCTATTCTACAACGCCTGGAAATCTGCACCTTTTATTTTCTGTACCCAACGCACTAGAAGACCTTTAGCCGTGTTCCTCTGGTGATGTAGAGGTTAACCCAGGCCCTGGAGCCCCCAGTATCACTCCTACTCCCCAACACTATCATTTGTTGACTTCTGTAACCGTAAAAGCCTTGGCTTTTTGCATGTTAACATCAGAAGCCTCCTTCCTAAGTTTGAGTTATTCACTGCGTTAGCACACTCCGCCAACCCTGATGTTCTAGCAGTGTCTGAATCCTGGCTTAGGAAGGCCACCAAAAATTCAGAAATGTCCATCCCCAACTACAACATTTTCCATCTAGATAGAACTGCCAAAGGGGGTGGAGTTGCAATCTACTGTAGAGATAGCCTGCAGAGCTCTATCATACTATCCAGGTCTGTGCCCAAACAGTTTGAGCTCCTACTTCTAAAAATCCACCTTTCCAGAAATAAGTCTCTCACTGTTGCCGCTTGCTACAGACCCCCCTCAGCCCCCAGCTGTGCCCTGGACACCATATGTGAATTGATTGCCCCCTATCTAACCTCAGAGTTCGTACTGCTTGGTGACCTAAACTGGGATATGCCTAACACCCTGGCCATCCTACAATCCAAACTAGATGCCCTCAATCTCACACAAATTATCAAGGAACCTACCAGGTACAACCCTAAATCCGTAAAAATGGGCACCCTCATAGATATCATCCTGACTAATTTACCCTCTAAATACACCTCCGCTGTCTTTAACCAGGATCTCAACGATCACTGCCTTATTGCCTGCGTCCGTAACAGGTCCGCGGTCAACCACCCACCCCTCATCACTGTCAAACGCTCCCTAAAACACTTTAGCGAGCAGGCCTTCCTAATTGACCTGGCCCAGGTATCCTGGATGGATATCGATCTCATTCCGTCAGTAGAGGATGCCTGGTTGTTCTTTAAAAGTGCTATCCTCTCAATCTTAAATAAGCATGCCCCATTCATTGACTGCCCTTGACCAGCACAAAAACATCCTGTGGCGTACTGCATTAGCATCAAATAGCCCCCGCGATATGCAACTTTTCAGGGAAGTTAGGAACCAATATACACAACCAGTTAGGAAAGCAAAGGCTAGCTTTTTCAAACAGAAATTTGCATCCTGTAGCACTAACTCCAAAAAGTTTTGGGACACTGTAAAGTCCATGGAGAATAAGAGCACCTCCTCCCAGCTGCCCACTGCACTGAGGCTAGGAAACACTATCACTACCGATAAATCTACAATAATCGAGAAGTTCAACAAGCATTTTGCTACGGCTGGCCATGCTTTCCACCTGGCTACCACTACCCCTGGCCACCAGCTCTGCACCCTCCGCTGCAACTTGCCCATGCCCCCCCCCCCCCCCGCTTCTCCTTCACACAAATCCAGACAGCTGATGTTCTGAAAGAGCTGCAAAATCTGGACCCCTACAAATCATCTGGGCTAGACAATCTGGATCCTTTCTTTCTAAAATTAGCAGCCGAAATTGTCGCAACCCCTGTAACTAGCCTGTTCCACCTCTCTTTCGTAACGTCTGAGATCCCCAAAGATTGGAAAGCTGCCGCGGTCATCCCCCTCTTCAAAGGGGGTGACACTCTAGATCCAAACTGTTACAGACCTATATCCATCCTGCCCTGCCTTTCGAAAGTTTTTGAAAGCCAAGTTAACAAACAGATCACCGACCATTTCGAATCCCACCATACCTTCTCCGCTATGCAATCCGGTTTCCGAGCTGGTCATGGGTGCACCTCAGCCACGCTCAAGGTCCTAAACGATATTATAACCGCAATCGATAATAGACAGTACTGTGCAGCCGTCTTCATCGACCTGGCCAAGGCTTTTGACTCTGTCAACCACCGCATTCTTGGCAGACTAAATAGCCTTGGTTTCTCAAATGACTGCCTCGCCTGGTTCACCAACTACTTCTCAGATAGAGTTCAATGTGTCAAATCGGAGGGCCTGTTGTCTGGACCTCTGGCAGTCTCTATGGGGGTGCCACAGGGTTCAATTCTCGGGCCAACTATTTTCTCTGTGTATATCAATGATGTCGCTCTTGCTGCTGGTGACTCTCAGATCCACCTCTATGCAGACGACATCATTTTGTATACATCTGGCCCTTCATTGGACACTGTGTTAACAAACCTCAAAACGAGCTTCAATGCCATACAACACTCCTTCCGTAGCCTCCAACTGCTCTTAAACATTAGTAAAACTAAATGCATGCTCTTCAACCGAACGCTGCTGGCACCCGCCCACCCGACTAGAATCACTACTCTCGACGGGTCTGACCTAGAGTATGTGGACAACTACAACTACCTAGGTGTCTGGTTAGACTGTAAACTATCCTTCCAGACTCACATTAAGCATATCCAATCCAAAGTTAAATCTAGAATCAGCTTCCTATTTCCAAACAAAGCCTCCTTCACTCATGCTGCCAAACATGCCCTCGTTAAACTGACTATCCTACCGATCCTTGACTTCGGCGATGTAATTTACAAAATAGCCTCCAACACTCTACTCAGCAAATTGGATGTAGTCTATCACAGTGCCATCCGTTTTGTCACCAAAGCCCCATATACTACCCACCACTGTGACCTGTACGCTCTTGTTGGCTGGTCCTCACTACATATTCGTCGCCAAACCCACTGGCTCCAGGTCATCTATAAATTAATGCTAGGCAAATCCCCGCCTTATCTTAGCTCATTGGTCACCATGGCAACACCCACCTGTAATATGCGCTCCAGCAGGTATATCTCACTGGTCATCCCCAAAGCCAACACCTCCTTTACATTTGACATTTTAGTCATTAAGCAGACGCTCTTATCCAGAGCGACTTATAGGAGCAATTAGGGTTAAGTGCCTTGCTCAAGGGCACATCGACAGATTTTTCACCTAGTCGGCTCGGGATTAGAACCAGCGACCTTTCGGTTACTGGCACAACGCTCTTAACCACCAAGCTACCCTTGGCCGCCATTCCTTCCAGTTCTCTGCTGCCAATGACTGGAACGAACTGCAAAAATCTCTGAAGTTGGAGACTCTTATCTCCCTCACTAACTTTCAGCATCAGTTGTCAGAGCACCTTACCGATCACTGCACCTGTATACAGCCCATCTGAAATTAGCCCACCCAACTACCTCATCCCCATATTGTTATTTATTTTGCTAATTTGCACCCCAGTATCTCTATTTGCACATCATCTCTTGCACATCTATCATTCCAGTGTTAATACTAAATTGTAATTATTTTGCACTATGGCCCATTTATTGCCTTACCTCCATAACTTGCTACATTTGCACACACTGTATATATATTTTCTGTTGTATTTTTGACTTTATGTTTTGTTTACCCCATATGTAACTGTGTTGTTGTTTTTATTGCACTGCTTTGCTTTATCTTGGCCAGGTCGCAGTTGTAAATGAGAACTTGTTCTCAACTGGTTTACCTGGTTAAATAAAGGTGATTATATAAAAAAAAAAAAAAAAAAGATGAGTTGGTTATTTGAATCAGCTGTGTAGTGCTAGGGCAAAAAACAAAACGTGCACCCAGAGGCGGCCCCAGGACCAAGTTTGGGAAACCCTGAAAGACACCAGAGGGGGTAGCAGGAGGGAATGTTACAACTCCTTCTCTGAAGTAAGCTACAGTAGATCAACTGGAAAGCCTGTAGCTATTACATTAAGCTGTGTCCCAAATGGCACCCTATTCCCTTCAAAGTACACTACTTTTGACCAGATCCCAATGGGCCCTTGTCAAAATAGAGCACTATATAGGGAATAGGGGGTCATTTGGGACTCCACCTAACAGTTTCCAGAGGCCATGAGCAGTAAAAGAATCCACATGCACCCACTTGTTTTATATCCTAATCAAAGGATACCGACTGAGCTACAGCCTACCTGTGGTTTATTACCTCTCATTATCAATCATTATAAATTATGCCTGATGTTGGAAATCATTGCAGCATGTTTCTCTTCCTCTATGACCTCTCAAGTCACTAAGCCATGCATTGAGAGATGTGGCGCTGTTCTACTACATGGTCTACTAATTTATGTTGATATCCCCTCCACCTTGTCTCTTTCCTTTCATTTAATTACAGATCTCTCCATGTCTTTCCTTTAATCTAATCACAGTTCTGTCCGTCTCTCGTTTCTTCACAGGAGAAGGAGATCATGAAGGAGATTGTGGATAACGGCCCAGTGCAAGGTAGGATGATCTAGATGATGACTGTGTGTGTGTGTGTGTGTGTGTGTGTGTGTGTGTGATTGCTATCAGCAGCTGTAACAGAATGAGCTACTGGTACCATGTGTGTTTGCTGTGACGTTCAGAGCAATCTCTTGGTTTTATGAATGAATTCAGAAGGGCAACAAAGCCTTGGGTTTTATGAATGAATTCAGAAGGGCAACAAAGCCTTGGGTTTTATGAATGAATTCAGAAGGGCAACAAAGCCTTGGGTTTTGCTAAAGGAGGAGGATTGGGTATGAGAGATCCTTTGCCAGTGATTGGGCGGAGGATCGGAGTCGGGCTATTATCACATTATTGGTTACAGAACGTGTTTAATATTATATTATAGTGGAATTTAATTAAGCATTAAGGCCCGAGGAGGTGTGGTATATGGCCAATATACAACGGCTAAGGGCTGTTCTTAAGCACGACACAACGCGGAGTGCCTGGATACAGCCCTTAGCTGTGGTATGTTGGCCATATACCACAAACCCCCGAGGTGCCTTATTGCTATTATAAACGCGTTACAAATGTAATTAGAGCAGAATTAGAGTAAAAATACATGTTTGTCAGCCAATCAGCATTCAGGGCTCAAACCACCCAGTTTATAATATTATATATAGTATGCTATATTAAATGTATTATATTTAGTATTGCACTGTGGTCAGTTTTGGGGAGTAGTGAACTAAATGTAGTTCAACTAGTAATTTAACTACATTTTGCAGTAGCTTGTTTGTCTTCTTTTTCAATGAAAATTTAGTTCAGTAAACTTTGTTTTTCTTAAGGGTAGCTTTAGTGTAGCTTAACTTCTTGCAGTGTGAAGTAATTGGTAGCTTGGTAAAGTATATTTTCAGAGTAGCTTCCCCAACACTGACTGTGGAATGATTGCTGAACGTATGTTTGGATATTTCATGTCTTAATAATTATATTTCAAGGTACAACTTTATAACAAATTGAAACTGTTTACAACATTGCTATGCCTGTCCAACTATTGCTGTCATCCTGTCAAGAACCTGTGTGACATTGTTGTGTGAGAAAATCCAATAAAATACATATCATATATAAAATAAAATAATTGTGTATGAGAGGATGTGCGTACCAGATGTTTGGGCTCTAACTGGGCCTCTGACTCATCATGCCATTGTTGGACTGATACTCAGGAGGAAGAGTATCTTTGTGTAGGGTATGTAATGTGCTGAACATGCTAGAGACCTAAAAACAATTGTCAGCCCCTAGAGGCTTTAGCTTAGAGGGATAACTCTACGTAGACCAAAGCTCAAACCCCAGTGATTTGGACTATTTATAGTGTAGCTTCCAACCCTGGCCTCAGTTCAGTTCATACATCTTCATATGTAGATATCTTACCTTCGCCCTAATGATTTACCTATGATTCTAATGATTTACCTATGATTCTAATGATTTATCTATGATTCTAATGATTTATCTATATTCTAATGATTTACCTATGATTCTAATGATTTACCTATGATTCTAATGATTTACCTATGATTCTAAGGATTTAAGGGAAAGGGGGATACCTAGTCAGTTGTACAACTGAATGCATTCAACTGAAATGTGTCTTCCGCATTTAACCCAACCCCTCTGAATCAGAGAGGTGTGGGGTCTGCCTTAATCGACATCCACGTCATCGGCGCCCGGGGAACAGTGGGTTAACTGTCTTGCTCGGGGATTCGATCCAGCAACCTTTCGGTTACTGGCCCAACACTCCTACCCGCCAGGCTACCTGCTGCCCCTTTACCTATGATTCTAATGATTTACCTATGATTCTAATGATTTACCTATGATTCTAATGATTTACCTATGATTTTCCAAGAATGTTGACAATGTCCTAAGATCTTGACCATTCCTGACACAATTATTTTTGACCCAAATGTGTCGCCTGGAAAACACCTGGCTAAAGAAATGTTAACATCAGCAAGCATCTGCTCTTATGTACAGTGAGGGAAAAAAGTATTTGATCCCCTGCTGATTTTGTACGTTTGCCCACTGACAAAGACATGATCAGTCTATAATTTTAATGGTAGGTTTATTTGAACAGTGAGAGATAGAATAACAACAAAACAATCCAGAAAAACCCATGTAAAAAAATTTATGAATTGATTTGCATTTTAATGAGGGAAATAAGTATTTGACCCCTCTGCAAAACATGACTTAGTACTTGGTGGCAAAACCCTTGAGGTCAGACGTTTCTTGTAGTTGGCCACCAGGTTTGCACACATCTCAGGAGAAATTTTGTCCCACTCCTCTTTGCAGATCTTCTCCAAGTCATTAAGGTTTCGAGGCTGACATTTGGCAACTTGAACCTTCAGCTCCCTCCACAGATTTTCTATGGGATTAAGGTCTGGAGACTGGCTAGGCCACTCCAGGACCTTAATGTGCTTCTTCTTGAGCCACTCCTTTGTTGTTTGGCCATGTATTTTGGGTCATTGTCATGCTGGAATACCCATCCACGACCCATTTTCAATGCCCTGGCTGAGGGAAGGAGGTTCTCACCCAAGATTTTGACGGTACATGGCCCCGTCCATCGTCCCTTTGATGCGGTGAAGTTGTCCTGTCCCCTTAGCAGAAAAACACCCCCAAAGCATAATGTTTCCACCTCCATGTTTGACGGTGGGGATGGTGTTCTTGGGGTCATAGGCAGCATTCCTCCTCCTCCAAACACGGCGAGTTGAGTTGATGTCAAAGAGCCCCATTTTGGTCTCATCTGACCACAACACTTTCACCCAGTTCTCCTCTGAATCATTCAGATGTTCATTGGCAAACTTCAGACGGCCCTGTATATGTGCTTTCTTGAGCAGGGGGACCTTGCGGGCGCTGCAGGATTTTAGTCCTTCACGGTGTAGTGTGTTACCAATTGTTTTCTTGGTGACTATGGTCCCAGCTGCCTTGAGATCATTGACAAGATCCTCCCGTGTAGTTCTAGGCTGATTCCTCACCGTTCTCATGATCATTGCAACTCCACGAGGTGAGATCTTGCATGGAGCCCCAGGCCGAGGGAGATTGACAGTCTTTTGTGTTTCTTCCATTTGCGAATAATCGCACCAACTGTTGTCACCTTCTCACCAAGCTGTTGGCGATGGTCTTGTAGCCCATTCCAGCCTTGTGTAGGTCTACAATCTTGTCCCTGACATCCTTGGAGAGCTCTTTGGTCTTGGTCATGGTGGAGAGTTTGGAATCTGATTGATTGATTGCTTCTGTGGACAGGTGTCTTTTATACAGGTAACAAACTGAGATTAGGAGCACTCCCTTTAAGAGTGTGCTCCTAATCTCAGCTCGTTACCTGTATAAAAGACACCTGGGAGCCAGAAATCTTTCTGATTGAGAGGGGGTCAAATACTTATTTCCCTCATTAAAATGCAAATCAATTTATAACATTTTTGACATGCGTTTTTCTGGATTTTTTTGTTGTTATTCTGTCTCTCACTGTTCAAATAAACCTACCATTAAAATGATAGACTGATCATTTCTTTGTCAGTGGGCAAACGTACAAAATCAGCAGGGGATCAAATACTTTTTTCCCTCACTGTAAGGGCTAGTATTAAAAAACAAAACACATCTGAACTACCTCTTCCTTTCTATTAGAATGCAAAGCAGTTCTAAACACAGGCTTCACGTTGTCTTCTAAACACAGGCTTTATGTTGTCTTCTAAACACGGGCTTTGTTGTTTTCTAAACACAGGCTTTATGTTGTCTTCTAAACACAGGCTTCACATCGTCTTCTAAACACAGGCTTTATGTTGTTTTCTAAACACAGGCTTTATGTTGTCTTCTAAACACAGGCTTTATGTTGTCTTCTAAACACAGGCTTTATGTTGTCTTCTAAACACAGGCTTTATGTTGTCTTCTAAACACAGGCTTTATGTTGTCTTCTAAACACAGGCTTTGTTGTTTTCTAAACACAGGCTTCACGTTGTCTTCTAAACACAGGCTTTATGTTGTCTTCTAAACACAGGCTTCACGTTGTCTTCTAAACACAGGCTTTATGTTGTCTTCTAAACACAGGCTTTATGTTGTCTTCTAAACACGGGCTTTGTTGTTTTCTAAACACAGGCTTTATGTTGTCTTCTAAACACAGGCTTTGTTGTTTTCTAAACACAGGCTTTATGTTGTCTTCTAAACTCGGGCTTCACGTTGTCTTCTAAACTCGGGCTTCACGTTGTCTTCTAAACTCGGGCTTCACGTTGTCTTCTGAACACGGGCTTCACGTTGTCTTCTGAACACAGGCTTTACGTTTTCTTCTAAACACGGGCTTCACGTTGTCTTCTGAACACGGGCTTCACGTTGTCTTCTAAACACAGGCTTCACGTTGTCTTCTAAACACGGGCTTCACGTTGTCTTCTAAACACGGGCTTCTCGTTGTCTTCTAAACTCGGGCTTCACGTTGTCTTCTAAACTCGGGCTTCACGTTGTCTTCTAAACTCGGGCTTCACGTTGTCTTCTGAACACGGGCTTCACGTTGTCTTCTAAACACGGGCTTTATGTTGTCTTCTAAACACGGGCTTCACGTTGTCTTCTAAACACAGGCTTCACGTTGTCTTCTTAACACAGGCTTTATGTTTTCTTCTGAACACGGGCTTCACGTTGTCTTCTGAACACGGGCTTCACGTTGTCTTCTAAACACGGGCTTCACGTTGTCTTCTGAACACGGGCTTCACGTTGTCTTCTAAACACGGGCTTCACGTTGTCTTCTGAACACGGGCTTCACGTTGTCTTCTGAACACGGGCTTCACGTTGTCTTCTGAACACGGGCTTCACGTTGTCTTCTGAACACGGGCTTCACGTTGTCTTCTGAACACGGGCTTCACATTGTCTTCTGAACACGGGCTTCACGTTGTCTTCTGAACACGGGCTTCACGTTGTCTTCTGAACACGGGCTTCACGTTGTCTGACAAGAGGTGAAAAGTGTAAAAGTGTAAGAAGGTGAGGCCTCAGGTAGGGGATTTGTCCTTTGACCGATGTCTGTGACCCCAATTTGACCTGGGTCACAAACATCCCAGCGGGATACATGTGGTGTTCCTGATGCTATTCTTTATACATGGTTGTCTTCACAATGGCAAAAATAAACAGGACAGAAATAAAGAATGAGAAATAGAGGAATGTAAAGACTGTGTATGAGTGTTAGTACACTCACTGTATATCTTTGTGAGTGTGTGTACGTGTGACTGTGCAGGTAGTCTGTGAGCCTGTGCCAGCCTTGTTGTATTGTTCCAAACAGCAGGACAGAAACATTGGCCTCGTCGACAAGTTTTCCTTTTTTTGTCTCCCTTGAATTTCTGTCATTACCTTTGCCAGAGAGCAGTGTGTACTTGTCTGGCAGTAAGAGACAAAGAGAACGGTAGCCCAGTAAGAACAGGTAGTCCTTCCAAATGTGGGAGTTGACCATTCCAGATTGTTTTTCCCAGTGGGGTTTCTAATGAGAAAGTCACAGGGAGTTCAGGGCTTATAGTGCACCGGTTCAAAGAGGCCCAACACCACAGCTGCACTCTGATGTTTGGGTGTGTTCTTCTCAGGGGAAATGGGAAACTGTCCTCAGAAGAAGTAAAGAAATTAGGAAATTGAATTAGCTTTTGAATTCATTTTTTCCTAGTGGTGTATTACTTTCAGTTTAGTGCAAGAAGGAAATGATATGGTTGAGCTCTCTTTGCCATCAGTCAAGCATAGAAACACTTTGCCTGATGTTCAAGGTTGGAGTCTAAGTTGGTTACCTTCGAACTACAGCTGTGCTTTATGAGCCCTATTCATTCTTGAGATAAGTAGACTTTTTTAACATGTTTTACTTAAGTACTTATCTCAAGTCTGAATCAGTCCCTACCTGATTAGGGTCAAAGGTAAAGTTGATTCTATCTATGTTTTTTCAACAATATTGAGGCATGACACTGTCTTTGTTTGGTCATTTTATAACCATCTGAAAAGCTATATATTTGTTTGGCTGTAAAAAGTGTGTGTTTCTGTGTGTCCAGTTAATCTATAATAATTTTTCTTCTTGTGTATCCAGTCCATCGATAATGTGTTTTTCTTCTTGTGTATCCAGTCCTTCGATTATTTTTTCCCCCCCTGTGTATTCTGCAGCCATCCTGGAGGTCCACGAGGACTTCTTTGTCTATAAGAGTGGGATCTACAAACACACAGACGTCAGCTTCACCAAACCACCACACTACCGCAAACACAACACACACTCCGTCAGAATCACAGGGTAAGGCTGTCAATCATCTCCCATCTGGTAGAGCTTTGTAATGTATTTTATCCATTGTATAGTATGGAAGAGGCAGCACTGATAGCAAAATGACTGTATTACTTTTGATGTCTTGGATTCAGTATTCAAGTCAATGCATTCATATTTTATTATATTTTAACATTTTTAGATGATGAAGTGTAGTATTTGTAGCATTTACCAAATTCTCAAATAAAAAAACATCAACCCGTAAACACTCCCAGACCTGCATGCTACCACAGGTGTGTTGTGTTCAGTGTGAGTAAGAGATTCCCTCCCTCCCTCCTCGTCTGTCGGTCTGTCGGTCTGTCGGTCTGTCGGTCTGTCGGTCTGTCGGTCCTGTCGGTCTGTCGGTCTGTTGGTCGCTCTGAGACTCTGAGACACACCTTGGCTCCAATCCTCTGTTCCCCAGACAAGCCCCATAGTTACCGCGGAGAGAACAAAATCTAGGCAAGCAGACACTACACACCTGGATAGCCTAGCTACCCACCCCTGTCCCGCCCTGTCTCCCCACCCCCACCCCAATCCTTCTGTCTCCCCACCCCCAATCCTTCTGTCTCCCACCCCATTCTGTCTCCAACCCAATCTTCTATCTCCCCACCCCAATCCTTCTATCTCCCCACCCCAATCCTCTTCTCCCCACCTCTGTCTCCCCACCCCAACCCATCCTTCATCTCCCCACCCCAATCTCTATCTCCCCACCCAATCTTCTCCCCACCCCCACCCAATCCTTCTGTCTCCCCACCCCAATCTTCTCTCCACCCAATCTTCTATCTCCCCACCCCAATCCTTCTGTCTCCCCACCCCAATCCTTCTCTCCCCACCCCAATCCTTCTCCACCCCAATCCTTCTGTCTCCCCCACCCCAATCCTTCTGTCTCCCCACCCCAATCCTTCTGTCTCCCCACCCCAATCCTTCTGTCTCCCCACCCCAATCCTTCTGTCTCCCCACCCCAATCCTTCTATCTCCCCACCCCAATCCTTCTATCTCCCCACCCCAATCCTTCTATCTCCCCACCCCAATCCTTCTGTCTCCCCACCCCAATCCTTCTGTCTCCCCACCCCAATCCTTCTGTCTCCCTAGAAGGGTAATGAAGTTGTCCATAGACTCTGATGAAAGGTCAGTTTAGATGTTTAGAGATCAATAGATGACGGTAGGTTTTGGGGAGGGTAAGCTGATCCTAGATCTGTGCCTAAGGGAAACTTCTACAAGGAGCGCCCACCTCCTCCCAGACAGTGTTCTCTCCATCTTCACTCATCACCTTGCCCTCTTCCCAGCTCCTGCTGCCTCTCCCCCCATCTCTGACTCCCAACCCCCAACACCCCATCCCTCTCTGACTCCCAACCCCCAACATCCCATCCCTCTCTGACTCCCAATCCCCAACACCCCATCCCTCTCTGACTCCCAATCCCCAACACCCCATCCCTCTCTGACTCCCAACCCCCAACACCCCATCCCTCTCTCACTCCCAACCCCCAACACCCCATCCCTCTCTGACTCCCAACCCCCAACACCCCATCCCTCTCTGACTCCCAACCCCAACCCCCCATCCTATCTTACTCCCAACCCCAACCCCCCATCCCTCTCTTACGGTGCCTTGCAAAAGTATTCATCCCCCTTGGCGTTTTCCTATTTTGTTGCATTACAACCTGTAATTTAAATGGATTTTTATTTGGATTTCATGAAATGGACATACACAAAATAGTCCAAATTGGTGAAGTGAAATGAAAAAAATTACTTGTTTCAAATAATTATACAAAATAAATAACGGAAAAGTGGTGCGTTCATATGTATTCACCCCCTGTGCTACGAAGCCCCTGAATAAGATCTGGTGCACCATTTACCTTCAGAAGTTACATAATTAGTTAAATAAAGTCCACCTGTGTGCAATCTAAGTGTCACATGATCTCAGTATATATGCACCTGTTCTGAAAGGCCCCAGAGTCTGCAACACCACTAAGCAAGGGGCACCACCAAGCAAGCCTCACCATGAAGACCAAGGAGCTCTCCAAACAGGTCAGGGAAAAAGTTGTGGAGAAGTACAGATCAGGGTTGTGTTATAAAAAAATATCTGAAACTTTGAACATTCCACGGAGCACCATTAAATCCATTATTAAAAAATGGAAAGAATATGGCACCACAGCAAACCTGCCAAGAGAGGGCCGCCCACCAAAACTCACGGACCAGGCAAGGAGGGCATTAATCAGAGACCAAAGATAACCCTGAAGGAGCTGCAAAGCTCCACAGCGGAGATTGAAGTATCTGTCCATAGGACCACTTTAAGCCGTACACTCCACAGAGCTGGGCTTTACAGACTCCCCAAACATATGGAAGAAGGTATTCTGGTCAGATGAGACTCAAATTGAGCTTTTTGGCCATCAAGAAAAACGCTATGTCTGGCACAAACCTAACACCTCTCATCACCCCGAGAACACCATCCACAGTGAAGCATGGTGGTGGCAGCATCATGCTGTGGGGATGTTTTTCATCAGCAGGGACTGGGAAACTGGTCAGAATTGAAGGAATGATGGATGGTGCTAAATACAGGGAAATTCTTGAGGGAAACCTGTTTCAGTCGTCCAGAGATTTGAGACTGGGACGGAGGTTCACCTTCCAGCAGGACAATGACCCTAAGCATACTGCTAAAGCAACCCTCAAGTAGTTTAAGGGGAAACATTTAAATGTCTTGGAATGGCCTAGTCAAAGCCCAGACCTCAATCCAATAGAGAATCTGTGGTATGACTTAAAGATTGCTCTACACCAGCAGAACCCATTCAACTTGAAGGAGCTGGAGCAGTTTTGCCTTGAAGAATAGGCAAAAATCCCAGTGACTAGATGTGCCAAGTTTTCTTTTTTTTGGTCTTATTTCTTGTTTGTTTCACAATAAAACATATTTTGCATCTTCAAAGTGGTAGGCATGTTGTGTAAATCAAATGAAAAAAACAAAAAAACATCAATTTTAATTCCAGGTTGTAAGGCAACAAAATAGGAAAAATGCCAAGGGGGGTGAATACTTTCGCAAGCCACTCTACACGCAACCATCAACAGCTCATCCTCTCTTACTCCCAACCCCAATCCCCCATCCCTCTCTTACACCCAACCCTCAACCCCTAACACCACATCCTCTCTTACCCTCAACACCCAACACCACATCCTATCTTACCCTCAATCCCTAACACCCCATCCCTCTCTTACCCTCAATCCCCAACACCCCATCCCGGCCAAATACTCTCATTATCATTTAGTCTACTCTGAGACATCAGGTATTCGTTGAGTACCGTCTGTCTGGGCTGTCTGTTCTAGACATTACAACATTTGTGACTAGGATTAGGAATTATATGCTTTATGAACACACTTTCCCCTTGTAAAGGCAGCAGGTAGCCTAGCAGTTAGAGCGTTGGGCCAGTAACCGGAAGGTCAGTGGTTCAAATACCCGTGCCGACAAGGTGTAAAATCTGTCAAAGTGCCCTTGATCAAGGCACTTAACCCTATTTATAATATAATGCTAAAGCCACAAAATCAAAACTGGATTTGGAGGGTTTGCTGACTTTGGCTTGGACAATGCTGCCAGTTGAATAAGATGAACTTTGAGCAGAGCCGCTGAGAGCTGTCATGGAGGCAGTTTCTCTGCTCCTTATCTGATCGGCCATTGATGAAGAGAAACAGACCATGGGGGATCCACTTCCTGCCCTGTCCTGCTGGCTCTGTTTGGGTCTCATATGATAATGTATAATTTAACTTTTCGTAATGTGTGTGTTTGTCTGTGAGCATTTCTTTGTGAGTGTGTGGTGTCTACTAGCAATTTTGTGGTGTACTTCATAGCCAGGGGGCATGTCTGAATAATTTATTTACCTATGCCTGGTTTGTGTCTGACAAGTGAGTGCTCTGTTTGATTGGTTGTTTGTGACTATGTATTTCACATGTATGTTATGTGTATCGTTATATTAGATTATGTAGGCTATATAAGGTACCTACTGTAAGTTGTGTATACAGTGCCTTCAGAAATAATTCACACCCCTTGACTTTTTCCACATTTTGTTGTGTTACAGCCTGAATTTAAAATGGATTACATTGAGATTTTGTTACTGGCCTACACACAACATGCCATAATGTCAAAGTGGAATTATGTTTTTAGACATTTTTACAAATTAATACAAAATGAAAAGCTGAAATGTCTTGAGTCAATAAGTATTTAACCCCTTTGTAATGGCAAGCCTAAATAAGTTCAGGGGTAGAAATGTCACATAAGTTACATGGACACAATGTGTGCAATAATAGTGTTGAACATGACTTTTGAATGACTACCTCATCTCTGTACCCCACACATACAATTATCTGTAAGGTCCCTCAGTCGAGCAGTGAATTTCAAACACATATTCAACCACATCTGTTTTCCAATGCCTCGCAAAGAAGGGCACCTATTGGTAGATGTAAAAAAATAAAAATTAAAAATAAAGCAGACACTGAATATCCCTTTGAGCATGGTGAAGTTGTTAATTACACTTTGCATGGTGTATCAATACACCCAGCTTAACCAATGTGTCAGAGGAAACACCATTCAATTGGCGACCGGGGTCAGCCAGCAGGCACCCGGCCCACCACAAGGAGTCACTAGAGCACGATGAGCCAAGTAAAGGCCCACCGGCCAAACCCTCCCCTAACCCGGACGACGCTGGGCCAATTGTGCACTGTCCTACGGCCAGTTGTGGCACAGCCCGGGAATGAATCTGGGTCTGTAGTGACACCTCTAGCACTGCGATGCAGTGCCTTAGACCGCCACTTGGGAGGCCCCCAATGGTGACTTTTAAACAGTTACAGAGTTTAAGGACTGTGATAGGAGAAAACTGAGGATGGAACTTTATGTTCTGAATACAAAGCGTGATGTTTGGGGCAAATACAACACAACACTGAGTATCACTCTTCATATTTTCAAGCATGGTGGAGGCTGCATCATGTTATGGGTATGCCTGTCTTCGGCAAGGACTAGGGAGTGTTATAGGATAAAAGGAAACTGAATAGAACTAAGCACAGGCAAAATCCTTGAGGAAAACCTGGTTCAGTCTGGTTCAGTCTGCTTTCCAACAGACACTGGGAGACAAATTCACCTTTCAGCAGGACAATAACCTAAAACACAAGGCCAAATATACACTGGATTTGCTTACCAAGACAACATTGTATGTTCCTGAGTGGCCTAGTTACAGTTTTGACTAATATCAGCTTATCTAGTAATGATCAACAACCAACTTAACAGAGCTTGAATAATTTTTTTAATAATAATGTGCAAATATTGTACAATCCAGGTGTGCAAAGCTCTTAGAGACTTACCCAGAAAGACTCACAGCTGTAATCGCTGCCAAATGTGATTGTGGGGTGTGAATACTTATGTAAATTATATTTCTGTATTTCATTTTCGATACATTTTAAAAAGATTCTGAAAACATGTTTTCACTTCGTCATTATGGGGTATTTTGTGTAGATGGGTGAGAAAAAAATATATTTCATGAATTTTGAATTCAGGCTGTAACACAACAAAATGTGGAACAAGTCAAGGGGTATGAGTACTTTCTGAAGGCACTGTGTGGCTGTATGAGTATCCTATATATTCTGGCTCAGTAAAGTCTAGGTCTAGGGTCTCGGTATATCAATGCCAATAGCATAAGGCTGAGTCCCAAATAGCACCCTATTCCCTTCATGGTGCTCTGCACAAAAGTAGTGCACTATATAGGGAATAAGGTGCCATTTGGGATTCATAGTGAATCTGGTCTATCCTGGCACGCTGCTGGTGTTTGGTCTGTCCTGTCTGGTCTGTCCTGTCTGTCCTGGCACACTGCTGGTGTCTGGTCTGTCCTGTCTGGTCTGTCCTGTCTGTCCTGGCACACTGCTGGTGTCTGGTCTGTCCTGTCTGTCCTGGCACACTGCTGGTGTCTGGTCTGTCCTGTCTAGTCTGTCCTGTCTGGTCTGTCCTGGCACACTGCTGGTGTCTGGTCTGAGCAGCATGCTCCACTGATGATGATGACGGTTGACGCTTGTCTCCCCCCTCCTCCGCTGACACTGCGGTTCATTCGCTGGTTTGGGCTGCGAACACGAGGCTCGGGGGGCACCGAGGCTATGGATTTGGGGATGGGGTGGGGGAAAGAAAGGAGGGCCAGGGTGCGTAGAGCCTGACCATCACACCAATCAATGTTTTTACAGCCAAAATCCCGCTGCAGTGTGTTCTATTAAGCCAAGGGCCTGGGAAAGTTTGTGTTTAGCGCATTGAGGTCCACTCTGGTGGAAAAGGCATTGTCTGGGGCGTTGATTCCAACTGTATGGGACAGAGAGAGGATCAGGCCCATGGCGGAGGTCAGGGGTAGGGTAGGGGAGGACTGGTATGTCCCTCATTGTCCTGGAGGAACAACGCTAACTGGGGGAGATAAGGGCTCCGTAGTGGTTTGATTCTGTCTGGCTCTCTGGCTTTGCCCGTATACACACACACACATAAGCACCCACACACACAAGTAGGCGCACACACACACACACACACACACACACACACACACACACACACACACACACACACACACACACACACACACAGCCCCATGGATGGAAAGCTTTGGCCTCCCAAAACCCAAATCCTTGACCCTCCAGCCTCTATCTATTTCAGATGATTGTGATGTGTGTACAGCTGTTTGTATTTGCCTATTCAGAGCATGATGACCCTTAAACTCTTGTCCGAACCAGACTCGACTAATAAAGAAACTTGCTGATTGAAGGTTGGCAATGTTTTGGTGGCAGGCTACCGAGTTGGAAACGACTCAAAACATCAGATCTCTTTCCCAGCATTCCTTTTCTCTCATAAAAGATAAGGCCAAAGTTGCCTTTGGAGGCTCCTAGAGGCCCTGGGGCCTGGTGTTCAGGATGGGAATAGAACTGGAGCGGGGGAGGGAAGGTCGGTCTGAGATGCAGGGATAACTGCCAGATAGGACCAGAAGCTAAGGATGATGGGAATGTATGGGCCTTGGACTTAGAGAGAGAGAGAGAGAGAGAGAGAGAGAGAGAGAGAGAGAGAGAGAGAGAGAGAGAGAGAGAGAGAGAGAGAGAGAGAGAGAGAGAGAGAGAGAGAGAGCGCTGCAGGGGTAAGGTTTATTTATGAGAGCCTCGCTCGACCTTCAGCAATGTTGTTGTCTGTGAGATGACAGGAGTCGGGCGGTGACCATGGCCTTCCTGATTGAAAATCAGTGCCTTTTGCGTCCCTTTCATATTTAAGTAGAATTGTGCACAGATATTACATTTTATATTAAATAAGTGCCCATTAATATAAACCACATGGAAAATTCAATAAATCAGCATTTTGATATGGCCCTGTGACTTCTACACTCTTAGGAAAAAAGTGCTATCTAGTACCTAAAGGGTTAATCGGCTGTCCCCTTTCCACAGAGGGTTCTACATTGGAATCCAAAAAGATTCTACCTGGAACCAAAAATGGTTCTACCTGGAACCAAGAATGGTTCTCCTATGGAACAGCCAAAGGACCTTTTGGAACCCTTTTTTATAAGAGTGTAGGAAGATTTGAACCCATTTAACAAGTTTTCACCATCATTGTGAAGCCCTAGTTATTTTGTTGCTTTGACAGTCATTTCTAAAGATTCATATTTATTTCATCTGATTAGTGATTCATTTTAAAGTTTAAAAAAAAACTCTAATTTTTATATGGTGAAACTATTCCTTTTTAAATATTTTTTTCAAAGTGTAAAAGCAGGTGTGCTGGTTCTACTCTTTCTGGCAATTTTCAGGTGTTTTGTGGTGGAAAACTTAGCGGATCAAACATAACACGCCAACCCTGTTACCCATAAATAGGCTAGAAATGTTTTCACAATTTAGATTTTTTTGTGAAGCTTGCATTCAATTGCCCCTCCCTCTTCACACAACAAGTTTCCATTCCTCCTCTCACAAGGGGATTTATGGCTGATTTAAATTGAAATCGTCAACACTGTTACGGTCTACCCGGTTACTTTAATGGGCACTTACTATAGTCATATTTTATTTAACCTCGAGATGGAGAACTGTTTTTTTATGAAGTTGAACATGTGGTCTTTATGACAGAATGTTAAAATTAGGTTAAATAAAAAAATAAAAAATCACCAAGTTACACTATTCAAAGGGCACCTAGTTGGTGGAACGACCTGCATGCATATTATGATGATCAAAGATCATATTTTTGTCCCCTTGCGTGTTTGTGTTCTCACACATCTTCATTGTCCGATTGTTCATAGTTCCAGTTTGTGCCCTTTAGTGGAAAATAATCATATCAGTAATCCATCTCTGTGTGTTCTGTTCCAGGTGGGGAGAGGAGAGGAACTATGATGGGACAACAAAGAAGTACTGGGTAAATAAGGGTTCCTATCACATCACATATTCTCTCTCTTTTCTATTATATATAAACTATATCTACATTCTAACCTGTGCCACTCTTTCTAATAACGCTTGACTTTTCCAGATCGCTGCCAACTCGTGGGGGAAGAACTGGGGGGAGAACGGCTACTTCCGTATCACTCGTGGTGAGAACGAGTGTGAGATAGAGGCGTTCGTGATTGGCGTGTGGGGTAGGGTCACTATGGAAGACATGCAGAACCACCATCACCGCCGACGCAAGTAGAGACAGACACTCCAGGAACCCAGCACCTACCCTTCACCCCATACCCTCTTCCCCTCCCTACCCTGGGGGAGCAACCAGCCCCAGAGGCCCTGCTCTTACTCCCCTACCCCCATACCAAACTCTGGGGGAACAACTCAACCAGTTCCCACTCTGACCTTTGGGGAAACCAACAACAACTACCCCAAGAACTCCAACTCTTACCCCCTTACCCCCTTGCACCCATATCCCCTTACGCCAGCCTAGGGGTATTGACACCCCAACCGCCCCCTAACCCAACTCAAGGTTTATGGCACCAAAACAAGCTCCAGGTCTGCAGGCTGAGAGGGGCTTCTTCATAGAGCCTCCCCTGGCTTCAGGACACAGCAATAAGCACCTCAGGACTCACTTTTCCAAAGACCATCCTTCCCGGATTCCTCGGCTTCAGCCTAGCATGGAATGTCTACTTCCTGCTTCTGTCCTGAAGTCTTCACTTCCTCTGCTATAATGATGAATGGACTGGCTTGATCTGAACTCTCTCACTCTCCTCTCTCTCATTGTGTAGCTATTCATTTGGCTGCCATGGCAGGTGGCTATCCATTTGGCTGCCATGACAGGTGGCATCCATTTGGTTGCCATGACAAGTGGCTATCCATTTGGTTGCCATGACAAGTGGCTATCCATTTGTCTTCCATGACAAGTGGCTTTCCATTTGGCTGCAATGACAGGTGGCTATCTATCTCTGATCATGGTTAACCCTCTCCCTGTGTTTCTCTGTTGTTGTGTATTTTGAAAGCCAACCCCTTAGGGACAGATTGCGATGGAGAGAACCAGAGAGATAGAGGAGTAGATGATACAGGCACCAGATTGGGATGGAGAGAACCAGAGAGATAGAGGAGTAGATGATACAGGCACCAGATTGGGATGGAGAGAAACAGAGAGATAGGGGAGTAGATGATACAGGCACCAGATTGGGATGGAGAGAACCAGAGAGATAGGGGAGTAGATGATACAGGCACCAGATTGGGATGGAGAGAACCAGAGAGATAGAGGAGTAAATGATACAGGCACCAGATTGGGATGGAGAGAACCAGAGAGATAGAGGAGTAGATGATACAGGGACCAGATTGGGATGGAGAGAACCAGAGAGATAGAGGAGTAGATGATACAGGCACCAGATTGGGATGGAGAGAACCAGAGAGATAGAGGAGTAGATGATACAGGCACCAGATTGGGCAGTTCCCACAACAAGAGACGAGAGAAACTAACAATCCACTTGTGCAACAGTTTAGTTAAACGTTATCACTGAGGGCCTAAGTCTTAGTCACGCTAGCTACATCACTGATTAATGTATTCCTATTACTGTCAGCAGATAGCCACACATATCTTCACACATTCCAAAAATGCAGAATCTTACACTGGAAAAGGTGTTGGGCTAAAGCTTGATGGTAGGTGGGGTTGAGGGTTTAGTGAGCTGTCCTTTTGACCAATAATTTATTTCCCCTCATTTACCAAAAATCGATGTTTTGTTATTAGGTTAATCCCACTGAGTGCATAGTACAGTATTAAGTTTCAGCAAGCTCTGGAAATGAAACTCAATGCCAAATTTCTCTTGAGTTTTCAGTACCACATCATCTATCTGTTTATGGAAGAGATGGAGTCAATCTTCCAATGATATCAAATCAACTTAAATCTCATGACCATGACAGCTCTTGACTGAAGCCAACTGCTTGAACGTAACGTTTCATTATAAATAATATTAGTGGGTCAGCCGTTTATAAATCTCCCTTATTACTATTCATACAGTAGGTATGAAAGCAGAGATTAAGCATGTATAATATGTGTAGATGTAATTGTAGCAAGCGAGGAGCTTAAAAAACAGCCTTTGAAAAATACACTCCGTTCATTAAATCAGCTGGTTGATAAAAACATGAGATTGATTGAAATAACATCCTTTTGAAGAAGGTGAAATGGCCACCACCAGATGATGCCAGAGACAGAAGTGAAAGAGAGAGTCTTGACTCCCTAATTTTTTTCTGGTCAGGGCGGGGCCACTCTGGTCTACTTATTGGCCCCACCTCACTGGCTAATTATTTCTGGTCAGGCAGGCCGAGCGAGAGGGGACACTAAGTAGACCAGAGCCAGCTGTTCCCTCTCTCACGTGAGCATGCCAGACATTATGGAGGAGCCTTGAGCTCACACAGGAAGGCATGTTCACGCAAGAGAGGGAACATCCACTTACACAGACCGGAACACATTTTTTTCAATGGTAAACGGCCTGAGGAAACCATCTTAGTTATCCACCATCTTTGATGATCCTTCAACATGACAACCTTATGGGTTATCAAATGCCTTAATGAAATAAGTGCTGTTTTTTGGGGGGCCTCTGGTTGAAATATTAGACCCATTGTGTTTTATAGTCTTGATCTATTTCATTCTCTGTATTTACATTTTAGTCATTTAGCAGAAGCTGTTATCCAGAGCAACTAGGGTTAATTGCCTTGCTCAAGGGCACATCCACAGGTTTTTCACCTCATCGTGTCTGGGATTTGAACCAGCAACCTTTCGGTTACTGGCCCAGTGCTCTTAACCACTAGGCTACCTGTACACTGTGTTACGATTATGCTGAAAATATTATTATTGTTGCTGTTGTTGTACTCTTATTGTATTAGTTGCTTTGAGAGATGTGTTTGTCTCACACACTCACACACAACCCCCCCCCCCCCCCCCCCCCCTGACCAGTTGCTTTAAAGCTGGGGTGTCAAAATCATTCCTTTCAATTAAGACCTAGACAACCAGGTGAGGGGAGTTCCTTACTAATCAGTGACCTTAATTCATCAGTCAAGTACAAGGGAGGAGTGAAAACCCGCAGACACTCGGCCCTCCGTGGAGTTTGGCTCGTGCTTTTCTTGGGAGGTGCAAATACATCTTCTGAAAGGGAACACACACAAATCAAAAGTGCCTGGCTCTAGGGTGAGGAGGAGGTCGGACTCAGCTGCCAAAGTCTGTTCAGTGCTGCTTCGTTGTAGTATTTGTGTCAGTTTGACAGCCTAATATCTCACAGACACAACATGCCACTAACGCGTCAATATTTAACAATAAGCATGTGTAGGCCTACAACAGACACATTGTGACATTTCAAAGGTTGTGCATCTCCAAAGAAGTGTTAGGTAGGTAGCTCAAGCCTCAACTGAAGCCAGTGATCACACAGGTTCTGATATACTGATATAACTTGATATAACTGCCTTATCTATTGTTGCCCTAGGTGCAAATTTTATCCAATTTGAAATATATTTTTGTGTGCCTATCATTAGTTTTCAATGTATCAGTTTCCAGAGGCACCAACTGTCCTTTCAGAGACCAGATCATATACAGTCTCACTACACAATAAACTGCTTGGCTTTGCAGAAGTTATGTATTTTCAACTGTGCCACCTTTCCAATATGGCATCCAGTTGTCACATTGTTACTGTAACTCAGCCAAGGTTCCTATAAGCCTACACCATTTCATACATTTCAAGTAGGCCTTTAGTTTTAAACCACCATTACAACCATCACCTCTGAGAAAAGGATAGAGACGCAAAAAAACCAGACGTGTGGATGGACAAGCAATGTTCAATGTGGAGGAAGGGTAGGGTATAGGAGGTAGGGCAGACATAGCTGCGTGAAGTGTGAGCCACGCGGTCTACAGAATATTTACCTTCACTTCAAACGGAGCGAGAGGATGAGGACAATCAAAGGAGGGATGATGTGGCCAGGGTCGGGGTGAGGTGCATCATGGGTTCACGAGGCATGACAGTGCAGAAAGAATGGAGAACAGAAGGCAGGTGGAGGTGGGGACTGGGGGGTGAGTCAACAGAGCTGTTTGTGTTTTTTGTCCTGAAGGAGAAAATGGATACGATGACATCATGTCAGAAAACCTTAACACTATTTAGGGCTCTGTTAAACCAGTATCGCTGAAGCGTTACAGATCGCGAGATAGAAATGTAAAGGTAATTTATTATTGAGCCAACATATGCAGCGTTTACCATGAATGCAGTCTCAGCTAACGCGGAACATTGCCTTTAAATTTCAATCATGCTGTAACGAAGAATTTCTGTATAGGTTCTAAACCCTGAGGCTTTAATAGTCACATGAAGGATGGGCTCATGCCGAACATAGCCATAGTTTATTGGTGCAAGTCAATTCAGTTTTATCCTTTAAAATAATGTTCTAGTACTATCCCATTAGTCTATAAGATACAGCCCCTAGCCAATGAAAAGCACTAGGGCTGTGTCCCAAATGGCACCGTATACCCTAGATAGTGCTCTACTTTGATCAGTGCCCTGGGACGCAGTTAAGCCTACTGTAGAAGGTTATTGTCAACCTGTTGGCTAACCAGATGGATCCTCATTCACATACAGTCATCCAGACAGTTGTATCCTTATAGGGATAAACCAGTGATAGACAGATAAGCCTGTCTGGATCAATGGGACGAGAGGAGCAGGCGATTGGATCCAAGTCATGCGGAGGAAAGGAATTTGGCCGAAACTGGATCCAAGTCGGACTGACTGTTCTTTTTGAGTTTGTGTGAATCCTGAGTGTGATTCACTGGGTTCCATGTTTAGTCTGCCCATTCAAGGTGCCAAGATCTGTCGACAGAAGATTTGTATATAATTTTATTTATTTATCTCACCTTTATTTAACCAGGTAAGCCAGTTGAGAACAAGTTCTCATTTACAACTGCGACCTGGCCAAGATAAAGCAAAGCAGTGCGATAAAAACAACAACACAGAGTTACATATGGGGTAAAAAAACATCCTAGTGGGATGCTAATGAAAGATCTCTAAGTGTCTATAAGGGCCACAACACTCTATCCGTAGACAAACATTGAGATCTTTGTCTGTCGGCCATAAAAAAACAACTTGGATGGTATTCAGGGGTTAAAGTTACTCTGACATTAAAGAGCCAATCACTCACTCAACCAAACATCTTAAAGACCCTCAAAACATTCACAGAACCCCAGTCAGAAGTTGTGTATTCAAAGTCAAAGAACCACTTCATATTCATTGATATGTAGACTTTTTTTATGACAAGATGTGTAAATCTGTGCAATGTTTATTATCATTATCTATCTGTCTCTTGTATTGTATGCACAAAATGAAAACCCCCCATAGTTTTTACCTGTGTGGCACAATAAAGTATTTTAAAACAACCATCCCTGTCTGACTCATTGCCTAATAATGGAAGACAATACCCAACACAATATAAAGGTAACCAGCAGCTGAGTAAACATTTATATTTAAAAAATCTGAAATATTTGTTGACACCAACTGTTCATTTCTCTTTGAAAACAGAGTAAATGCATTTTCTTGAGGAAACATTTTCACATTTGACAAAATCATATTTTTTTAAGCAGTTGGTGACTGGAAATATAGTTCATAAAACAGTGTAGCCATACAGAGAAGCTGGACAGAGGACAGCAGGCGTTTAATACTGGGAGCTGTTGGCATGCCTCTGTTGGGACGAAGGAGGCCAGACTGGGGGGCGAGGGGGTAGAGGGTGGTGGGTGGGAGTAGGGGCATAGAGAGGCTCATGGGACGGGCGAGGGGGTAGAGGGTGGTGGGTGGGAGTAGGGGCATAGAGAGGCTCATGGGACGGGCGAGGGGGGTAGAGGGTGGTGGGTGGGAGTAGGGGCATAGAGAGGCTCATGGGACGGGCGAGGATGGGATGAGGACAGTTTGTATAGGAGAGTGCAGTGGCAGCTCTTTCCACCACTGAGAGTCATAACTCAGACAGACAGACAGAAAGGTCAGGGACCGAGGGAACGAGGGTGTGTGTGCGAGTTCATTTGCATACGTGTGTGTGTGTGTGTACCTTCTTGTACATGTCTGTGTGTACATCCATATGTGACCATACGTATAAACAGCTGTGTGAATGTCTGTGTGTACATCCATATGTGACCATACGTATAAACAGCTGTGTGAATGTCTGTGTGTACATCCATATGTGACCATACGTATAAACAGCTGTGTGAATGTCTGTGTGTACATCCATATGTGACCATATGTATAAACAGCTGTGTGAATGTCTGTCTATGGACATAGCATGGCCTCAACTTGACAAAGAAGATATTGGGGACTTTTTAAGAAAGTTGAAGCTCATTTACTGCATTTCTATACAATTTAAAAACTCTAAAATGCTATTTGGAGAACAGCCAAAACAAGCAGAAATGACACCAGCCATTATCACATTGGTTGCTGTAGCTTCATTCACCTCAGTCGATCTACAAAAACATAGCCTATTAGCTATACAATTTAGCCACTACACATGAACTCACATTAACTCAGCACCGGGATAAAAAAAACTATAATTGAATACATACAAAGGGATCTGTTAGCAGAATAAATAATATATTACCAAAAGGTAAACAAATAAGTTTGCTTTACAGCAAATTTCCTGCAATTCTACACATTTTGCCATGACATACCATGTTAATATGATATCTGAGTGAGAGTGACTAACAAAATCAATGGGGGCCCCTGGAGGTCAGGGCCGTTGGGCACATGCCCTGTGTGCCCGGTAATTCGGCCAGTTTAGATAGCTGGCTAGACTTTTAAGCAGGTCAACATTCACAAGGCCGCAGGGCCAGACGGATTACCAGGACGTGTACTCCGAGCATGTGCTGACCAACTGGCAAGTGTCTTCACTGACATTTTCAACATGTCCCTGACTGAGTCTGTAATACCAACATGTTTCAAGCAGACCACCATAGTCCCCGTGCCCAAGGACACTAAGATAACCTGCCTAAATGACTTACCGACCCGTAGCACTGACGTCTGTAGCCATGAAGTGCTTTGAAAGGCTGGTCATGGCTCACATCAACACCATTATCCCAGAAACCCTAGACCCTAATTTGCATACCGCCCCAACAGATCCACAGATGATGCAATCTCTATTGCACTCCACACTGCCCTTTCCCACCTGGACAAGAGGAACACTTATGTGAGAATGCTATTCATTGACTACAGCTCAGCGTTCAACACCATAGTGCCCTCAAAGCTCATCACTAAGCTAAGGACCCTGGGACTAAACACCTCCCTCTGCAACTGGATCCTGGACTTCCTGACGGGCCGCCACCAGGTGGTAAGGGTAGGTAACAACACATCTGCCACGCTGATCCTCAACATGGGGGCCCCTCAGGGGTGCGTGCTCAGTCCCCTCCTGTACTCCCTGTTCACCCATGACTGCATGGCCATGCACAACTCCAACACCATCATTAAGTTTGCAGACGACACAACAGTGGTAGGCCTGATCACCGACAACGATGAGACAGCCTATAGGGAGGAGGTCAGAGACCTGGCCGTGTGGTGTCAGGATAACAACCTCTCCCTCAACGTGACCAAGACAATGGAGATGATTGTGGACTACAGGAAAAAAAGGAGGACTGAGCACGCCCCCATTCTCATCGACGGGGCTGTAGTGGAACAGGTTGAGAGCTTCAAGTTCCTTGGTGTCCACATCAGAGGGCACGACAAAGCCTATTCCCCCTCAGGAGACTGAAAAGATTTGGCATTGGGTCCTCAGATCCTCAAACAGTTATACAGCTGCACCATCGAGCGCATCCTGACTGGTTGCATCACCGCCTCCAGGACCTCTATACCATGCGGTGTCAGAGGAAGGCCCTCAGAATTGTCAAAGACTCCAGCCACCCTAGTCATAGACTGTTCTCTCTGCTACCGCACGGCAAGCGGTACCAGAGCGCCAAGTCTAGGTCCAAAAGGCTTCTCAACAGCTTTTACCCCCAAGCCATAAGACTCCTGAACAGCTAATCATGGCTACCCAGACTATTTGCACTGCCCCCCCCCCAACCCCACCCCATCTTTTTACGCTGCTGCTACTCTGTTAATTATTTATGCATAGTCACTTTAACTCTACCCACATGTACATATTACCTCAACTAGCCAGTGCCCCCGCACATTGACTCTGCACCGGTAACCTCCTTTATATAGCCTCCCTACTGTTATTTTATTTTACTTCTGCTCTTTTCTTCTCAACACTTTTTTGTTGTTGTTGTTTTATTTTACTGTTTTATAAAAAAAAGAATGCATTGTTAGTTAAGGGCTGTAAGTAAGCATTTCACGGTAATGTCTACACCTGTGGTATTTGGCGCATGTGGCAAATACAATTTGATTTGATTTGACTAACTAGACTAATTTACCAATCTCAAAAATGTTAACTTACGTGGGCTAACTGAGTGACAGTCAGTGAGTGACACACAGTATAACAACCAAGTTTAGAAATTGCACCTTGTGTATTCTACTATTCTAACTCTCGACAGTAAGTTGAGACCCTGAATGAGAGCCTAAAAAATATATTTATAAAAAATAGATATATTTGATATGTTTGTTTTTTTCTTGAAAAAATCCAGAGGTCCAGACCTCGGTGTCCTCATATGTAGCCAGGGCCCTGACTGTTATTGGTGTTATGAAGACCTTCACACTGAGAAGGCTGTTAAGCCCAAATAACTGATCCGCTATCCATGATGCAGTGAAAATAATTTAATAAAAGTAACCTTTATGCAACATATCTTTCAGTGCTGGACACATTACATTTTTACTGATTTAGATTTCCTGTATTTGGCAATGAATAAATCTGTACAGAACAGTACACTGCGTGGACCAAGGGGGCCAAGTAAGGATGCCAAAGGTACCAAGTAAGGAAATGTGGACAGAGGCATGCATTCGGTGACAACATATTTACATTTCTCCCATTGTTCCTGGTTCAGGAATAGCCCAATCACCTATTACCTCAACGCCTACTGTTTCTTTCCCTTCCAGATGATGATAATTGCCAAATATCTCAGTCGAGGAGTAAGCTGTAACTGTAGACTTAGGCATTGGAACAACAACGTCGCCACCCCACCCCAGTAGTCCAGGAATTATCTATCACATTCTGTTCTTCCTCACATTCTGTCCCATCCTTCTCTCATTGTCTACATGGTTTTCTAGAACCCTCCATGTGTTCCTTCAGTAGTTCTGTGAAACCTAGAGTATTCTTGAAGATGTCAACAACTTTAAAGGACAATAGGAGTTTCTACAGGACGAGGGTTGGGGTTCGGAGGAAGCCCTTTCTCACAAAAAACTAAGCTGTGAAATAAAGGTGACTGATTTCATATTAGCATGTGGGATTCCTATCTCCTATCAGAGTGTTGACATCATGCCACTTAATGTAACCATACGGATCCCCCTGAGAAACAGCCTGGCTTTACTTTGAGGAATTATTTTCCACTTGGTTGTGCAGTAGTTTCTTAATTACAGACTATACATGACAATGCAAAAACGTGTCCTGGAGGTCTCATGTATTAGCTTGTGACTAATATATGAGACCTTCTTAGCTCTTCGCCTCGGGGAAAGTATAACATGATTCATTGTGGTAGATATAGAACAAGGAAAATCTGCACAATACCAGTCAATCTTACAGAAGGTGTATGACAAATCTTTACCTGTTGCAAGGTTTGGCCCTCTTTCACCTTCATGCAGTTGCTTTGGCTTTGGGATTCCCAGGCAACAGAAGCAATTCGTCTAGCGGTATGTGCAAAGAAGCCCTGTTCGTAAAAGCTGGTTTAGTACCGCCATCTTGTGGTGAAACTTTGTGTGCATCACATATAAGACAGCCTCCATCACTGACACAACCCATAACTAAAACCTCTTCTCAGAAAGGGATGTAAATAAGCAAAATACACCATCAAAAGGTGACCTTCCACTAAGGATCAACATAGAGACAACAGAACATTTAGAGAGGAACTTTATTGGAAAATATGAGAACTTGCCTAGTCAGCATGGCTCCACCTGCCCATATTCCTAACCAAAACTACAATAGGTTACATTTGCATTTTCAAAATTCCTGTTGTCATCTCGCATATATGCTTTTGAAGAAGGTACTAAGGAGATATCATAACCATTGCAGTGTCAGCCATTTTGAAGCATATTTTCCTGTTTACTGTACATAGATAAACAAGTTAGCGGAACTGTCTTTATAAATAATGTTATCATTCTTCCTTTTATGGGAATGGCAGAAAGTTATTGTATATTTTTCTATCAAATCTTTATTTATCCAGGAAATCCATTGGAAGCATCAGGGGATGGAGGCCCATGCAGGCACGAAGGCTTTCTGTCATATGTTCCGGTCATTCATTCAGTGTAGAATTGTCTTTTAAAAACAGTTTGTGCGATTTGCTGTGTCTTTCTCTCTAGCGTGTAGGACCGCCCCCTCTCCTACATTCATGCATTCTGTAGGCACACATGTAAAATATCCCTGGAACACACAGAGCACACACAGGTTAATGGACAATGGACATCAGAAACCAGCTGTAGACACCCCCAAAAACTACACGCCTCCCTTCAGCACCTACCCTATCTATCAGGTCTGAAGGATCAGCACTATGATGGAGCTAGGCTCCCCTAACCCATTGGAAGGCTAGGGAAAACCATCACCATATTGCTTTCATCAGACTCTTCAGATCTGCTAACACCGGGTGACTAGGGACTTGTGGGTTGTTTTTGGACCGGCAATGGAAATATTGGGCATGTTGGTATGGAGCCAGCTTTGAGTGCTATGATTCACCCTGTATGTCAGTTGTTACCTGCAAAGAAGGTCATGAGCAGTGCCACCCAGCCCAGTATGTAGGACCAGGAGAAGCGCCAGTCACCAAAGCGCTTGCCCAGGAAGTTCACTGTCACACCTGTGTAGATGGCCATCGCCAGCAGAACAAATAAGGCTGGGAGAAGGAAGGGGAATATAAGAGGTAAATATGCTGTACTGTGTGTGTGTGTGTGTGTGTGTGTGTGTGTGTGTGTGTGTGTGTGTGAGACTCACTGGAGATGAAAAACATGATCCCTGCAGCGAAGGAGCGGTTGAACCTCTCGAAGGTGGAGAAGTGGGCGAAGGAGAGAATGCCTGTGATGATGCCCGCGAAGCACGACATACCTGACAGGATCATAAAGGCCCGGGTGGCATTCCAATATGCTAGAAGGGGACAGACAGAGGCTGAGCAGGATGACAACAATAGAGCCCCAGCATCCCTTCTTCAGGCAGATTAACAACTAAGCCCAGCGCCATTCTCAGCCTCTAGGTGGCGCCATATTTATCATGCGCAACATTCCTCTAAAATACATTTCCAGTAACAGGTTTGTGAAAACAGGATTGTAACATGAAACAAAGCAGCCATTGATGAGATGTCTCTGACAAATGACTTTAACTGGACTAGGAGGAAGTGTCTATTAACTACTGAGATGCTGCTGGTAGCCTATTCACTTGGGTCAAGTTCAGGAGTGGTAAACGTAGTTTGAATTACTATTGCTCTCTTAGGCTATGTCCCAAATGGTACCCTATTCCCTATATAGTGCACTACTTTAGATCAGAGCCCTATGGGCATAGGGAATAGGGTGCCATTTGGGAGATTGTGCTTGACGTGTGTTCTCACCGATGCTGTCCGTCTGCATGTAACACTTGCCCGACATGCAGTACCTCCACAGGCCCTGGTGGGCGAAGCTGCCCGACAGACGGTACTGCATCCAGTAGTCTGTTGCTGTGGAGACCACCAGCAGGATGTTCCCCACCATGGCACAGAACAGGCCCCCTCCCATGAAGCTATACATCCTGAGAGATGCTGCTGTGGCCACTGTGAAGGAGCTGATACTGCATAGGAAGACGATGGAGGGGGGATAAACACACCTGGATGATACAATGTTTTGTATGACACACACTCAGTTTGCTCTGGCCACTTCGTAGCTCCTCATACTAGGGAGGGAGATGATGAGGTTAGACACACACACATACACACACACACACACACACATACACACACACCTGTACCTATCTGGTATGATCTAGGTATATAGAACACACTCGGTTTTAATAATAATTATTCCATTCTGTGGAGACTGTAATAGAAACAGAAATAAATTCAGTATGATTCTTGACACCAGAAATAACTGTTACATGGACAACAATATTTCAAAGCCAAAGTACAAATTGCCGAATCTCAGTGGTCTCAAATTACTGCTAATTTTGGGATCACATATATTACAGAGTTTATAGTTATTATCAGTTGTGCTCACTCATAAGCACTACTTTATGTGATGCTACGGCACACACAATAAGTCAGAAACAGTCTAAGCTTGACGGCTAGACATGCTCAGGGAATATCACTTTATTTGAGCAATTTGACATTTTGAAATGCTCTATATAAGCCTTAAATTACACCGGTTAACATATTCGAATATTTGCTCCATATAGCATAAACAAACACGCATGCAGTTTTTACATTGTCATAGAATGTACGTTTACAACTAGTATCCTCAGCTCTTTTGCCAAGTAAGTTCTGCCAAGCACTTAATTTAGTTTGAGCAGTGGTTATTCAACCACTAGTTCACTATTGTCTTGTTTTCAGACTTCAGTTCACTATTAAGCTGAGTAACTGTGTCTTTGGCACAACTATACATTTTTATCATTAGATAGATATACTGTATTTAGGATGTCCCTTACCTTGTTTCTTCAGTAAAAGCACCCTCTTAACCGTCTACCTTTCTGGGGAGAAAGTGAGACAGGGATAGAGGGAAAGAGAGAGAGAGAGAAGGAGAGACGTTGCAAGCCTAGGAGGAGCGATAGGAGAGTGAAAGAGAACTCCACTGGGCTATCCCCTCTGTGTTTTCTGTTGATGGAAGCAGAATCATTAAACAATCGGTCCCCATGTAACAGATGCAATTGAAACGAGCCATCGCTAGGGGCACGGGATCATGTGACCCCCACAGACCTTTCAGTGTAGGCGGGGGGGGGGGGGGGGGGGGGGGGGGGGGGTTGTCAGGGTGTTAGGGTAGGGGCTTTGGCTGGGGGGCTCCATATTCTTTTTGTTGGTTTGTATTTGGTATATTCTAGAATTGTGGATGTGCATAGGTATGCAGTACTGCTGGAGTCAATGCAACATGCTGAAGCCAACATTTTTCTTTCAGTGTATGTGGGGCTGTGGCGGCATGGATAGACAGTTAGACACACATATAGGGAGGGATGGCCCCTCTGTCTAACTGGTTGTCCTCTCTGTAATATACAGAATACATCTGTAATATGTAGCTCACCTGCTTCCTCATAATACTGTTTTTAAATACACTGTAAGTTGAAAACTCTTGATCATAGTTTTCCATTACAGTATTTATACAGTGTATTTTTTAAAGACACACACGCTCACACACACACACACACACACACACACACACACACACACACACACACACACACACACACACAAACACACACAAACATCCATCTAAAGACAGCTACAGACAGTCTGTGAGGTCTGATTAAGGGATAGGCCATCTTCCACTGACAGAAATGTCATACCCTTCATCAAAAGCCACCACCACTGTGTCATGTTGTCCTCTGTAGCTCAATTGGTAGAGCATAGCGCTTGTAACGCCAGGGTAGTGGGTTTGATCCCCGGGACCACCCATACGTAAAAATGTATGCACACATGACTGTAAGTCGCTTTGGATAAAAGCGTCTGCTAAATGGCATATTATATATTATATTATTATATATGTAACAGAATCAATCAGTGGTGTAAAGTACTTAAGTAAAAATACTTTAAAGTCCTACTTAAGTCGTTTTTTGGGGTATCTGTACTTTACTTTACTATTTATATTTTTCACTACTTTTACTTTTACTTCACTACATTCCTTACGAAAATATTGTACTTTTTACTCCATTCTTTTTCCTTGACACCCAAAAGTACTCGTTACATTTTGAATGCTTAGCAGGACAGGATAATTGTCAAATTCACACACTTATCAACAGAACATCCCTGGTCATCCACACTGCCTCTGATCTGGCGGACTCACTAAACACATATGCTTCATTTGTAAATTATGTCTGAGTGTTGGAGCGTGCCCCTGGCTATCCATAAAAAATAAAAATAAAATGGTGCTATCCGGTTTGATTAATATAAGAAATTTGAAATGATTTATACTTTGACTTCTACTTTTGATACTTAAGTATATTTTAGCAATTACATTTGCTTTTGATACTTAAGTATATTTTAAACCAAATAATTTTAGACTTTTACTGAAGTAGAATTTTACTGGGTGACTTTTACTTTTACTTGAGTCATTTTCTAATAAGGTATCTTTACTTTTACTCAAGTATGACAATTGGGTACTTTTTCCACCACTGGAATCAATGGATCAAACATAGCAATTATGACTGCCGTTTCATTTCACATTTCTTCCATTCAGTATTAGCATTTAATCACGGCACAGACGTCTAAAGGTTGCAGACGCCAAAGATGCAGATAAGGTTCTGTTTATGACTGCTTCATTATGCAAGGTGGGTGGGTGGTGGGGATATCAAAGAGATAAAAGTGATGGGTTGGCAATTTCATGATATGACAGGTTTTTCAAACTGCAACTCCAAATCACGCTTGGTTTGTATGTTAGGCTAAAGACACCATGGTCTTCTTGTTTGCTAGACTCATGGCACTCCTCCAGGGGAGCTTGTTGAGTTAGCGGCTGTGGGAAGAGATTAACACAATAATAAAAGTTTATATTATAACAGTTATGTATTGATTATATTGAAATAAAACGTACAAATATTTATTTGAATAAGGTTGGAACACAAAAATAGATAGAATTGATAGAACATAGCCCTATTTGGTAAAATACCAAGTCCATATTATGGCAAGAACAGCTCAAATGAGCAAGAGAAATGACAGTCCATCATTACTTTAAGACATGAAGGTCAGTCAATACAGAACATTTCAAGAACTTTAAAAGTTTCTTCAAGTTCAGTCGCAAAAACCATCAAGCGCTATGATGAAACTGGCTCTCATGAGGACCGTCACAGGAAAGGAAGACCCAGAGTTACCTCTGCTGCAGAGTTACCAGCCATTAGTTCATTAGAGTTACCAGCCTCAGGAATTGCAGCCCAAATAAATGCTTCACAGAGTTCAAGTAACAGACACATCTCAACATCAACTGTTCAGAGGAAACTGCATGAATCAGGCCTTCATGGTCGAATTGCTGCAAAGAAACCACTACTAAAGGACACCAATAAGAAGAAGAGACTTACTTGGACCAAGAAACACGAACAATGGACATTAGACCGGTGGAAATCTGTCCTTTGGTCTGATGAGTCCAAATTTGAGATTTTTGGTTCCAACCGCCGTGTCTTTGTGAGACGCAAAGTAGGTGAACGGATGATCTCCGCATGTGTGATTCCCACCGTGAAGCATGGAGGAGGAGGTGTGGGGGTGCTTTGCTGGTGACACTGTCAGTGATTTACTTAGAATTCAAGGCACACTTAACCAGCATGGCTACCACAGCATTCTGCAGCGATACACCATCCCATCTGGTTTGCGCTTAGTGGGACTATCATTTGTTTTTCAACAGGACAATGACCCAAAACACACCTCCAGGCTGTGTAAGGGTTATTTGACCAAGAAGGAGAGTGATGGAGTGCTGCATTAGATGAACTGGCCTCCACAATCACCCGACCTCAAACCAATTGAGATGGTTTGGGATGCGTTGGACCACAGAGTGAAGGAAAAGCAGCCAACAAGTGCTCAGCATATGTGGGAACTCCTTCAAGACTGTTGGAAAAGCATTCCAGGTGAAGCTGGTTGAGAGAATGCGAAGAGTGTGCAAAACTGTCATCAAGGCAAAGGGTGGCTACTTTGAAGAATGTAAAATATAAAATAATAATATATTTTGATTTCTTTAACACTTCTTTGGTTACTACATGATTCCATATGTGTTATTTCATAGTTTTGATGTCTTCACTATTATTCTACAATGTAGAAAATAGTAAAAAATAAAGAAAAACCCTTGAATGAGTAGGTGTCCAAACTTTTGACTGGTACTGTATGTATTCAATTTTGTTCATTGGAATATTTCACTAGCCTACCATAGAAGACAATGCTAAGGCAGCAGCTTTATTGTCTCTGAGCGAAGGCATGTAAATCGGTCTGTTTGGTTCAAAATACGTGTCATCATGAGGCAACTTTTTTGGAAAGGAAGTGGTGACCTATATTGACCCGGAAGTGGACGCCAAATCCGATCGATTCTATCGGAGAAGTAAAAATGGCGGACAACGGCGGTGAAGATCCTGTTAATAACAACAATAATACAACGGTCTCTTCGGAGGGAACTATTATTAAGGTTACAGTCAAAACCCCGAAAGATAAGGAAGAAATCGCCATCTCGGAAGATGCCTCTGTCACTCAGGTTCGTTCATTTTGTTAATCCGTAGCTTGCTAGCGAGCGGTCACTAACGTTAGCTGCTATGCTACTACTACTACTACATTATCATCATCATCATCATCATCATCATCATCATCATGCCCCTGCCCACTTGCATTGGTTAGCCTGTGACAGGCTGTGTGTGTAGTTAAGCATGTATCGAGCTAACATTTCAGAATTGGCCGGTGTAGCGATATTTATAGCTATTTACTTAGAAAACTATTCTCAAACTTTCTTATAAAACGACTCACAACTACTGTAGTCCTCCATATTGTTAGCTGCTTAGTTGTTTATGTAGCCTAGCTAGCTAACTAGCTAACCGGCTTTCTAACTAAACAAATGACAGCTGATTCCCTGCACAGTCAAGGCAATGTGTCGTGTGACTTCTGTATGTTAGTCATGGAAAAAAACATGTTGTAATCAGCTTTTAACTAAGTTAGTTAGCTAACTAGGTAAATTGTTAGCTAACGTTGAAATAATTTTGTTAGGTAAATGCTAGCTATCTAGTTTCTTAGCTGTTTCTCCATAAACTTCTTTGTGCTAGCCTAGGTAATCTATGAACAGTCTATTCTTCTTCAGAATGTAAGAAGAATTCTCATTGTTCTGAATATCAGTTACTGGACTGTGGATTGCTGTTCATGTGAATCACCTCTTGCATACTGAAGTCCCACTGTTACATTCAAGCTGATTTGTTATGAATCTGTCAGTTAATGCCACTTATGTAAGTCGCTCTGGATAAGAGCGTCTGCTAAATGACGTAAATGTATCTTCCTGTCCTGTCACTCCAGTCCTGATTGATACCCTGAACAGCTAAATTGCAGACAGCTTATTTTACTCCTGTTTAATGTGGCTCTCATATGTGTAGTGTTCTTGTAGTTAGTTGTAGACTGTTACTGGAGGTACAACACCAAGAGTGATTTGGTATTTGTAATCAGGTAGTATGATTCCTATAATAGGATAAGCAATGAGGATTTACCCAGAGATAAGCAATGAGGATTTACCCAGAAACAAGGCTTTAGAATTAAAATCAGTTAATTGAGATAATTGTTTGTCTACATCTCTTTGTTTCTTTTCCTTGATTTCTCACTTTCTTCTGCCCCCTCTTTCTCTTGCTCTCCATCCCCCCTCTCTCTATCTTTCTCTTTTCCCAGTTTAAGGAGGAGATCTCGCGGAGGTTCAAAGCCAAGCAGGATCAGTTGGTTCTGATCTTTGCAGGGAAGATCTTGAAGGACGGGGACTCGCTCAACCAGCACGGCATCAAGGACGGCCTGACAGTCCACCTGGTCATAAAGACGGCACACAAGTAAGATGATGCAACTTCTCAGAGCAAAACTGATATTTTGTGTTTTAGTAGGATACTGTCGTCTTTACATTTACATTTACATTTTAGTCATTTAGCAGACGCTCTTAACCAGAGCGACTTACAGGAGCAATTAGGGTTAAGTGCCTTGCTCAAGGGCACATTAACGTCATTTAGCAGACGCTCTTAGCCAGAGCGACTCACAAATTGGTGCGTTCACCCTATAGCCAGTGGGATAACCACTTTACAATTTGGGGGGGGGGGGGGGGGGGGGTTAGAAGGAATACTTTATCCTATCCCAGGTATTCCTTAAAGAGGTGGGGTTTCAAATGTCTCCGGAAGGTGGTGAGTGACTCCGCTGTCCTGGCGTCGTGAGGGAGCTTGTTCCACCATTGGGGTGCCAGAGCAGCGAACAGTTTTGACTGGGCTGAGCGGGAGCTATGCTTCCGCAGAGGAAGGGGAGCCAGCAGGCCAGAGGTGGATGAACGCAATGTCCTCGTTTGGGTGTAGGGACTGATCAGAGCCTGAAGGTACAGAGGTGCCGTTCCCCTCACTGCTCCATAGGCAAGCACCATGGTCTTGTAGCGGATGCGAGCTTCAACTGGAAGCCAGTGGAGTGTGCGGAGGAGGGGGGTGACGTGAGAGAACTTGGGAAGGTTGAACACCAGACTGGCTGCGGCATTCTGGATGAGTTGTAGGGGTTTAATGGCACAGGCAGGGAGCCCAGCCAACAGCGAGTTGCAGTAGTCCAGACGGGAGATGACAAGTGCCTGGACCAGGACCTGCGCCGCTTCCTGTGTAAGGCAGGGTCGCACTCTCCGAATGTTGTAGAGCATGAACCTGCAGGAGCGGGTCACCGCCTTGATGTTGGCGGAGAACGACAGGGTGTTGTCCAGGGTCACGCCTAGGCTCTTCGCACTCTGGGAGGAGGACACAGCGGAGTTGTCAACCGTGATGGCGAGATCATGGAACGGGCAGTCCTTCCCCGGGAGGAAGAGCAGCTCCGTCTTGCCAGGGTTCAGTCTTCTTCGGACATTTGGCAGAAAAGGAAAATTGGAAAAGGAATTGCTTGATCAACTTTTGAATAGGTGAATAGGCTATATGTAGTGGCATTAAGATTGACTCGGGCCATATATGCTTACTTACTCCACAGCTTGAAGTGAATAGCTTTCGGTGATGCAGCTGGTTAGTACGTATTAAAGCGGGCGGTCATGTGGGTTTGCAGCAGAGTATTACTAGTTTGAGCCGACAGCTCTATAACTGACATTTCTATGTGAATTTGGTCGGGTCGCCCAAAAAGTTACATATTGTAGCTTTAATGTGAATATGTAAACTTAACTGATCAATGCATTGTCCCTCCAGGGCAGGAGATGGCGCTAGTTTCTCCACCTCCGGCACCACCCAGGTGGGCAGCAGTAGTGGCAGCTCCTCCGGCCCCAGTTCTGCAGCCCACTCCTCCACAGTAGGGTCCACTGGAGGCCCTGCCTCGGCACCCCCACAGACCCCCAACATACTGAGTGAGTTTACTAAGCTAAATACAAACACACTTCTAATCTAATATATCCACCCCCTCACACACACACCCAAAGGTTTATAGAGAAAAAGACAATCAACAACAATTTCCCAAGATCATTACTATCACCATCACGCCTCCTGACCATGGCCCCTCTCCCTCCCTCCTAGCCGGGTTCGGTGACCTGTCCAGCCTGAGCAGCATGGGCATGGGCTCAGCTAACTTCATGGAGCTGCAGCAGCAGATGCAGAGCCAGCTGATGTCCAACCCGGAAATGCTGTCCCAGATCATGGAGAACCCCCTGGTGCAGAACATGATGTCCAACCCAGACCTGATGAGGCAGATGATCGTGGCCAACCCACAGATGCAGCAGCTGATGGAGCGCAACCCAGAGATCTCCCACATGCTCAACAACCCTGAGCTTATGAGACAGGTGAGGGGGTTTGGCTGGAGTGTACTGTGTCACTGACAGGTTGGGATTGGCTGCAGTGTACTTTGTCACTGACAGGTTGGGATTGGCTGGAGTGTACTTTGTCACTTACAGGTTGGGATTGGGAGGTACGTGTCACTGACAGGTTGGGATTGGCTGGAGTGTACGGGTCACTGACAGATTGGGATTGGCTGGAGTGTACTGTGTCACTGACAGGTTGGGATTGGCTGGAGTGTACTGTGTCACTGACAGGTTGGGATTGGCTGGAGTGTACTGTGTCACTGACAGGTAGGGATTGGCTGGAGTGTACTCTGTCACTGACAGGTTGGGATTGGCTGGAGTGTACTGTGTCACTGACACGTTGGGATTGGCTGGAGTGTACTGTGTCACTGACAGGTAGGGATTGGCTGGAGTGTACTCTGTCACTGACAGTTGGGATTGGCTGGAGTGTACTGTGTCACTGACAGGTAGGGATTGGCTGGAGTGTACTCTGTCACTGACAGGTTGGGATTGGCTGGAGTGTACTGTGTCACTGACACGTTGGGATTGGCTGGAGTGTACTCTGTCACTGACAGGTTGGGATTGGCTGGAGTGTACTGTGTCACTGACAGTTTGGGATTGGCTGGAGTGTACTGTGTCACTGACACGTTGGGATTGGCTGGAGTGTACTCTGTCACTGACAGGTTGGGATTGGCTGGAGTGTACTGTGTCACTGACAGTTTGGGATTGGCTGGAGTGTACTGTGTCACTGACAGTTTGGGATTGGCTGGAGTGTACTGTGTCACTGACACGTTGGGATTGGCTGGAGTGTACTGTGTCACTGACACGTTGGGATTGGCTGGAGTGTACACAGAAGTTAGGCTTGGCTAATAATGTAGCAGCTGCTGTTTTTTTCATCATAATTTTTTACTGTGGGAAGTCGACTGCTTTGAGAGGCTGATCTTTACATTTAGCTGCGTTCGAAGTTATATAAAGAAATAGGTCTTAGGGGAAGTTTCTCAGACATAGATTAAGCTTAGTCATGGACTAAAAATCAAGCTCAATGGAGAATCTTATGTGTCTGGGGAAACCTCCCTATAATGTTTGGATCTAACCCCTACCCCTCTTGAGTCCCTGTACCCCAGAACCCAGCCTAGCTGAGACTCTCCTGTCAACCCCTTCCTGTTCCCTTCTACTCAGACCATGGAGCTGGCCAGGAACCCTGCCATGATGCAGGAGATGATGCGTAACCAGGACCGGGCGCTTAGCAACCTGGAGAGCATCCCGGGGGGCTACAACGCCCTGCGCAGGATGTACACAGACATCCAGGAACCCATGTTCAGCGCAGCACGAGACCAGGTACCCACTGAGGACAATTCATTTCAATCAATTGACATCAATGCACGACTAAGTTAAAATTTGAATTAAGTGAAATTAAGGATTCACCCATTTAGGTTTTTCAGCCTCAGAAACTAACTCTAAGCTATCCAATGGAGAGTGCTGAATAGAAACTCCATTGGTATTCAACAGGTTGATAATGACTTCTCTCTCTCCCAGTTTGGAAACAACCCTTTCTCAGCCTTGGGGGGCAACTCTGACGGGGGGGTGCAGCCGTCGAGGACAGAGAACCGGGAGCCACTGCCCAACCCCTGGGGCCCTCCCAGCTCCACCAACCCCTCTGAGGGTGGAGGGGGAACGGGCACCACAGGCTCTACCACTGGCAGCACCACCCCCAGTGTGTCCAACCCTCTGGGCGTCAACTCTGCCAGTCTGGGAAACGGTACGGGAATACATAGACTAACTTCCTGTTGAAGTGACAGCATTCAGTAGATATACTGCAGCTTCACATACTGTAATATCACATGTGGACGTGAATTCCTAAATACATACGTATAGATCCATGACACCCAGACATACAGTGCATTCTGAAAGTATTCAGACCCCTTGACTTTTTCCACATTTTGTTACGTTCTAAATGGATTCAATTATTCTAAAATGGATTAAATTGTTTTTTCCCCCTCATCAATCTAGACACAATACCCCATAATGACAAAGCAAAAACAGGTTTGTAGACATTTTTGCAGAATTATTCAATTTAAAAAACTGATATCAGATTTACATACAGTGGGGGAAAAAAGTATTTAGTCAGCCACCAATTGTGCAAGTTCTCCCACTTAAAAATATGAGAGAGGCCTGTAATTTTCATCATAGGTACATGTCAACTATGACAGACAAATTGAAACTTTTGTTATTGACCAAATACTTATTTTCCACCATAATTTGCAAATAAATTCATAAAAAATCCTACAATGTGATTTTCTGGATTTTTTTTCCTCATTTTGTCTGTCATAGTTGACGTGTACCTATGATGAAAATTACAGGCCTCTCTCATCTTTTTAAGTGGGAGAACTTGCACAATTGGTGGCTGACTAAATACTTTTTTTCCCCACTGTAAGTATTCAGACCCTTTACTCAGTACTTTGTTGAATCACCTTTGGCAGCGATTACAGCTTCGAGTCTTCTTGGTATGACGCTACAAGATTGGCACACCTGTATTTGGGGAGTTTCTCCCATTCTTCTCTGCAGATCCTCTCAAGCTCTATCAGGTTGGATGGGGAGCGTCGCTGCACAGCTATTTTCAGGTCTCCAGAGATGTTAGATCGGATTCAAGTCCGGGCTCTGGCTGGGCCACTCAAGGACATTGAGTCTTGTCCCGAAGCCACTCCTGCGTTGTCTTGGCTGTGTGCTTAGGGTTGTTGTACTGTTGGAAGGTGAACCTTCGCCCCATTCTGAGGTCCTGAGCACTCTGGAGCAGGTTTTCATGAAGGATCTCTCTGTACTTTGCTCCGTTCATCATTCCGTCGATACTGACTAGTCTCCCAGTCACTGCCGCTGAAAAACATCCCCACAGCATGATGCTGCCACCACCATGCTTCACCATAGGGATGGTGCCAGGTTTCCTCCAGATGTGACGCTTGGCATTCTGGCCAAAGAGTTCAATCTTGGTTTCATCAGACCAGAGAATCTTGTTTCTCATGGTCTGAGAGTCCTTTAGGTGCCTTTTAGCAAACTCCAAGCGGGCTGTCATTTGCCTTTTACTGAGGAGTGGCTTCCGTCTGGCCACTCTACCATAAAGGCCTGATTGGTGAAGTGCTGCAGAGATGGTTGTCATTCTGGAAGGTTCTCCCATCTCCACAGAGGAACTCTGGAGCTCTGTCAAAGTGAACATCGGGTTCTTGGTCACCTCCCTGACCAAGACCCTTCTCCCCTGATTGCTCAGTTTGGCCGGCGGCCAGCTCTAGGAAGAGTCTTGGTGGTTCCAAACTTCTTCCATTTAAGAATGATGGAGGCCACTGTGTTCTTGGAGACCGTCAATGCTGCAGAACTTATATATACAGGTGTGTGCCTTTCCAAATCATGTCCAATCAATTTAATTTACCACAGGTGGACTCCAATCAAGTTGTAGAAACATCTCAAGGATGATCAATGGAAACAGGATGCACCTCAGCTCAATTTTGAGTCTCATAGCGAAGGGTCTGAATACTTATGTAAATATGGTATTTCTGTTTTTTTATTTGAATACATTTGCTAAAATTTCTAAACTTGTTTTCACTTTGTCATTATGGGGTATTGTGTATAGATTGATTAGCATATATATATATTTTTTTAAATCAATTTTAGAATAAGGCTGTAACGTAACAAAATGTGGAGAACGTCAAGGGGTCTGAATACTTTCCGAATTCAATGTATGTCAAGCTGGGGATTGTAATCATACGCACACACAAACACACACACACAACGGCACCTACCCACCCACCATCAACCTCCCTCTGTGTGTGTCCCAGGCATGTTCAGCAGTCCGGGCATGCAGAGTCTGATGCAGCAGATCTCAGAGAACCCCCAGCTGATGCAGAACATGCTGTCTGCTCCCTACATGCGCAGTATGATGCAGTCTCTTGCCCAGAACCCAGACATGGCCTCCCAGGTCTGTAGCAGCAGAGTAGTGGGAGTTATCATGGTTCATAAAGTAACTTTATGCGTCTCAAATGGCACCCTATTTCCTTTATAGTGCACTACTACACATAAGGGCCCTGGTCAAAAGTAGTGCACTTTAAAGGGAATAGGGTGACATTTGGGCCACAAAAAATCTGAACGCAGGGGGATCCACTGGAATGGGTTGTTGGTAATTTATTGTAATGAGAGCAATATTGCAGATCTGGGCCCATATTCACGAAGCGTCTCAGAGTAGGAATGCTAATCTAGGATCAGGTCCTCCCCGTCCATATAATTGTATTCATTGTGATCTAAAAGGCAACACTGATCCTGGATCATCGCTAAGGCACTTTATCAACACAGTCCCAGAGCCAAGCTGGACTCCTTGGCAGCTGTACATAACAGATCCAGCTGGCAGTGCTTTACCTCTAGGTATCTAGAACAGATCCAGCTGGCAGTGCTTTACCTCTAGGTATCTTGAACAGATCCAGCTGGCAGTGCTTTACCACTAGGTATCTAGAACAGGTCCAGCTGGCAGTGCTTTACCTGTAGGTATCTAGAACAGCTCCAGCTGGCAGTGCTTTACCTGTAGGTATCTAGAACAGGTCCAGCTGGCAGTGCTTTAGCTGTAGGTATCTAGAACAGGTCCAGCTGGCAGTGCTTTCCTGTAGGTATCTAGAACAGGTCCAGCTGGCAGTGCTTTACCTGTAGGTATCTAGAACAGGTCCAGCTGGCAGTGCTTTAGCTGTAGGTATCTAGAACAGGTCCAGCTGGCAGTGCTTTCCTGTAGGTATCTAGAACAGGTCCAGCTGGCAGTGCTTTACCTGTAGGTATCTAGAACAGGTCCAGCTGGCAGTGCTTTACCTCTCGGGACTGTATCTCCATGTAGATAGACAGATGTGAGGAAGATGGTGAGCAACCTCTCCACTGGGGAACAGCAGGCTAGGCTGCAGCTGGTCTTCTGTCTCTCTCTCTCACCTTCTGTCCCCCCCCCCCCCCCCCCTTCCCCTCCAGGTGTTGATGAATAACCCCCTGTTTGCTGGAAACCCCCAGCTGCAGGAACAGTTCAGGAGCCAGCTGCCTGTCTTCCTGCAGCAGGTACAAACACACTAACAGACACATTTATATCTGAGAGAGAGCTGAACCTGTCTCAAGGACCTGAATGAATCGATTGAGTCTGGACTGGATGGGCCCTAAACAGATGATTGTTTCAGAATGTTAATTGATTCATTGTTAGTTTGATTGTGACTGATGTTGTTGTTGTTGTTGTTGTTTAGATGCAGAACCCAGAGGCTCTCTCTGTGATGACCAACCCCCGGGCCATGCAGGCTCTCCTTCAGATACAACAGGGCCTACAGACGCTGCAGACAGAGGCACCGGGACTCATGCCCAGGTACACACACACACACACACACACTGATGCACACACACACACCACAGAAGGTTAGTGGCACCTTAATTGGGGAGATTTGGCTCATGGTAATGGCTGGAGCGGAATAAGTGGAATGGTATCAAATACAACAAACGCTCTGTTCCAGCCATTATTGTGAGCCGTCCTCCCCTCAGCAGCCTCCACTGACACACATACACACTGACACACACACACAAACAAAAACGCGTGCACACACAGGACCTGGAGAAAGTGATGACATTAGTTGTTTTTGGAGATCTTTGGGTAGTAGCCTACATCCTCTGTTAGGCAATATGTTCTCCCTGTCTGTACTAACCCCTTTGTGTCTCCCAGTTTGGCACCAGGCGGTCTACCAGGTGGGCTGCCAGGCGGTCTACCAGGTGGGCTGCCAGGCGGTCTACCAGGTGGGCTGCCAGGCGGTCTACCAGGTGGGCTGCCAGGTGGGCTGCCAGGCGGTCTACCAGGTGGGCTGCCAGGTGGGCTGCCAGGCGGTCTACCAGGTGGAATACCCACAACCTCCCTGTCCATAGGAGGTGTGGCTCCAGAGAACCCTGCCTCTTCGCCGAGCGCCGGGACAAACCCCGCCCAGCAGCTGATGATGCAGCAGATGCTCCAAATGTTCGCAGGAGGGAATGCCTCGGTACGTACCACACACACCTGTCTTCCCTCGTTCTGTTTTACTGTTTGATTGTACTGATTGATTGATTAGTTAATGGTTGGTTGACTGATTTGATTGAGTGACTGTCTGACTGATTGTGACTGGTCCCCCTACAGAGCCAGAGCCCGGAGGTGCAGTTCCAGCAGCAGCTGGAGCAGCTGAGCGCTATGGGCTTCATCAACCGAGAGGCCAACCTGCAGGCCCTCATCGCTACAGGAGGAGATGTCAACGCTGCCATCGAGAGACTGCTGGGCTCTCAGCCCTCATAAAGACACACTCACTCACACACACAGTTACGTATATACGCATACATCGATACATACATCGATACAGACACACGCATACACACTATCCAGCTCCGGGTAGCAAGGGATAAACACACACACACACACACTGTCTACAGAGAACCAAGAAGTGAAGTGAACTATCCCAAACCGACACAGACGAGACCCGGTCAGGATATGTGCCATTCTAAACATCCACTGCAGCCTCCTGTCATATCTCCTAAACAGAGATGCTTTACCCTGCAAGATTCACTCATCCATCTTACATTTACATTTAAGTCATTTAGCAGACGCTCTTATCCAGAGCGACTTACAAATTCTAATAAAGCTGAGGGGTTTATTCAATGAGGTGGAGAGTTCAGCGTGCGGCAGATATAAATGTATTCATTGCATTGCATAGAGCTGTTATGACGCATTTGTTTCCTGTCTATATGTTGCATTTCTATCTGCAGTGATGTTTGTGAACAATCCACTATTTTGACCCAACCCCTGATGTGCAGGGTATATGGAGAGCGGAGGAAGAGAGAATTACAAAAAAGTTTTGTAAATCTCACACGGATATCAGGCCCCAATCCCTTCCCCCTCTTTCCACTACTTTAACCGTCCAAAACCCTTTCTATTTATTGCTAGCGCTGAAAAGAAAAGATCCCCCACACTTCCCTAAAATTGCAAAATTGTCATTCCAGATAGGATATATTCATCTCCTCTCAGCCGTGAGTTGTTCCCTCAAGGCACGACTTCTGTGCCTTCTTGTCTTCAACAAACCCCTTTAACAACAACCACTCCCATCAAATGGATGGATTTCATCAAACCCTGGCTAGTCAAATCAAACGAGTCTGCCGTTGGTGGTGTAGATTGACTTCACACACAGGCGGTGCCACAAGATTGAGACCTTTGATAAGATTGAGAAATGTCATGATAATCGTTAATAAAGAAAGAAAGGTGTGGTTCTGAGGAAGACACAGAAAGACAAAACAGACAGATATCCTTTTCATTTTAATCTGATTCATTATGTATTTTAATTTGAGGTGTAAGTTGTATCTACCTATAGATAATCTGTTTTGTCTCATCATTAAACAAAACTCTTCCTGGAAAATGTATGAATAAAATATAATGAAAAAAGGCTTTACGTTTTTGGTATGGTGTGGCACCATACGTTGTTGTAAATTAAGTTCTAGCTTTTTGCTTTTATTTTATTTTAGCATTGTAGTTGTGGTAACTTTGGCAATGGCTTCCATAGCTGTGCTTTGTCTGTTGGCCTCAGTTGAAAATCCATCACCCAATTCAACATGTTGGAACTAACTTTTAACAGTGCTGTATAAAAAATAAAACTAAGTTGGTCAATAAGAACCCTCTTTCAAATTGTGACAATCCTCCCGACTTGTAGTATGAAGATTAGAATTATACTGCACCTTCCATTCAGCAGTCCACTCCACTTATAAATCACTTATTCCAGAAGTAGTGAAACATTTTAATTTAAGTTGAATTAATAATGCATTTACCTGGTAGCCTGGAGGCTCCTCGATGTTATACTGTCATCTACTGTAGTATCTACCTTCTACATACTTATGCTTCACCTGTCAAGTGAGGATTTGTCACGTTGCAGTGGAAGACTGTGCATTGGAACTGTCATCTAGTCTAGTGCACCTCTGTAGTCAGGGTAGTGCACAGACCTTTCAGTGGGCAGGTGCTCAAAATAAAAAATGGGCACACCCCCTACCCGCTTGATACTTTTTTTCATTCATATCTCGAAATTCATAACATAACAAATGCCTCTGTAGTGAAAGTTGTTGGGAAAAAAAGAAAAAATTGCATAGCCCTATTTATTTCTGCAACAACACACTAATCATCACAAATTGTAAGCAAGCTATTTACTTACAGTGCCTCCTAAAGACATGACTGACATTGGGAAAAGAGGTTGGGCTATCAGCTGATCATGGATGTTTTTGATTGATGTACATCTCCTAGTTAGCATGCGCTTTTACTAATTGTGAATTACCTCTGTCATTTATGATGATGTAGGCTAAATCAAGTGTTAAACAAATGTCATGCTGCTGTGGCAGTACATTTACGTCATTTAGCAGACGCTCTTATCCAGAGCGACTTACAGTTAGTACATACATTATTTTATCATACTAGCCCCCCGTGGGAATCGAACCCACAACCCTGGCGTTGCAAACATCATGCTCTACCAACTGAGCTACCTCCCTGCTGGCCATTCCCTCCCCTACCCTGGACGACGCTGGGCCAATTGTGCGCCGCCCCATTGGTCTCCCGGTTGCGGCCGGCTACGACAGAGCCTAGATTCGAACCAGGATCTCTCACAGCCTTAGACCACTGCGCCAGTCGGGAGATAGTACTGTTGATATTTTAACTAGGTAGCTACCTACACACACACATGGCTTAAGCAAGCATGTTTGGATACAGGGTAGCCCAGCAGGAGAAACCAGAGCCATATACACTTGGGACACCACTTCAAAATAGTGGATTCGGCTATTTCAGCCACACCCGTTGCTGACAGGTGTATAAAATCAAGCACACAGCCATACAATCTCCATAGACAAACATTGGCAGTAGAATGGCCCGTACTGAAGAGCTCAGTGACTTTCAACTTGGTACCTTCATAGGATGCCACCTTTCCAACAAGTCAGTTCGTTAACTTTTTGCCCTGCTAGAGCTGCCCCGGTAAACTGTAAATGCTGTTATTGTGAAGAGGAAACGTCTTTTTTTTTTCTTTTTTTCAGGGACTGAGTTAGACATGGGACACCAGGTGTGTGCAATTAATGATCAGGTAGAACAGAAAAGCAGCAGGCTCCAGACCTTGTAGCGTAAGAGTTGAGTACCCCTGCTCTAATACATACTATGGGACAATGATCACTGAGATCATATGCAAATACTCCACTAGACAAATATTTAAGAGGGTTATTAAGAATTAAATCAATTAATGAAGAGTTAACAGGGTTTTTCACATTTAGCTGTGTGGGTTTTCAGATCAATTGAGTCAGATTAAAATCAATGCCTATACTTTTAAATTGATCTGAGGCCGGAGAGCCAATCTAGATTCAAATCCCCTAAAATGACCAACTACGAGGACAGAAAAGCTGATATAGCACCAATAGCATCTAGCATCCGCCATGGCAGCAGGGGGGTGGTAAATCCCAGCAATAAATACATGTGTATTCTGATTTATGGACACATCTGCAACCAGGATCTCAAATATATTGGGAACAGAAATAAGATGTTACATTTATGGCCACTCCTCCCCCTTTCTGTTATCTGTCACATCTAAATACACTACAATAATTTACTTCAATGTCTTTGTCAGAGTCAGAACCATCTAACCATGTTTCCAAGAGAACCAGAATGTCAGGACATGAGTCCTGTACCCAAATGTCAATTGTGTCCATTTTTTAAATCATACTTCGCACATTTAGGTGCATTAGCCCAAGACCCCTATGAGATTTAAAGTCAGAGGCGGTATTCAGCTCATTCCCATCAGAGCTAACAGGCATAGGGTCATCTGCAGCTATTTGTTGAGTGAGCTGAGACTTTGCCAAGGTCCCTATGCCAACCATGTGAGAGCAGAGCAGACCTCCCTCAAGTCGCTGGATGCAGGGGCTCTGGCGAGAACTGGGAGAGCAGTGTTGGCAGAGCTCTGTCCACCCGGATGAAGCTCCCGCCAAAGGAGTGGAGCTGCTGCAGGGGACCAGAGTGGCTGCCAATGCTCCATTCTGGGTGTGCACAGGAGGCCTTGGTGTGGCTCCTGTTGCAGGGTTGGAGCTGCCATGGGGGACAGGAGTGTCCCAGGCCTGTCCTGGGGATGGGAGTAGGGAGGGTAACCAAAACTAGCCTGGGAGGGAGGTTGTGGGGGGAATTCAGGAGGGTGGTGTGGAGAGCAGTGTGGCTGGCGAAGCACCAAACTCTCAGCATATGAGGGCTGATGTGAATGATACATGGTGTGGACAGCGTCATGTGGTGCACTACCCTCAACAGTGTTTTTCCAGACCCTAGGGTAGAGGTCGGTACTGTGTAGAGCTGGGCTGAGTTGAGGCGGGCCGGGTCTGGTTGAGCTGTGCTGTGATGGGCCGTGTCTGGCAGAGCTGTGCTGTGATGGGCCAGCTCTGGTTGAACTGTGCTGTGATGGGCCGGGTCTGGTTGAACTGTGCTGTGATGGGCCGGGTCTGGAAGAGCTGTGCTTTGATGGGCCTATGGCTCTGGGAGCAACCAATGGACCATGTGTGGGGTGGAAAACTTAACAGCTTGCGGGCAGTGGGTTCCGAACAATACTAGGCAGGTTTCCATTGACCCGGGTTTATTCGACAAAAGCAATGGCACGACATGTGTAATGGAACGGCAGATAGGCCTTTAGGAAAAATGCTCTGAAGATTGCTAACATTTTCATCCGTTCGACAGGGGTGGAATTTTCTTCTATATAACTTTCTTTATTGCGACAAATTATGATGGAAACTGTGTTTTTCGAATAAATGATGATTGCCGAATCATTTTGAAGGTAGGCCTTCGCGGGGCACGTGATGTCACCCGCGTAACTATAAAGCTTGACTCCACAATTCATTCTAAATGCCTACCACTTGCTAAATACAAAAAATGTAAACTATGAAAATAATATTTATTTGCAGTACAAGGATTGTCCTGACTTTCAAGAATGCCTGAATTGCTTCGCCTTCCTTGTCTGGTTGGCTGGTAAGTTTCACCATCCAATTATTTCAGATCTACAGGAGTGCAAGTTTCACCATGGCACGGACCATGGCGATACTTTGGCACATTAGAATTAGAATATGTCAAATACTAGTCAATTCTTGCATTCTATCCATGCTGGCTTTCGCGGGCTACCTGAGACGAAACAGATAGGTGGGAGGC